GATTAACCTGATTTAGTTTTTGATAGCAATTTATATATAAATTTCATCTCTAATCACTTGGTATTACTGTTATAATTGTAGTGATCAAGGATTTGATTTTACTTTTTCGTGGATAAAAAAAAGGTTAATATCAATTAATTGTTACTTATTAATTATGTTTACTTTAGTTAATGGTTAGGATTATTTATTGATTTTTTTTTGTTCTTCCACAATTAGAATCTCAATGACTTGACAATCAATCAATTTAATCAGTTGCATATTGATTTGATAATTACGATCTGATATCATTGTAGACAATTAAAATGTCAGCAATGATCATTGATAATCATTCCCAATCAATTGTTGAGTTAACAATTTGAAACACTGTCAATGTAATCAATACAAAGTATAACAGTAAACAAAAATATTGAAACCAAATCAATTGATTGTCGTGGAAATAAAATAAAACCATTTGAGTTAATATCATAATCATAATGATATATTGTTACCATTGGAACTTTTTTTTCCCAAAGACTAATTGTAAAAGTTAATTGTTAGTTAACAACATTGATTTTTTTTTTCTCGAAAAAGTCAATTTGGTGATTGTAATTAAGATGAAAAATTAATCAATCATCAAATAAATCACACAATAGAAATATCAACTTTTCTTATTCACTTTCAACTGGAACCTGATTCAATCTCAAATCAACAATCAAATTGATGATTAATTGTCATGAAGTAGTTCAGATCTGATTTTATTCATTTTTTTTTGTCTTCATCTATTCAATGGGATAACTTTTTTTCAGGGTGAAGCTCATGTTATCCTGAGCTCAGTCATGTTATATTAAACTACTGGGAATTCAATTTCAATTCAGTTCTTTGGTATAAAAAAAAAAGTTCAACTGAACTTTTCATCTTCACATTTCCCCTGAAACTCACATGAGATATAAAACTAACATAAAATTCAGATAAATGGGTTAGCATCAGTTATATTTATGTGAATACATGGAAAGACACTGAACTGACCAGGAAAAAGATTCATGATGAAAAAAATTCTGGTTTTTATCATGAAATAAAAACAGACTCATCATCAATTTGATTCATGATTTAGACAGAAATAAAGATTCAATTCTTTGTCCTTCATTATTTAAATTAATCATCATGACAATTTGACCCTTAGAGTTTTATAATTAACTTGATTCATTCAACAATCAGAACAATTATATAAATTCATTGCAATTAAATAGTATCAATAGATTCAACTTTCAAATTTTTCAACTGAATTGATTTATCTGCTTATAAAGACAAAGATTATACTGAACAATTAATTGGCCAAATCCGTTAAGAGCTTTAATCATGATTGATTTAATTTCTGATTACGATCAATATTTAATATGAAATATTAAATTTAAAAGGAAGCAAATTTTTTGCTTTATTAGATTGAGATACTTATCAAAATTTCACCTAATTGTTGATTTATGCAAAATAGTTATCAAGAGTAACCTAATTACCACTCAAATGAGTTAATCTAAATTTCCAATCACAACAAATGGAAACTTTTAATCTCGCCAAAAAATTTAGCTTCATTTTTATCATAAATTAACCAATCAAATTAATCAACTCAATTATCAACCTGATTATCAACTAATTTGTTACAATTAGTTTAGCTTTTGACTGTCCATCTCTATGGTAACTGAATCGGAGTTAATTTTTTTCTATGCTCGAGTTGATTTTTCAATTGCGATCAGTTTTTGATTGATTTACTTGATTGACCAAATTTCGGTGATTTTTTTTATATAAAAAAGCAACTTATTTATATTTGAACTTGTATTGTTTGGTGATTATTTTGTGTATTTGATTGGATTCAAATCTTGATGTTATATGAATATGGATGTTTGTTTGTTTGTTTTTGGTTTCAACACACTCGATAAATATGATGATCTAGATGATTATTTGATGGGGGAAAATGTATCAAAAATTGAAACTGAATATAATAATAACAGTAACAACAACAACAACAACACTGGACATGACAGGTTATCAGATAAAAATTCTGGATCATATTTAATATGATGTTCATCCTGAAGGACAGATTATCGATGGAACCGGATTTTTGATAATATTTTCCTTCTCGTCTCTTATCACCTTCCCCTCCCTGGTTGAGAATTGAAAAAAGGACTAGGATGGTGAGAGAGAGAGAGAGAGAGATGACAATGGAGAAACATGGATTCTGTTTGGAGATGAGGTGGTGTGGTGATGGTGGGGAGTTTTTTACGGCTGGTTGGGAGTTGGAAAAGATGAGGAGGTGAAAAGAGAGATCATTGATTATTTGTGAAGGAGAAGATGATAAAGATGATGAGGATAGATGTTTCCAAGATGAGGATGAAGATGAAATTGATGATGGAAAGAAATGTTTCTGAGCATGATATCTTTTCGTTTCCTTGTTGTTGCTCTGAAAGTTTTTTTTTCTTCTTTCTTTTTTTCCTTTTTCTCTTTCTCCTTCTGGGTAACAAAGGGATAAGAATGAGATGATAAGTTAAAGCCGAAGATGATAAAGGAGGATGAAAAAAATTTTCCATTCTTTTCTCATCCTCTTCTTATTCTGTGTCTTCACATGTAACTTTCAAAGGGAAATGGCGATGATGATGATGAATTGAAACTGAAGAAAGTCATTCGTTTTCTTTACTGAAACGATTTCAAATTCAGATAAATGAACTTGAAATAAATAAAACGAGAAAACAAAAAAAGTTTTTCTTTCCAATGTCAAGAAAATGATGATTGTATTACAGCTTAATTGTTGTATAATCGTGTTAATGATTCTCAGTGAAATTGAGAGTTAAGTGATTAAAAGCATTGAGATCAGATGAATGTAAAGGTTGGTGTTGATTTTTGACCTAAAAAAATCGACAACAAATTCAAGAAACTCTCAGTTCACATTTAGATTGAGTGACTTTCCCTGAAAGTTTGCTATCAGGGTGAAAGAACAAAGGAAAAGTTCTGTTGATAATGATGAGGATGCTGAAGATGATACTGAGCAAGGGAAGGAGAAAGATAATGGATTTATATTCAGAAGACTCTTGATAATAAAGTCAATTGAGTCTCAAAGTTTTTTTTTTGCTTCCATGAAAAAAAGGTTTATATTTGGCATGGAAGTTGAAAGTATACATGTAAAGTAAAAGTTCAGAGGATTGAGTCTCAGATAAAATGAAACATCATCATCTGAATTTCACCCAAAAAATTGATAATATTTTGTTCAATTTCAATTTCATCGGTTGAGTAAATTAATTCAATATGATGATGATAATGATAAGGGTAAACATAACTTACAGGGTTGGTAAACTTGGGGAACGTATTTTCATCCCCTTCATGATAATCAGATTAGATAAAGTTCAGGAAATAATCAGAATCTGTTTTTGGATATTTTTTTCATTGAAAAATTTTACAATTTTTCATATCTCTCAGTTTGCGTAATAATTGCAATTGAATTGGTGATCACATGAAATTCTGAGCTACCAGGGTGATGATATTAATCATGAATGAGGTGGAGATAAAACTTTGGGTGGTTGATTGAAACTTCATTTTGTTGGAATATTTTTCCTTATTTTTCTGGTTTATCAGTTGCTCACTTGTTCACTAATTCTGGATTCTGATGGTGATTCAGATGAAGTTAATTGTCATGATGATGATACTGGAAAGACAACTTGATTTTAGGATTGATTTCTGATTCTGATGATCATCATCATGATGATATTAGTTGAATGAGTTAACTTTTTCCTATTCCATTCAGTGTCTCAAGAGATTTTATCTTTTATTTCATCATCGTCTTTAGGTAAACAAATGCTTAAGATGAGGATGAAGATGAAGATGAAGATGATGAGGTAAAAAAAATGGTGAATATGAAGAAGATGAATTTGATGATGAAGCCAAAAGTTTAGGATATAAGATGAAGATGATTAAATGAGTTGGTTAAGTTTGAAGATGAAAATAATAATAGTAATCATTTGAAATGTTCAAGTTTGACAGAGCAATTAACCAGTTAATTAGTTTAAGGTTAGTTGATCAGAGGATTATCAAAGTTAAATTGTCTACCGATTGATTAAAATTAATAATAACAATAATCTAATCTGGTGACCCAATCAATTGTTTCCAATTAACTTTTGTACTTTGTGAAAGATAATTTTGTTAACTCTAATTCGTGTTCATAGTAAATTAACTTAATTCCTATGGATGATTATTGAAACTCATTTATCTCTCTCATTGTCTTTAAATAGTAACAATTTAGCTTTGGTTTCATATTAACAACACTTTCACTGATTATCCTCATCTTTATAATCATCATCATCTTAATAATTTTGGCTTGAAACTCAATTCAAAAATGTAACCAGGTCATACCAGGCAAATACTGTAACTACAATCTAATTTAATTCAATTAGATTGTCAACTGTAATCAATTTTTACAATCAACTACCTAGTTAAACATAATAAGAGTTATTATTTCAAGCAATTTAGCTCTGATTTGATTAGTTGATTAAAGTAAAAGCCAATTATTATTTAGTTGAAAAAACTTTCCAAAGTATCGATAACATGAAAAAGAAAGCAAAAGAAAATTTCTCATTTAAATTGTTCAATTTGATTATTAATTTAACTGTACAATTAAATTGTCTCTTTAATCGTTTAAACATTTCCACATGGATTAGTTAAATTGCACAATCACTTTAATCTTCAACAATTAAAGTGATGATTAATTAGAAATGAACTCTCATCTTTCCGGATCAAAAGTATTTAAGGTTAACCTTATTTTTTTCATTGGGATTTGTTGATAATTTAACAAAGGTAAACAAAAATACTGAATGATTATGGTGATAATGCTGAACAGTTATAAATAGATTCATGATGAAATGAAGTTAACGGTAGTAATCACATTGATGATTTAGGAATAAATTTGAATCTTCTGAGATTATTATTGTTTCTGATGCAACTACGAAAATGATAAACAAAACTGTAAAGGATTGAAGACTTACCCATGTTGATTTAACGTTGATACTTAATTGTGATGATAAATGATGAAGATGATAAATGAGAACTAAGATGGTTTGATTCTGATGATAATCATGAAAACAACTGAAAATTGAATCACAATTAGGAGACAAAATTCAACTGAATTAACAGTAAATAACAGAAACGGATAAGGTTTTTTTCTGTATCTTATTTAGATGTTACCAACAATAGTAAACCAGATGAAGAAGCAATAACAACAATGAACGATGATGATGCTGATGATAGTTCAGAGTAACAGGAAGATTATTTGAAAGATGATGAGGATGATGTTGTTGTACCGATGTAGATGATGATGGTGGTGGTGGTGGTGGCGGTGGAAGAAAGAGGAAGATAAAGAGATGAGAATGTTGTTGATGATAATGATTCTGATTCTCTGTTGATGATAATAATGAGAATGGAAGGTGAGACAGAATCAAAAGGAAGAAACAAAAAGAAGGAGGAAGAGACTGGAAGATTGAAAAGAAAGATAGAGAGATACTGAAGAGAAAGAAGATGAAAATGATGAGGAGAGAGAGAAATGAAAGAGACGAAAGGGAAAAAGATGATGATAAGATGACGAAAATGGAAAACGAGCAGAATCACAGGGAGAGAGAGAGAAAGAGAGTAAGAAAGAGAAAATTATCGATCAGGATCATGAGTAAATGAGATTATTCACCACGCAGATTCTGAATCTTCCATATGATTCAGATGAGGAATAAAAATAACGATCATCTTCATCCCTCATCCCTCATTCCGCATCTTCGTCATCATCTTTAATTTTAGTTTCATTTTTAGGTTAGAAATTAATATTATTAAAGATGAAGAAGAGGAAAAAAAAATCAAACCAAATAATGATGTTGATACAAAATCAACGTTAATGATGATACTCAATTGCCCTCAAGCTATTTCACTGATTTCTCATCTTTATCATCAGTTTCATCATCTTTAAATTGTCCTCATCCCATCAGCATCAACCTTCCCTGAATAATAACTCCGATGTTATAATAATATCACTCGTTTTATTATCGATTACTGAAAGTCAATGATATGATTATTATTGAGCTTGTATTTGAGATGAACAGAGAGATGAAGGTTATGATGATAATGATGAGAGAGAGAGACTGGGAGTGAGGATTCTGGTGGTAGTACATGAGTTTACTGGTTGACCGGAAACACCGGAAACCAGGCTAGCATATATTATTGGTTATTAATATTATCATTATACTTTTGGTCAACTCTTTTCAATTCAATTGATAATCATTTTGGTTATATTGTAACATCAATCATTTGATTCAATGAAATCTGATTCAGATTCAATGGATTACATTTTTGTATGAAAAATAAATAAATAAATAATTTCTCATCATCTTTTCAAAGGTAATTGTCCAGAAAATATGATTAAAAGAGTCAATTTATTTGATTAATGGTTGATTATTGATCACCTTTGGATCAACAGTATCAACTTTATCATTACAGTTTAGGATAATTAGTTAACTCTAATTGTTGAAGACAATTTAAGTTAACGAAAACTTAAATTGTTCACTTTGATCAGTTAATCAATTTGCTATTCTGATTGATTGGCCTTAAAGTTATTTTTATTTTAGTTAATTGATTTTTATTTGGATTTTCCAATCAACATAATTAATGGTTTTGTTTGTTTTTTCATCGGTTGAATTGATTTAAAAAATTGATTATTTGCTAATTTCAATCAAGTCAATCAAATGGATCAATTTAGCATTTTAACTTTATCGAGTTAGTTGATTGTGTTGCCTTGACATCAAATCATCTCAATAATTAACATGATTATAAACTTGTAATATCCATTAAGAGATTTAGATTGTCAAGTGATTTTCAAGTCCTCTGATTTTTAATTTATATTTAGTTAATTGTTACGCTTAATAACATTGGGTAGTAAAAGAAACAGAGGATTAAATAGGAAACAGAATGATAATTGATTGTTGAATGAAAGTAATTCAGATTAATCAATAATCATCATGATCTGGATGGTTGGTTACTCTTAATTGTCACTTTCTCTTCCTCTAATTATTTGGAATAATTTTCTAAATATAATTATTATTTCGCTAATCTAAATATTATATTGATTCTGTGATTGTATCATAATAAACAAGGATCACGATTCCGGTTAATTGTTGATTCTAATTGAACATAAATTGGTAATTAAATCTGTTTGTTTACTTGATCCTGGTGTTGATTTCATCCATATGATTATCAAGATGGTTACTTAATATAAATTGAGAAAAATAGAAAATTAGTAAGTTAATTAAAAGAAACAATTAACTGATCATGTTTGTGTAAACAGATTGATATAATTTAGAAACTTGATTACAATCAATTTCTTTTTAAATTAATATGTACATAAAATTTAATATTCGAGATTCATTTAAAAGACGTTAATTGTTAATAATTTAACGAGATGAGAATCAAATCTCAATGAGAACAAGAAAAGTTTTCAAGGAATATATTCTAAGCTAATTAATGTTAAAAAGGTTGAACAAACTTAATTGGATTTCGATAGCAACTAATTAACGCTTTTTTTTACAATTGCGATGGACAAGAAAATCGGACAATTATCATAAATAATATAATATAATCTAAATTGCAAGTTCTTTTATAAGTAATATATGCACGTATGTGTAAGTGATAGGCCTTGAATATGAGCCAGAAGAGATTCATTTGTTTAAAGAAGATCCGTTTAATTGTTGCGGTGAAAATTGTTTGAAATTAATTAAATTAACAGGTAGGAAGTCCAAGTCGTGATAGAGCAATGTTTTTACGACGTTGCATTATCTCCCAATAAACATCATGAACTGTTGATCAAAATAATGGAAAAAAAGAATTAGCAATTTTGAAACAATAACAACGATTATGATAACGAAGTTAATTGTTACAATTACTTACAACTACTTTTAACTAATCCTTGTTGAATGTATCGTAAATAGCAGAAGAGATCACAGACAGCGGTAATGCGATTACGACAAAGTAAGGAGATGTTGTACCAATCATTTCCTAATTTCATTCGGTATTTACAAGTTCTTGGCATATCCAGTAGAGCACATTTCCTGTAGTAATTAAAAAGGTAAATGTTAACAATTAGTGAGAAACAGGGCAAACGGAAGTAACAAACTCATTTATCATTGGTGAGGATTAATTGACAGAATTAAGTTGAGGTTATAAGATTAATAAAAACAAATATTACTTGGGAAAAGCTGATTTATCGGAAACCGATTCAATGGCTATTGAGTTATCTTCTATGGCAGCAAGAACTGAATCAGTTAATGAACGATTTTTAAAATTGAAAACAGGATTAATTTCTTGCTCATAGATACTGGAAATGAATGAACTTGATTTATCGATAGATGGATTTTTCCTCCATTCAGCAAATTGTTGATGGAAAACTGGATCAACTTCACCGATCGGTGATAATCCGAGCATTTCAATTTCTACATCGTTTGTAGTTCCATTTGATTCGTAATTAAGTCCAGGAGATCCACCGAGTTCATAATTGCTAGGAGATTTTCTCGGAGTAGATTGATTAGAATGAGATTTAGTAATTATACCTGAGAAAAATTAAAACAAGTGATTAGTCTTTAGAAGAATAAAATCTAATTAAACATGCACATGGGAGTAAAACAATGAAAATAAAACAAAAAAAAAAAAAAATTACGTGGAAAATGATTAAATGGACTGAGTCTTGATCGCCAAGACCCCAATTCACCTTTGAGGATATTGTTAGTGGGCTTGGCTCCATCAATGTGAGGATGAAGATGTTTGTTAGGAGTCGCCGGAGTTGAAGTGATGACCAGAACTTTGAGAGCATCAACTTCCGCTTGAAGAACGTGCATTTTCATCATTGCCTCTTTATAATCGCGATCAGATTTGGCTCTCATCACATTTGCTGATCGAACCATTTTATTGGCTTCCTCGAATAAACTAGCGGTTAAATCTTCCAATTCGTATTCAACTTGACTTCGTATTCGAGCTAATTTGGCAATTTCGTTATCCTTTGCTCTTAATTCATCTTGAACCTTCTCTAATTGCTTGTGTAACAACTGGATTGTTTCATTGGTTGCACTTGTTTCATTGCTTTTTAAATCAACAACAGGATGAAGGTTATCATCATGATTGTTAATCGCTTGACTATTGGTAGTAGTAATTATTTGAGGTGATTCTTTAATTGTTACATTTGAAGTAGATGATTCGGCAATGGTTGATGAAGATCTTTCCCTTTTCTTTACTTGGTGAGATTCATTATCACTCGAATCATCATCATCACCTGAACCATGATCACTTGTAGAATCATTTACATTCTCAGACCAATATCTTCGTAATTTGACACCGGTTTCTTTTTCCAGAGAATTAAATTTATCTTTCATTCTGGTTTTACATTCAGTGATTAGTTTTTCCTGATAGCAAAGAGTTTCTTCAGTAACGTCCAGTTTTTCCGACGATGATCGAGGAGTGGAATAAGCTGAGGTTCCAGGGCCACTTGAAGATGAATTATTATCACTTGTTTTATTATTATTAATGTTGTTTGCTGGTTGTTGTTGTTGCTGCTGCTGAGCGGACTGAACATTGATTGATCCAGAAGAATTTTCAGAAATTCCATTATGGTTATTGAGCGATGTGGGTTTAGCTGTTGGTATTGTTGTAGTGGACGATGATTGGGTTGACGTTGGGGAAGAGGCATCAGAAGGAGATAACGGTGATCGCTCACTGACAGGATGGTCAATTCCGTTGGTACAGACTTTTGAGTCTATTTCACAACTGGAATTCATTTCTTGGCACTGACAGTATTTGATTACTGGGGTGGGTCAATTACTCACTGAATGGACTCAGGTTAGAAATATAATCACTGGGTAGGCCTGAGGGTAGCCAGGAGTGAAATTGATGGCCAGTTGGTTGGATTAGTACACTCAGAGATGGAGAGAAGGAGTTAAGGAGGATGAAAGAATGAGTGAGATAAAGGTGGAGATATGGGGAAGTAAAAAGGGAAAGAAATTGAAAATGGAGAAGAAGATGAAAAGTTATGAGGTGAGAAGATAAATTAGACAAGAGAGGATGAATTGAATAGCCATTGACTTTCCACTAGCCATTTGAGTTTTTCATCTTCTGGCTTAAGCTGAGAGAAGAGGAGAGTGGAAGACTTTGAGAGGTTCTCTTTTACTTCTCAATCAGATTACTCAGATTGTATTGTTGATTTTTCAGATCTTTATCCTTTTCTCAGATCTTCAGGTTTTCTTCAAGGTAAGAAAATAGTTGTTTGGATCAAAGTTACACAAGACCAGAATTTTAACCATCAACCTCGGATGAGAGCTTTAGATATGATGACTCTCTTTTCTTGGAAACTTGATGAAAATTGGTAACAAATAATTGAAATCAATTTGACTGTGGAGTGGAAAAGGAAAGAAAAAAAATTATTGAGCAATGAGAAAAAGAAATGATCATTTTTTGGAGAATAGAATAAAAAATGTTCTCTTCAAACAAATCATTTTCATATGTTTTTTCAAAAACGATTTGATTGTGTTTAATTAATTTAACGCTAGTTAAATTTCAATAATAATTACCTTAATTTAGTTCATTGTAAACAGTGTGACCATCATAATTAATTAACTTCCAGTTAGATTTTCATGATAATTGTTCAATGACAGCTTTTCCTAGAGTCACAAGAGAGAGACAAAGGTTAACGATGTTCACTTTTCATGAATGTCAAATGTTATTGTATTTTGATTTTTCACTTTTCAATTCTTGTTAATCACTAGTTAATCTGAAAATATTAATCGACCAACAACAACTTTAAATCAATCAAATGTTGGAAAATTAAAAAATTTAAACACTTTAAACCAGTGAACCTTTTGATTATAAATTCCCTTGGGAAAATCAACTCAATTGTTTTGTTTTGAAAATTTCGATACATCGATTGTCCCATTCGATTATTTTACTTTTAAATTCTAATCATTTTAATCATAACCGAATCGTAATCATGATTATACTCAGATTATTATTTAATGGCGATGAAAAACAAGAATTTGACACATTTAACTAACTCAAAGTTGATCAATCCTATTAACAAATTAATTAATTCTCTTTGGCTACCTGAGGATTCCGATGGATCAGAATCTCGAGTTTATCATTCAAATTAATTGTTCGAGGGTAGAAAATAATTAAGACTTTACCATATTAATATCGTGATTGAATTGAGATGAAAAACAAACAAAATAACGATGAATTTAAAGTAAAATTGAAAACAGAACAGAAATTATAATAACAATTAACGATGGTGTTGTATCGTTGTAGATGATGGTGATGGTGATGATGATGGATGAAGGAGATGAGGGAGTGAGATGATTATTGATATTAGAATGGGTGAGAGAGGAGAAAGGGAGAAAAGACTGAGATGATGAGAAGAAATGAAAGACCCGAAAAGGGGAAAAGATAAAATGATGATAGAAATGAGCAGAATCTCTGAAAGAGAAAAGTAAGAAAAATTTATCGATCACAATCACGAATATTTGGACATTTGTACCACGAAATCAACGTAAACTTTTCCAATTTTCATATCAACGGTAATTGTTATTTCTAAATTAGTGATTACTTTTCATTTTACACGATTAATACAATTAGTGGAAGGGGAGAAGAGATAAAATATAATTAGATGCTAATTATATAATTTTTCAGGGAGTAAAAGTGACAGGGATTTGTATTTGTTTTTCTTGCATTGATTTTGACACAAAAAAAAAATGATTCTCATGATTAACAAGAAGATCCATTCTGGAAAAACATTGACCATTGATTGTAATTCACTTTGCCAGTTTACGTTGTGTCTTAGTTGATTGTTTAGGGTTAATTGTTGAACATATTATGCTTGCGTTTGTTTTCAATTAAATGTTTCAGTTTTTTTTTGTACAATTAATGGTCATCAAAGTTTGAAAACAATAAGATTGAACATTGAAACTATGAAAGTGACAGAGGGAGATTACAATTAATGGGAAAGAGAGTGAAGATTATTTTTCCAATATTAATTGATTATTGAAAGTTATTCAAGTTAATCGATAATATTAATGATATGGATGGATGGATACTCGTAATTATCACTCTCTTTTGCTTTCAGGATAATTGCCTGATATTACATTTATAACAATAATAACATTTATAAATATATTAATATACTCGTTCAAATATATATTTATATTGTTATTTTTTGTGATGTTTACAAGTCTCTCACTTTTGTTTGCTTCCATTAGGATTAGTTGGTGAAAGAGGAAAAAAGTAAAACAAAGAGCAAGAGAAAGGGAGAATCTGTTTATAAACAAGATTTGTACAAAAAAAGAACGAACGAGAGAAAACACTGGGATTAAAATGTTCGATAATCAGCAAGCTAAACAAAACAATATTCGAGGTATTTATCGTCGAAAGTATTTTCAAAAAATTGGTGTTCCTTTGATACTTTAAGCAATGTAACTGTATTCATCTTGGGCTGCTGTCCTTTCTAGATATTGTTTCTCGATGAGCGCTTCGATACACTTTTTTACCATTGGTATACTTGGACCGAATCGATTCTTGGCCTGATCTATCACCTCTTGGATTAGTTGATTATGTTTCATTATTTTACGAGCTTTCATTATTCGTACGACAGCAGCTTGAAGGAAAAGTTTTCTGTCCTCGTCGACCGATGAGTGAGTTTGTTCAACTTCTTGTTGCTAGAAAAAGGAAGATGATGAAAAGAAGAAACAAAATAATCATTAACAGAGTTTTTCTCTATACATATGAAATGGAAGATTTAAATTAAGGAGAAGATTAATTTACCTGAGTGACCTCTTTTTGATTGACGGCGAGGATCTTGAAACGTGTTCGTTTGCTTACAAAATTGAGATTCAACGTTAATTGGGTCTCAGGTTCGAAAGTGTATTTAATCAAAGTGGGCGATGAACCTTCCTCGCTGTTGGGTATTGGTTTACCAGCGACTACAATTGGTGGATTGGTTGAAGTATCGGTAAGGGTGTTAACATGATCGTGATTAAGAAGTTTCATCTCTATTAACATACTAAGATGTTTGGATAAAAGGTCTTCGGTTAGATTAGTGCTCAATTGGATTTCCTTGAAAGATAATTTATCGGTACTTTCGAAGAGAAGTAAAATGGCCATATAATAGGTCGACATTGAGGCCAAATAGGGTTTCTTTGAGAAGCAAATTTTCACTTCACAGGTTGATAGATGATGGAGGAAGGTTAATTTACGACCATGGTAAGTCTCATTGTAGAAAGATTCAAAATTGGAACAAGATTTTTCCAATATCTGTGGCATTGAGAAGGGAGAAGATAAATTCTGTGCCAATGGCCAAGCGCCCGCTTGAAGGACGAAAATGTTAAAATTAATTCCACCCAAATCACGTTTATCATTTTTCAACCAATCAGAGAAAGAATCATTTAAATCATTGGAGATTTTAACATCGGTAAACATACGATGAAGTTTAGAGGTGAATTCGTGACCACAGGCTTGTTTTAATTTGTTAATCATTGATTCCTCTGAATCCATTGAGACTGATTGTGAGTGGATTAACCTTTTGGCTAACATTTTGGCGTAAAATTTTTGGAAAACATCCTTATCATCAATATACTTGAAAATGGTTATCGATCGTCGTAACTTCTCATCAATTTCAAATTCGTTAACACTTTTAGAGGTTTTCTTCAAAAGAGAGTCACAGTAACGAGCCAAAAGCTCAGCTGATCGACAAGGAAGTTTTGAATTGACTCGATGATTAATAACATATGAACACGCTTTGTCCAGGGCTCCAATAAACTGTTGATCCGAATTGAAAACATCGTTAATCAGATCTCTCTGTTTACGATAAACCTCCAAAAGATTTTCAACAAAACTATTGGCAATATTTTCTCCAGACAAGTTAATTATGGCATCTAAACCAATTTTGGTGAAATGTTTTTGAACCTCAGAAACGAGATGTTGTATCCCAGGACCGATTGGTTTGAGTAATTTAAACATATTGTGAAGATCTTTTCTACTTTCACTGATCACCATTCGTTGACATTCAGCGTGTAAAAAGTCAAGATGATTAGCAACCATTTCCTCTTCACAAACCTCACTAACTTTAGCGTGTGATGATACATGTAAATATTTACGACTTCGTAATATCTCAGAATCCAAACGTTGTAAAACTTTTTCCATGTATTGGGAACAATCACATTGAGCAAGAATTTTAGAAGCTTCTCTTGAGTAATATTTCCGGGTTGCCTCTAGAAATGGTGTTTCGAAAATGTCTCTGTAAAGATTGAGGTCTTTCTCCTTCTTTTATACTGTTCAACCATAACAAAAGATTCGATTACTCCTTGGATTACACTCTCATTCGTAGGGTTACCCAAACGGTCACTAAAGATGAAAAGAAGAGAAAAAATTAACAAAAATATTAGTAAAACAATAATAACAATAACTTAATGGTCAATATTGAAGTACAACGATTGCTTTGATCAATCAAGGAATAGAAAAGGTAACAATGGAAAACCTTGGCTCTTCTTATAATCTAAATGTTTTAGATTGATAATTTTCAACACATCGAACAAATAAAATGTATTTAGATCAAGTCTAGAATATTGAATATTTGGTTAGAAAATGTAATGTTTACAAAGCTATTCTGTTGTTTGTATTTTCACTTTGGAAAGTGAGTATGAATCTTAAGCATTTTGGAATCTCCAAATGTAAGAGTGAACAAGGTTAATCCCAGTCAAATAGAATCGATAATCTTTTGAATAGAATATAAAACGAATCCATACTTTTCGAATGCTTGAAGTAAAAGATCAACCAAATCATCTGACAAAGGTTCAATCATATATTTTCTCCAATAGGATAGACCCAATTCACCAATTTCCAATTTTTGATCTTCCGCATCAGCATAACCATAATTAAGCTCAGCTTCACCTAATCTAAGCTTCTTAAGGTGTTGATTATTAAGATACATATACAATTTATCCATAAATTGAATTCCATCCCGATAAACCAACCATTCTTGATAATAATTAACCAACAGGTTATCACCCATTTGAACTCGCAAGCATATCTGTGAATGCAACTTTTTCACATGGTTGATGATAAATTTTTTCGTCTCCTCGTATAGTTCATCAGGATAGGGTGTAGGCTTAGCAACACACATCTTATAAACATCGGAAAATCGTTCAGACCATTCAGCCTTGTTAACATTATTCAACAAAATCACAGATTCAAGTGTATTGCGTAGTCGACCCCAACTCTCGTTGAAATCAACTTCAACTGGTCTTAGAGTCATTTCTATGAAAAGGCAAAACACTAAGAGCCACAAAAAGAAACAAACGGTTACTTAATGATCCAAGGTCTCAATAGAATTAAAAATTTAAAATAAATTCACAGAAGAAAAATTAATAACACTAATTAACCAGTTAACCATTAAAAGAAAATGTAATAAACATTGAAAGAGAAATAAAAAATGAGTTTATTGAGCCTCCTTAGAAGTGACTATTTACAGTCGTCATATGACTGAGCACCTCGGTGCTGATCGATCGGTCATAAGCCACCGATGGTTGAGGTTAACAAGAATATTCACTTTCCAGTTTAATGTGTTTAATTATTGATTCAATTGTTTTCAGGTCTTTTTGGTTCCATTCATCGACATTTTCGTTCTGATCTCTAGTAGTTCAGGCCATCTCAACTCGTTTTGACATTTGTTTATAATGTGATCTGCGTTAACTTGTTCCCCAGCACTTGGGCATCGGATAGTGATAGGTGAGTTTATTTAGCGTTATTCTTTGACTCATATTTAGTTTCATTTGTATCTTTATATTGAGTCTTGTCAATGGAGAGTTTGACTTTTATAATTTTCTTCTATTATATTTTCCATCCTTTTTTGATTATTTTCGTTGTCAAGATTGTGTTCGGTTTCCTGAGACAGGTACCTCAAACCGTTTTCCCGTCAGTCCACTTTCTTGGATTGGTTATTTTATACGTCCAGTCGCCCGGTTTACACATTATCCTTCTCAGGCCAATAGCGAAATCGGATGCACCAAGATAATATTTCGCCGACATCTCATCTAATTCGATTGTTATTCCCTTGTTGTGAAACATCTGTATATCAGTTCCACTGATATCAGCTGTTGTTCATATTGATTCGCCGATCCTGGAACTAGTAGGTCATCAATCTCGTCTCTCTTTCCGTGATCGTCTTAATTCTTATCTCAATTCTTCCTTTCCCTTGTCTCGACTTGTACCAGTTTTGTTACCTGCATTGACCATTCGTCTTTGTACCCATTGTACTGGTATCCAAGTTCTTTTAACCATCTCTGATTCTCTATTTTCCCTTTCTCGTTGGCCTCTCTCTCCAATTGTTTTGTTATGATTTGACCGATGTAATTCGGATATTTTCTGATTATCAGGTAAGACCATTTTGTTTGTTTCTCTCTCCCACTGAACCTATGACCATTTGCCCCCATTAATTTTATCATTTGTCTATCTCAGGTTCTTTGAACATGAACATCATCAGGAAATGTTGTACAGCTTTGGCCATACTATCGACGAGAATAGCAGTTGTATTACCTTTTAAATACTTGATGATGGGCCACTTTTCGAGAATTTTGGAATCTTCATTCACATATGTTGATTTTACTAACGTTGTCAAGTCAACCATCGTTGGTTCCTTCTGAATGCTGTAAACCACCAGCTCAAATTTATCCTGTTCGTCACATATATAAATTCAGTTTTTTCCTCGTTAATTCTCAAATTGATTTCCTGAAGTACTCTTTTCCTCCATTATCGCTGGGATGTTTCTATGTTGTTATTGGAACCATTATTATATCGTCTGCGTAAGCAAATACCTTTATCTTCTCTGCCACCATTTCCTTATACAATGGTCTCCAATATAAACAATATCGGTCCAATAGCCAGAGATACATATGATTGATTCTTTTGTAGTTTTTTCCATTGTCGTAGATTGTTAGCCAGCTGTTGTTATTCAATGCATCTATCAGTGCTACTGTTGATTGAGCTCTTGATTAACCGACACCGGATTTGGGCAAGGTTCGTCGTAAAGCTGTTCATCAATTTTATCATCGTTGATATGTTGAATTGTCGATCATATAATTTTTTGGTAATAATCTTCTCTTCCTTCATTCTCTGGAAACCAAATTGGGTTTCTGGTAGTAGGAATTCGTCCAGAACGTCCATAAGTCTATTCGCTATTATTTTGTCTATGATTTTCAATAGATAACAGGGTGTTCTAACCATTCTCAATTTACCTTCTTTTTGGGGACGAAGCCACAACCAACAGTTGTCAACACATTTGGAATATGAGATATTTTGAAAATTCTCCGATCAGCCACAATATGATTGGTTCATTCTTTTCTTGAATTTATTCCATGAATTTTTGCTGAAATTATCATGGAGACTCGATGATCTGGCTGTCATTTTCTTGATCATATCTATCTCGTAAGGCCAAAGTTTCTGAATGTATTCTGGTTCATCCTTGTATTTTGGTTTTAGTTGTATCAAAACCTTGTAGCCAATCTTGTTTTTTTTCGTTCTTTCATCATTCCAGTTAATTTTCTCAGGTTCAACAAGTATGTGTTTCTTTATGAGGTTCCAGATCTTTGCTATTCTTTCTTTTTCAAAAGTTTCTCTTTGAACTTTTCTATTTTCCTCTTTATCTCCGTCGATAGTTCGTCAACTCTTGTTTCCATGTTAATGGTTTTTCTTTAATATTTTCTTCTTTTTCTAATAGTCTTCTGAATCGGTTCTTTTTGTGATTTTCCATACCCATTTCCGTGATTATCCGGAAAAATTATCTCTCGTCATCTTTACTAATGGATGTTCTTTGACCATTTTTGGGTGTTTCGTAGTTGTTTGGACATTTTAATGAGCCAGAGCCAAATTGTTTCTGTTTCTCTCTTATATTGGTTTCCGTTCCTTTTGGTTTTAATTCCGCTGTTACATTTATCCTCATATGGTCTGAGTTCGATTCTTCAGTAAACACATTCTCCATTTCCATGTTGGTGAAGATCATATCGATCACCCATTCGGTGTTTCTAAACGTTGATCTAAGATTTTGTCAGCCGGTTTCAGTCATTTCTCTTCAGGAATCAACCAGAGCATCATAAAGTCTCTATTTTTCCCATTTCTGGATCCATGAAGATTCCATCAACTTTTGCCAGTAATCATCCGACGTATTTAGATCGCCCATGAGTGTCATCGAGTATTCTTGAAATTTAGTTGTTATTGAATTGATTATTGGTATTAGATGATCAAAAATAATGTGTCTTCCATGGCCTCGTACATATGACCATCACTATTAACTGAATACTTTTACTTGTAGTATTATCAAGTTGTTGGCATCTCTTTGGATTACTTTGCTCTCGATGTCTGGTGAACAGATTACCATCTCCTTCGTTGGAATAAATGAATTTATTATCGATTCGGTCATTTATCGTTTTTAATGGCTCACAAATTGACACAATAGCGTAAGTTGCTTCTAGAGTTTTATTTATAATTAGATTAGTTAAATCTGAATTTCTATTAACATTAACGGAAAGTTTGAGTTTCATTTTAGTTTTAACTGTGATCTAATTTGTTTACCTTCCGTTGCCAGGTAGCTATCCAATTTCCTGGCTCTCTTTTTGAAACTCATTTCAATTTTCTGTTATCATGTCCGACGTTATCCTGAGCGAGTTTACTTTGTGTCCTCTCAATGGTTTTATCAAACTTAATTGTATCGTAAATACGTTAACCAATTCTTTCTTGTTGGTTCTAAATTCAGTTTAGTTCGTGAGTTCCTGTTCATGATGGTAAGATTAAAATCACCAAGTTAATTTACTCAAACCCTTTCCGTGGATGATGTAACTTTTCACATTGTTAAAGTGATGGTTTCTGTTATGGTCGACCATTTGTCGGGATTGAGTTATGTTTTTTCCGAAAAGCTCATGATATGAGTTGTTACAATCATCAATCTAATGGTTGAAAAAGGGCCGGTCATAATGGTGATTTCGTGAAATCGGTTTTTGACTAGCGATACTAATTATTATTTCTTTTCTTTTCAGCCTCGGTTTTGACTGCTTTATATTGGCGGACATTGTTTTTAATTCAGCCATTCTCATTATTTACTCTCAGCTTTTGTTCATGAACTCTTCTCCTGTTATTTACAAGCTTCATGTGAGATTGGGACCAATTGTGTTGTTAACCTCAGAGCGAGATATTTTAGAAGCTAAGATCGAGTAAATATCTTTGGACAGTTGTCGTGTTTAATTTTGTGCGAGAGATATGGTTAAGGCTTCAGTCAAGAGTGATTTTGTTATTCGTAATATTCCCTCACCTGGAGAAGAAATTATTTCCGGTAATCAGTTTCTGCCTCCTAAAGTTAAACCATTGCTCGATTTAGATCTCGATGATCATCAAATGCTTCTACTTAGACCTCAGTGATTTCTGCAATCGAGTTTATCAAACACCAGGAGGGCAAGAGAGTGCAACTTATTTCGATCTCATTAGAAAATTGTGTAACGATTTTCCTGTTTTTCGTAATAGATTTACTTTTGTGTTCAAGGAACTTTCGTTTGTAAACATTGTGCTAATTTCCGGTTTAAATTTAAATATGATTTCCTGTACTTGACCCTGAAGCCCTTGGAGTCTTTGAGGAAAGTCTGATATCATAACCGAGGTTAAGTATTGAGGTATTGGTTAGATAACTTGTCCCAATGTGATCGATGAAGTGTTTGTAAGCAGCTATCGGACTATCGAGGATGCTAAACTCGTGCGGTTACCTGATTTTTAGTTATCAGCCTCCGTGGGCCTTTAATGGAGTCACCTGATTTCGAGATCATCCCGGAGGAATATCTTGTTGTCCTTTTGGTGGTAATGAATTTGTTTTCAGTCGCTTAGCTTTTAGTTCAGTCTATATGACTTAAAGGATTTTGTACGTTCTCTTGGTGATCGTTTTCACCCGATGATCCTACTTATCTTCTGAGATGATTACACACTTAGTTATTATAAAACCTCCGATGGGTATCAAGAGGTTAATAATGGTAAATTTCATGAGCCAATTTCCTGAGCTTTTCTCTCGATACACCGAGGAAGTTTACTTTTTATCAATTAGTTGATTTTGAATGGTTGCCAACTGGTCAACCTTTATGATTTATTTTGAAATTAAAGAATTTATTACTTATAATAATCGTGTTTTTCTTTTCGGGCTTAGAGTGAAGCCAGATCAAGGGTTAGCTCAAAAGTTTTTATTGGATAGATATTAGGGTTAAGCATTGAAGTATTTTATTCCAGAGGTTCAATTCTGGTTCAGAGTGAAGCCAGATCAGGGTTAGCTCGGAAATCACATCATTAGGTAGTTGTAGTTGAAATCGTCAGAGACTACAAATTGCAGCTCAGAGCAATATAATTTGCAGTCTTGACTGTAGGCCTGATGGTCCCTTTCCACACGAGGCATAGAAATGATTTCGATGGGCATACTGATGCAATGCTGATTTGAACACCGGCATTTTAGTTGGTTTCGACAATTTCATTTAGTGTCCAAATCGATGACACATTCGACACGACATGATCGGGAAATTATCAGTGACTGCGTAATTTGATCCAGTAGATATTCGAATCATTCAGTCTCGATTCTATTATCGATCTTATCGCAGGAAATTCTAGTACAACACCCCATTTATCGGTGTTGGACCCATTTCGTAAAAATGTAGCAGTTTGAATTGTTTTCCGTCTCTGAAACCATTTATTAGCATGATTCTTGCGATGTGACTTTCCCAGTTCGTGTTGATCGGTGGTTTCATGAAATTGATTTTAATTTGTGGTCTTCCATAGGCATCGTTTCACTTCAACTCAATTTCTTTAAATCTTCTGAACAGATCTGATCGTTCATTCTCGTGTTCACCATAATCATGAGAATTTTTTCAGGCTACTATTTTAAATTGGTAGTCAATTCAAAAGTCGTTATCATGTCTGTGAGAATGTTAACAGATCTTGTTTCAATGGACCATTTACTTTAATTTGAATATACGGTTCATCGTCCACTTCACCACGGTGGGTGTGGTAGCAGTCGTTGGTAGAAGATTCTGTGATCGATTTGTTGTTTCTCGGCGGGTGAGAATTTCCAGTTTCTGGTCTCCTGATCTTATCCGAGGTCTTTTCGTTTTGTTACGATAGATATTTCTTCATCTTCATTTTGGGCTTTGAGGTGCGGGAGCTGTGATGGACTAATAGCAGCAGCTTCCGGCCTCTAAGGCTATTCTCAGTTTCACTGATTTCGAAAAGCTACCATTATTTTCTTTAACCAATCCACTTTTTGGTTTGCTTATCAACTCCTTCTTCGTCAACTGGATGTTCCAAAAGTTGCATTATTAGACGAATAGATTGTTCAATGTATTGTATGGGTTCATTGTTCAGGAAATCTGTTAATTTACACTGTCGAATGATCCTCCTCAAAGAAAGACATTATTTTTGACTTTATCAGGTCATATTGTTGTTGTAGTTCATGGTTGGGTTCTTTGAAGAACGGAAAAATAATGTTTTGCTGTCGAGATAGAATTCATTTAATAAGAATACATGTTAGAAAAAACGTGGTCAGGTGAATTGTGGTCGAGTTCGTTTTAGTTTTTTACTTACATTGTTCATTTTGGTCTTAATTTGTTCCCGACAGGTTAGTCTTTCAATAATTTACTTAATTGTAATTTTATAATCAGTTTTCTACAAGTAATTAACTTTAATTTGATTGTAAAATTGTCTCATGAGAACACAACAGATGACATGGAATTCGCGAAAAAAAATCGATAGATGGAGTTACTTGTTCTTCCACCGAATGTTGATCTTTTTTTCTGTTCACCTTGATTGGAATGACATCAAATCTTTTAATTAGATTAATCAGTTAATCAAATAATTAGAATTTTGTTTTAATTTTTCTCTTTTTTTTCTCTCTCTCTGTTTCAAACTGTGTCAATATCAATGTTCTAATTAGGTTGTTGGTATGGAAATGGAAGATTAAGATTTGGAAAACAATAACTGGTGAATTTTGATGTTGATCATTTTTGAGTTTCTCTATTTTTTGATTAACAAACTTGTTTTGGGTCTGATTGATTTTGTACAATTTGGTGTTAACGCTGTTAATCAAATTTATTCATGTCTCAAGATGGATTTACAAGGTTATACTTGAATCACTGACATCATTTGATATGGAAAGATTTACGAGAAATTAGATGACGATGTTTATTTGGTTAAGAGAAAATTTGGTTTTCTTTTTTTTTCTATTCTTTTCTATGAATTTTTTCATTTTTCCTCTATCAGATGAAGGACATTGTCCATTTACGATTGAGACACTGATCAGTTTTACACCATTTGAGTAAATACTTGAGGTGTCAGATTGATGATTAACTCTCATCTGATGGTGTATAATCTTCAATAAGATGTTCTCAAGATTTTTGATTGTTCCCTCATTTTCTTTGTCTGATTAACCATAAATATTGAATATTTGGTATTGCAACGATGGATGATAATCATTACCTATTCTGGAACATTGGAGAATCATCTTAAAGTTATCTAAATATTTCCACTTAATTGGATAATCAAACGTTGGATCATTAATTGTCCCTGTCTTTGGATTAACATGGTTGGAGATTTGATTGGAACGTTAGATGAGATTAAATGCGATTAATCCAGCGGAGAAAATCATCTACAATCACCACAACGAAAGACCAATCCTTTAATATCCAACATCGAAAGAAAAATTATAAAAGAAAAAGGAATCAAAGAAAACGATTGAACTTTTCTGAATCAATCTCTTTTTCAAATGATGACAATAGGAGAAAGAAAATTTAAAGAAAACCCGTTTTTTTCTATTCGTTCAGCATTTCCAATTTTCCTCATAATCAAGACGAAAAGTTCAACAACAAATCAATAATCTAAATGTGAATCTAAATTATATTAATCATCAAAACAAATCTAGAGGCAAAATAAGAGAGTACATGAAGTAAATTCATTTCGTTTCAAGGAAAAAAGGGGAACCGAAAAGTGAATCAAGTGATTTTCCAGTTAAAGAAGAGATGGAGAAAAATTTTCTGATTAAATGCTTCAGAAAAGATCAAAACTTCAATCGGAATTAATGGTTAATTCAAGAGGAGAAAGACTTTTACCTTCGATTGGCAATAAATCACCGTTCGATAAATTCCACCGACAGATGGCGCAAGTTGAAAGGAAAAAACAACAAATCATTCAAGTGAATTAATGTTAATTGTGGTTCCTTTTGTTTATTTACTTATCGTTTTTCTTTGTCCAAAAAGTTAATTCCATTGCCCTTGAAACTTAACATGATCACATAAGGACTATGGTAGACACGAGACTCTCATTAAGTAACTACAACAATTAAGGTCTTGGATTAAACAACAACAGCAGTTAAACATAAACAATTGTCGCTGTTAACTCATCAATTAATTTTCGCCTCTCACCTTTTACACACAACAACATTTACCAATCCTATTGACTGTCATCATCACCAATTGAGGTTCTATCGGCACTTGATTATAACAATCAATCAATTGGTGAATTATTTCCCCTGAAAACTTGACTGAGAAAACAAAATTTCCTCGAGAAGGAAAAAAAAAGTTTTTTTTTGGTTAAGTAAATAATGAGAAAAAAAGTTGAATCTTTATTGTTACAATTTAGATTTACATGAAAATCTTACATTCATGTAAATCTATTGTATTCTTGTAGTGGTCAAGAATCGTCTCTCACGATTACCGGTCATTAGCCCGGTCAACTTTTAGATATAATAATTATAATAATTTATTATTAACCCAAGCATAAAAGATTCATCTTCATTGTGTATGAATAAATTTAGATTGTTGAAGAAATTAAGAAAAAAACAAACTAAGAATTACAATCAACCTGATGAAAGAGCTTGAAATTCAAGTTATATTACTTTCAACAATTGTAATCACAACAATTATCATTTAGCTTAACTAACTAGTTAACTAACTATCCAAATCATTTGAATATTTTTAACCAACGTGTTGATTATTATTAAGTGTTATTTATAATCCGTAACTCTGACCATGATAGTGAATATGCAAAATTTGTTCAACGACAATTTAATTGTCACTTGTTGATCATTTGATCAACACGATTTCTCCGAATAATTTTAATTTGTAATTGATTAATTGCTGTTAATCTGATTTAATCAAATTGTGAGACTTTGGTAAACAAAATGTAAAAATTAAAAACGCAAAGGTGACAAAAAAATATGATTGCAATATAATGACAGTTAATTAATATAAATATGATAGTGGTAATTAAAAAGATATCATGACAATTAAGGGAAAGACAATTAAATTAATCAAGATGTTGTTGTTGTTTGTTTTTCCCTTGTTAACTTATTAACTTTGATACAATGTTGAGACGATATTGATGATAAGGCAGGTTGTTGATTACCAGGTTGGTGATTAACTAAATTAACTAAATTGCTGCTCGTTGGTAGATCGTTAATTTTACGTTTCAAGTCTTTATATTGTTTCTTTAACTCCTTGTAGGCTTTAATTGGAACCATTTCATCAGTTGATTGTTTGATTGTGGTTAAATTGTCCTCCAAAGATTTAACCTTTAATTGTAACTTTTCAACTAGATTTTGATATTGTTTACATTTTAATTTAATTTCTTCACGTTCCTTGTGTTTCTTTCTAATCTCACAATTTAAATCATCAATTTTCATCCTTAATTGATTCCTTTCCTCATCTAAATTGACTCGTAATTTACTAATCATCTCATCATTTTCTACTTTAATTCTAACAGTTTCTTTTCGTTCCTCTTCCAGGATTATCTTTATCCGATTGTATTCTGATTCTGATCGAGTTAATTGTACAGTTAAATCCTTGTTAATCGCTGAGACGGTTGTTAATTCACTTCTGACCTTATCCAATTCTTCCAAACAATTAACTTGATTACGACGAAGACGATCAACCTCATCTTGGAAACTTTGAAACGATTCAAGTTTCGCTTTCGAAATCATAACTTCTTTCTCCAAATTCATTCGAGTCTCACAATTAGAATCCAATAGACGTTTACAATTATCTAATTCGTTCTTTAGTCGATTCTTTTCTTCATTTGTTTCAGCAATTGATTTTCCAACGTAAACCTGGATCATGAATGAGAAGAAAAAGAAAAGAAATTAAATGAGGATAAACAATTACAATTCCAAGTCACACCAACAATCAACAATTACAATAGTTCTGGAGATGGAATGAGAGAGAAAAGAAGAAGAAGAAAATATAATAATTCTAAATCTCTTCTCTTCTGACTCATTGACACACATCAATTGAAGATGAAGAAAAAAACAGAAAATTCTAATACGCTAATCATCATTTTCGAGATCATTAATTACCTTTACTAAACGATTACCACGAAGATAATGATTAGTTGTGGTTTATTGAAGAGGATAAGAGGAAAAGAGCAGGTAAGAAATTGAGAGTTGAGAGTCTGAACAAGACGAAAAGTCTTAACAATCTAATTAGTTGATTAGATTAGATTGTTAATCATGATTCTTGTTAATAACGTAACATCATCTTCGGTGTATTTACTAAGTGAAAGTAAATTATTCACAAATTTCATCAATTTTGCTCATTGTACTTTTCAGTTTCTCGAAAAACTTTTCGTTGATTGTTGATTAGATGATTGTGGTTTAAATTGTTGTTTACCTTTCACGTTCCAAGGCGCTTTTATCATTTGATTCTTGTTGCTTGATTACTTCAATTTGAAGTTGAAACTCTTTCTCTTTTGTCTCAATTGTTTTCTCTAAACAATTAATCCGTTCAGCTTTCAATTCTAAATCAATTTTAAATCCTGTGGATAAAGAAAAAGAAAACAATTAGTTGATTTATTGGCAAATATATACGATTTAGATTTAGATTTAGATGATCATGAAAACTAATTGGAAAGTAGAGTTAATTGTTAGCTAATTTAGTTTTTTCTGTTGGAATCAGCGATTTGCAGTCAAAGTGATTTACTGATATAGTTTTTTGTTTTCTTGGCTCAAGGATAACAACAATTAACTTACTTTTAATTTGATCAACAAGTGAGTTCTTTTCAATTTCTAAATCACTTTTTTCCTTTGCATACAAGCGTCTTAATCGCTCCTTTTCCTGGTCAAAGGTTTTTCCATGCTGGTCAGTGTTTTCTCATGAGAATCGAAATCACGTTCGTACCTTTTAATTTCCGATTTAAGTTTATCCTTTTCTCGTCGAAGATGTTTAATCAAACCATCTAGATTTAGATTATCTTCACGAGCAGCGGTCAATTGACTTCGTAACTGGTCAATTTGTCTCTCGTGTTCAATCATTGATTTTTCCTGTTCCGAACCAAGAGTTTCAATTGTGTCCTGGATCTTAACGTACTGACGAGTCGCCTCTTTAAGGGCTTTCTCCTTGTTCTGTAATTGTGAGCTCAGTGTTTCCACCTCATTGGTAAGAGTCATAATCCGATGACCTTCCGGGGTTTTGGTCAGTTCCAAAAGTTTAACTCGAAGTTCCTCTTTTTCTTTTCGTATTAAATTGACCTCTGCTTCGTAGATCAGCTTTGACCTTTCAATGGAATCGGACATTTCCTTTTGGACAAATTCAACCTTTTGCTTGGACAATTTAAGTTCTCCCATCAGTTTATCATATTCCCTCATTAAATCATCCTTTTCCTTCATTAATCTCTTATAAGGTTCTTGTAATTTATCAGCTAATTGTTGTTTAATTAGAACAGGATCTCGTTGATTTAATTCTTTCCTCAATTTGTCAATCAATTCTTCTTGATCATCTAACTGTTTTCTCGCAATTTCCAATTCATCATCTTTCTGTTTCTTCAAAATTTTCGTCTCTTCGAGGATTGATTTAATCTCCGATTGTAAAGTTAAATAATCTTTACGCAATTTAATTTGTTCATCTCTTAATTGTAGATAATTATCCTTTCGTTGTTCACTTCGATTCCTCTCTTCGGATAACAATTTTCTCAACTCTTTCTCCCTGTTGGTCAAAGGTATTGACCCATTCACAGAGTCCGAACCCAAACCAGTAACATTGTTCGTGACCGTTGTTGTAGCCATTGTTGTAGACAAATTCACCACGAGAACAAAACAAATTAAATTGTCACCAATTAATGAGCACAATTGATATTAATTAACTCCAATTGTTTGCTCATTAATATTAAAGTTGCTCAGGGAAACACTAATGTCAAGATAACTGTTGATTTCTGTTGATTATATCGATGATTCAAGACACAATTTACTAATTTTTTCACAACCAATCATTTCAAACACTTAATTAAATTGTTAATTTTGATTGTAAGCATGAAAAATATTAAATTCTAATTGTAGTTGATCCTTAATTGTTTCGATTTTGTTTATTTCTAAAGCTCCATGTTTGGTTTCTATGTGGTAACCAAGAGGTTTTGTTTTGTTATTATTTTCTGAATAGACACAATTAAGGGATTGTTGTAATATTACAATTAAATTAATTTTATCAATCAAAATCTAATCTTGTTAATTTTCATATTTAGGTGATTAACTGATTGTTGCTGATTAGAAATTGACCAAATTGGTTAATCCATTGATATCAAAGGTAAAATCTTATTAGATTGTTGAACTTAATTAATTATTATTATCTGATTAGAAAAAAAAATTAATTATCTAATCAACTAAAAGGTAAACATTAAATGGAATCAACAATCAATTAGAAATTGGAAACAATTAACAGTTAAGATTAATTTGCAATAATGTTTGTATTGATAATATTAACCATCAACCACAATTAATGTTCAATTGTATGATTAGTTTGTAATTACAACAATTAAGAAAATGAAACAATTTATCTTGTATAATAAACACAAAAATTATCATCTCTTTTTGTACAATTAATAATTAACTTAATTAGAATTGATTATCTTGTCTCTTGAAAATCAAAATGTGACAATTAAAGTTTTTACATCAATTGTAATTGTCAATCAATCATTTAAACCATCATAGGAAATGAATATTTAACTTTTGACAATTTGTCTTAATTGTTGATTTAATTGTTTACATGTTTCACCTAGAAAATTGTAAATACAATTTGATTGTTTTGAAAAAAAACAACTAATTGTTTGAGTTTTTTCATGTTCAACAAACTTGCAAACTCTAGTTAGTTTGTTGATAATCAATAATCATTACGTTGGGTTTACCATGTTTGGAGTGATTAAGGACAATTAACCATGATGAACACCCATTCAAATGTTTACAATTAACTTATTATTTACTTGATTACATTCCCTTGATAATGAATAGTAACTGGAAAGCAAATCAAGCGGAGGAAATTAAGAAAGTAAGAGAAATTAGAAAGAGAATTGGATTTAAATTGTGAACAATTTAGTTAATTTAATAAGTTGATCGACTACTTCGCCCACTAATTGATTTTAACATTTTCTCTTACGTATATATTTATCATTTTCATTCATTGCTAAGGTTTTTTTTTTCGTAAAATTTAACTCACTTGATTGTTACTCACTTTACTAATCACAATTAAGAAATTGAAATTGAAATTAACATTTACTTCATTCTGAGATCTTCATCATAATTGTGTCGCTCTGTGTTTACGATAATTTTGTTTTCCTCAATTCAATTCCAAACTATTAAAGTGTCAACAATCAGTAATCGCTGTAAAGTTAATTGTTGATTATAATCATCATCATCATGGAGAAATCAAAATCGTACCAATCAAGTGCCAATTATCAACAACGTAACAAAACTGTGGTCAAATCAACGGCCGCTAATCCATACGGTACCAAAAGCTACTTGACCAATAACAACAACAATGATGTTAATTATAAATCAAATAAATTTCAGGTAAGTTGATTTAATTGTGATTCCAATTGCTGAATTTAAATCACTTGGATAGCTGATCTAATCCAATTCCAATTGATTCTAGGTTGATACTCGTAAAGATGAGATTGTCCCTATTTCCAGAGATGGTAAGTAATTAATGAGAAACAAAGTGTTTAACAATTGAACAATTAACAAATCGATTAATGAAAATAAACACCAAACAATTAAACTGATTAAAATTAAATCTAATAGGAAAATAAGATTAACCGAGAAAAGATTTACCATTGAAATTATAAGCCAATTAATTTGAATTTTTCATTAATCAGTTAATTGTTTGTGTTCATTATTATCTATTTGATTTATTGTTAACAATTAAATACCAATAGTTAAGGGGAAATATATTTAAACTTATTAATTTATTGATAATTCATGGGAATTTAATTTTAATCATTTACATTGACATTCATCTTAAATTGTTATCACAATTACAATTTGCGTCTTTCCAATAGTTAACAACAATTAACTTAATCTTCCTACATAAAATGTTAAATTAGTTCAAGGTTAAATTGTATAATGCAAAAAAAGTAATTAATTGATAATCAGTCAATGTTATTTAGGAATCAAGACAATCAAAGGCCAATCAACCAACGCAACTTTTTTTTCATGTTGATTGTAGTTATTGAAATAAGTGATTAGTGGTTGATCATTTGAATAGTGGCCTCGAAGTAATTAAATGGTATAAAGTAGTATGAAGATAATCATATAAATCTAATCAATTGATTTGACAATTATCCAAGTAGATTAAGAGGAATTAGTTATCGGAAAGAGGAAAAGATTAGTATGAATATGAATTGATTTCTTCCTCGACTGTAAGGGTTACATGTAAACATTTGATTCCATTTGATGATTTAAATTTGCTTTTCGTTTTCTTGTTGATTAAATTAGAGGAATGGACTAAATCTAAGAAAGTAGTTAATCATAAGACTCGGCAAATTGAGACACGAATACAGAGACAAATTGTTATGGAGGATGGTAAAGTGATCGCTGACAGCGGCCCTCAGGTCACTCAACGAACCAAGGAAGATATTAAAACGGAAGAGCTTGAAGGCTCATCGGGACGTGGAGGAAAAGGTGAAGGTGGTGATTTGCCTGTCGAGGATTACAAAGGTTTACCAGGTGAGGCTGTTGTTTCGGAGAAGGTGGAAACACGTAACACAACACGTGAAGCTCGTCAAGAGCAGTTACAGTATCACGATGAATCGATAAAAGAGCTGACAGGCTATGATATTCATAGGAAAGCGTTGGTTTCTCCTAATGAGTTGATTCAACTTGATGAGAGCGAAATTGACTCAAGTCGACCGAAAGGTAAACTTGTCCATTATGCTGCTAAATCGAAAAAGTTTGCCGATCGAGAAGAGATGAAAGAAGTTTCCAAACGTCAGAGAGATGGGACAATAACCACCGAGAAAACGGTTACCCAGCATCATGAAGAAGTCGATGATGATGAACTTCCGGAGGGCAAAGCTGATTCGAATGCAATACCAGAGGCTTCCAAAGAATCAACAAAAGAAATTCAATATCATCGTGATTGGAATGACTCAAGAAGATCGGAAAGTCGATCGAAAAATGTTTCAGAAGAAAATGAGAGAAGAGAAAACAGGTAAGGATAAATATGATTTTCTATTGAGAAAATAATTAGATTGACACGTGATAATTTCTTTTTAATTTAGATACTCAAGTGTTGATAGAAAATCAGAGAATTTCGACAAGTCAAGGTCAACATCGGTTGACCGTCGGTCGACAACATCCTCACAATATAATAGAGAGAAATCAATCCCAGTGGAAAAAGAGTATTCGCCTCGTGTTGTCTCACCTGATTCTCGACAATCACCTAATTATAATCAACATAAATCGCGATTCGAAAGACATGATGATGGCTATTCTGTCGATAATAAGTATCAACAATCATCGATTTCCCGAAGAGACGAATCAAGATTTTCCAATAGAAGTGTTTCCTCTTCGATCAAAGAGAAACCATTCAAAGAAGACGCTTCTGTCCAAGCTTCGTTCTCAGAGGTAAGAATTTACGATTAATAGTTCGAAATGACGAAAAAGAAAATCGATCGGAGAAAATTAGCAAAATTCAATAATTTAATTCCACAATTAAACAGAACAATTAACAAGAAGTTCAAGTAGAACAACTTAAATCAAGAGGAGAAATACAATGGATCCAATTGAGAAAGAGAGATAATGTTTTCCCTCCATTATATTAATTATGTTTCTCTTTGTTTATGATTCTATTAATTGTGATTAATTGATTGTTCAAAAGGATTCGAGTGATGATGAAGCTTATGGAAGAACAAGGAATAAGAAATCAACTGAATCTGAGGCTCGTTCTCATCGAATCAAAGTTGAATCAAGTGGTTATTCTGGTTCTCGATTAATGGAAAGCGAAAAGCCCAAAGGTTCATTTTATTATTTCGGACAAGATGCCGATCCAAAGGAGTCGCCTCGAAAACGGGAATTAAGTTCTGACCGATATTCGACTCATGGTAGTCGATTACATCGGGAAGAATCAAGTCGAGCATCAGAGGAAAGGCAACAAATGAAATCATCGATGAGCCGATCATCATCTGCAATGGACAAAAAGGAAACTCGAACCAATCGTGATTCGGAATCAGTAAATTGGTTCAATACTTTAGACGCTCGAACTTTAATGGATGAACTTGAACGCGAATGTCAAGCTGAACTTTCGATTAATGATCCAGCCCCTGAACCGAGTTCTCCAAGTGATCACCGATCAAGGTCTCGAATGGAAGATACATCAGATGGTCGATCGCGTTACTCAACTTCCGGTGAAATTAAGGGCAACGTTAAACACGAATTTAAATCTACTTCTAATGGTCAAGTGATCAACGACACTTCGAGAAATGAAGCGTTTCAAAGGTCATTTAATAATCCAGAGGAAAGAGAAGACGCAACTCGATCTTTCAATAAACTGATGGACACAACTTTCGGTAAATCGTCTCGAGAATCAATGTCACCCTTATTGTACGATGGTTCTATTCGTCATATTCCAATCGAACGACAGGACAGTTCAAAATCTCGAATGGAAAATAGTTCAAGATCATCTTCGACTGTTCGTGACAATGGTTACAATTCACCTTCGTTTAACCATCGATCATATAACAATTCGAGGACCAATAGTCCAAGTAGATTATCTGATCGATTCCGTTATTCTGATGCAAGGTCACCCTCACGCTCGCCCGAAAGACAAGCGACTTTCACCAAGTCAAGAGCTTCGCCGACGATCAACAACAATTCAGATTATTCTCCGTATAAAAGTGACCTCATGCGAAAATCACCTTTCTTTGGTAGAGAGAACAAAAATTATTAGATTTTCGAAAATCAGAGAAAAAGAATAATTTTAACAAAATGTTTCCATCAATTTCCTTTTCGATTAACAATTAATATCCACATGAAGAATTACGAGTAAAAATGTTTCCTTTCTCAACTGATCTTTTCCTTAATTAGAATCATTGTAATCAACTAATCTAAATAAAAAAGAAAAGCTTGTTGATTTAATCAACCAAATAAACATGAGTTACAAAAATTGTTTACGCGAATTACAAATTGATATTGTTATAAATAGAATTGAAAACACAATTAAGATTTTGTGAGATTTTTATGTTTTTATCTTCATGCTATTGAGTTCATCTTCTTTTAGTTTTTTAATTTATTTGATGTTATTACTGTTATTATTATCGTTATTGTTATTGATACATATATAAATCGACTGACAATTGTATTGTTTTGTAATTGATTTGTTGATTTGTTTTTTTAGTAGAAAAAAAACTGGACGAAATTGTAGCAAAAAGATTGTGTGATTTGTCTCAAAGAGAAAGAAGAAAAGAGAGAAGGAAGATGGTTTGTTTTTCTTGATGATGATGAAATGATGAATTGGTGGTGGAGGTTGTGGTGATGGTAGTGTTGGTGTTCATGTGAATTAGAAGACGCAGAGAAAAAGAGACGAGAGAGTTGGTGGTGTGGATAGCAAGAGAGAAAGAGAGTTTGGTTTGTAAAATTGATTCTAAAGTTGATTCTGATTTTCAAATTGGTAATAAATTTAAAAGATCGATGACAATGATGAAGATGTAAAGTTGATGAAGATGAAGATGAGGTTTGATGTAAAATGTTGGGATGATGATAATTTAAAGGTGAGAATGATGAGATGTAGAAATTAAAGATGAATGATACTTTAAATTGTTGCAAATGAGTAAAAATTGTAAAAAATGATGATTTTTTTATCAATTATTAAAAGTTGCATCAGCATTAAGGCCAAGGGTCATTTAGAGGGTCTTCTGTGCCACTTCCAAGGCCAACCCAGTCATCTGAGTCACCTGAATGTCCTGATGGTGGATCACGTTTTACCACAAACCCCGGACCTGGAGCACTTGGGGCATTGAAACCGATTGAATCAAGGCCACCGCCTTTCTTGTCAAATTTTTTTGTCTTTTTGTCAGGTTTTCCTGAACTTTTAGGAGCTGAGGGAGTTACACCAGATAAACCATTCTGGATCGCTTTCCCTAGTTTATTACTTTTAAATAATGGTTTGCCGGTTGGGTCGAAATGAGCCTTCATTACTTCATCAATGAGATCACGGAAATGTGAGGGTTTCATATTATTTGCGATGAATTGAAGAATGAACCAATTACCCGATCGGCTTGACAGTTTTTTAAGATATTTCTTTTCTGTACTTGGAGCCATGGCTTGTAATCTTCGATACCTAGCTGCTGGTAGTACCATAAGAACAATTCGATAGATCAAATAGAAACCGGTTACAATGAAGAGAAACAGAAACCAGAACCAGAGGACAACATAAATCTTCTCGTTGACAATATTCAACGGTAGGAAACACAAAGTGTCAATTGTTTCTATTGTACCGGAGAATCCAAATTTTTGAAAACTACACTTGGTCAGACGAGGAAACACTCGAATGAGTGGATCATATCGATAGTCTATAGAAGCATGAGCAAATGATAGCCATTCCAGGCCAAGATATAGAAAGGCCCCACCAAGGAACATGTTGGTGAACCATACTTGACAAACAAGATGGATCATATAAAACACTTCACACATGAAGAAATGATAAAAGTAGTCATTGCTGATCAATAATGCATCAGCCACATCCTGAACTAGTCTTTGGCGATCATATTCATTTCTTTCAAGTATATGTTGCTGTTTAAGCTCGCTGATTAATGTACGTATCCTCTTGGCTTCCTTTGCTTTCCAAATGTACCGTGGGACATAAAATAAGATGGCCTGAATATAGGTAAGAAAGGGGGGAGAACAGAAGAGAAGGAGAAAGAGAGAAGAAAAGAAAAAGACAAAAAATTAGATATTTTCATAAAGAAAAAAAGATTAGAAGAGAAAAAAATAATGTAAAGCTTGAGAAAGCTCCCACAATGATACTTAATATATATTTTGAAAAACTTCAAGAGAAAAGTTGCTGAAATAAGCTCAGAAAAAAAAGAAACGATAGATAAAGATAGGAAGAGAGAAAGAGAGAAAAAAACGAGATATATGAAATGATAAGAAAAAGGTTCTTTCAGAACATGAAGCTAACCCACTCACAAGGTTCTCAAACTATGAGAGCACGAAAAAAAAGGTAGATAGAAACATGATTCACTTTAATAGGTTGAAATTGAAGAAACAGACACACACACATCCAATATAATGTAAAGAAAGAAAGGAAAAAGAATGAAAGAGAATATAACAAAAAAGAGTAGAAAAAGATGTAAACATAACTAAACACACTTGTTAATTAATTAAAATACGTACTTGAATAATTAGCACAAAGTAGACCCATTGATAGTATTTATGGTAAACCTTTTTATCATTTGGACCTTGGGTCTTAATACCTGGATAGGCGTGATGAACACCAGCATATTCCGTTTTGGGTCCAGGAACGGAGAAAGTAGCTTCAAGCCAACAATAATGTTGAATAGTAGCAATTTGTATATCACTTCTTCCACCGTTCATACATTCAATTGGTTCACCGAAATATTGTCTCATAGAGACGAACATAGTACCAACTAAAAGTATGAGAACTGTCAAAGTTGAATGTAATTTAAAAACAATATTATCAACACGAATTTGGTTCGCATTGAATTCAAAAAGTGAAGAAAAGGCTGTTAAAGCCTTTAATTGACGAACGTACTCCATTGCTGAGCCGGGCGTGCGGCCGGTGGTGGGCCAATTAACGGGCATATCGATCACATAGCATTACACAGAGCACTTTTCTTCTAAATTCTGATCCATAAACGGAGGAAACTTTTTTCGTAAAAATTGAAAAAGGGGAGAGAAAATCAGAATAAGAGGAAAGATGAATCCGAAATGAGAAAGAAATAAAAAATTGTTACAGACCAAAGAGTCGATTACTACTGGCAAATAGAAAGAGACAAAAGAAACATTCGAACCAGTGGCTCCTCCACATAAGAAAATGGCGACGCGCGCATGCGCAAAAGCGAGAGAACTGATGATAAAGAAGATAAAGAAAAAGAAAAGGCGGATCTTTAGGTTTCTGTTTCCTGTTTCTCCAAGTGACTAAATTTTTTCTTCTTCTTCTTTTTCTCTTGGTTTTCTTTCTCTCTCTTTCTTTTTAAAGAAGAGAGGAAAGAGAAGAGAGTGAACACATCATCATGATGGAAGAGAAGAGAGAGAGAAAAGAGAGAAAAAAGAGACAAGATGAGGATGAAGATGAAGATGGAGATTCTCCCTTATTTCCCTCCCTTTCCTCTTTTATTTTATTTTTTCTTCTTCTCTAACTCTTAACCCTCATCCTCTTTCTTTCTTCTCTTTCTTCTCTTTCTTTTATTCTTTATTCTTTCTCTCTCTCTCTCTCTTTCTAAGCTTAATCAACATACTATATGATAATAAACATCAACCAGCCTTAGTTTTTTTCCTGTTAACCTCTAAAATTTTATCACCATCAACTTTCCCTCAATGTGTGTTTCTCATGGCGATCTGATCATCTTCCTTTGCTCCATCGTCTTGGTTTTTGTCTTCATTTCTCTCTAACTTTTTCTTTCCTTTTCCTCTATCTCTCTCTCTCATTCTCTCTGCATCTTCATCCAACTAAAGAATAATATAAATATTGAATCCTAAAAGAGCGGTAATATTCTCTGTTGTTTTTGGGTAAGATTAGAAGAGCGTTTTAGATGAAAGAAAACAAAAAAGAGAGCAAAAAGATTCCATATTTTGAATTCCATTCTACTCTTTTTCTTACCTTTCTTCTTTCTTTCTTTTTACCGTGTCCTCTCTCCCCAATTCTTTTCTTCTCTGACTCTCTTCTTCTTCTTAATTCTCTTCTCCAAAAACCCAAAACCAGTTTTAAGAGCCACTATTTTGAGACAAAATATTAATTGGACTTGTTTTTTTGTTCGCTTCTCTTTTCTATTTGCCATTTTCTCTCTTTCATCTCTCTCACCTTAAAAGAGTAGAGTAAGAGAAGCATAAATACCAGTGCTATCTATAAATCGCTTAGAAAGCCCAAAATTTTTGAGAGCTTAATCCTCCCCTCCAGCCATCATCATCTCTAAAACCAGTACAACAGAACCCAAAATGATCAACTTAATCCATTGGTGATGAACGACAATCAAAAACGTCTACAATTTATCTTCTTGGTGCCATCGCTTAAAAATCCAAATCATATCCCTCTCATTGGTGCTGTTTGGTAACCGTTTTTATTACATTTCCGCTTAGAAATGATCACAAATCTGCCACCATCATCCCCACCCCTCCTCCTCCTCCTCCTGCTCCAACTTTCTCTTTCTCTCTCTCTCCCTTATTTTCCCTCTCACTTTCCAGCACTAACAACACACACAAAGTGTGACATTATAAATAACAGAAAAAAACCAACATAGACACTCTCATCCTCAACAATTAACTTAAATTACCACAAAAAAATATAAGACTAAAATCCCATATTAACTAATTACCTTTCTCATTTTTCTGATCCATGTTAATTGTGTAAACAATTTAACGAAATTCATATCAAACAATTAGCTACATTCAGAAAAAAAAGAAAACTAATTCCACTAATAACAAATACTTTTCTAGGTGTCATAAAAATTCAAATATCATCATCATCATCATCTCCCAACAATTAGCAAAATTGTTAATTACTTGATAAACTAAAATGTTACAATTGATATAAGAGTGAAAACATTTTATACCATTACAATTACTATTAATATGATGATGATATTTGATTCCATTTACTAACAACATCTAATTCAAATGTTGTTGTCTAGATAGTCAAAGGTAAACAAAATCATAAAACAAAGTTAATTACTCACAATTAGATGATATTATTAACAATTTACCTTTGATTCTAAAAATACTTCATCTTGGATTAACCAAAAGGAAATCACCAATAAGGGTTAGTATGAAAGTGTCCATTGTTTACTGGTCAGTTTTTTGCTTCATCTCATCATCATTTGGATATTTGGGTCAACTGGTTTAATCAACAACAAGATTCAAAGAAAGATTCGGATTTGATTAAAGGTTAATTGTGAAAAAAAAGGTTCAAATTGTTGGATAGCTGTTGAAAAGGTAACAATTTAAATGATCAACATCATCTATCCCAATTTAATTTATTCAAATGAGATCAACTTGATTAAATTGGAGGATAAAGGTTATCATCAAGAAGAAGGTCAATTTTTAGGACTGGATTACAACATTTCAACGATAATCATCACCATCATTAAACAACAACATCATCAATGGGATTAAATTAACTATCAAAATTTCAATTAAATTCTTCCTGTTAATCATCTTTTACCCAACAATCAGCCGCCATTATAAAGTGTTCATTGTTAAAGATTAGTTACCTTTAATAACCAGAAAAGAAAAAGATAAAACCAGATTCAAAGTAACCAGAATGACCTAAAGCTCAACATGTTGAAACAACAATGAAAACAACTCGATTTCTTGATCATCTGTAGTATTATCATGATAATTATCGTGATTAATTAATCCCAAATCCTCTGCAAACATAATCACTACAACGTTAGTTACAGTTAACAACTAATCGTGATCAGAATTGTTTCTGATTACCAAACTAACATTTTCCATTGATAATCATCCTTTAATTGTTACACAATCAACAATTAACTGTTTTTTTTGCTGTTGTATTTGAAGCAACAAAATCAATTTTTACTCAAAAACAAGTTTAATGTTAATTAACCTTTTTTTTCCTGATTGACATAATTAACTTGAAGTCCTATTACAATTATGATTACGCTAATATAATAATGTATATAAATTTGTATCAATCAATATGACGATCAACTAATTAATGATCAATTACAACAATTAATACAAAGGTAATGACGATGGTGATTATGGTAATAATCAACGGATAGAAACAGTAAATCAGTTAATCATTTTCACTCTCAGTGCATTACAATTAACCTTTCACTTTGTTTTTTCAATCATATCAATTCCTGATTACAACTACTGAATCTTTAATTGTCTATCCTTAATTGTAGCAGTTAAACAATCAAAGTGAAAAATTAATAACATTTTCAAATGAATGTTTAAAAATAACAACAAATAACAATCATAATGATGGTGAAAAGCAAATCAACTCAATCAATTGTTTCTTAAATTATTGACTAATTGTGATTTGAGGTTAAATTGATTGTATTGATTACCTTCCTTAATCAAGCCAACATCTAACAACCTTTTTTTTTGGTTAATTGTAACACTATTTGTACAGTTAATTAAGAAGCAATTTATTTTCACCTGGGAAAACAATACTATTAATATATTGATTTCAATTGCAATTTAAATAACGATCAGTATGCCAACAATTAAGGTTTTTTGATTGTTTAAAACTGTTGGGTTTTTATTGTAATTGATGAAAAACAAACTTTTTAATTGTAATCAAATTTAATGATTACGGAAATGGAGATGCTCAAAATCAATGATAACTAATTGTGATCTACAAGTTAATTGTCACAATAACAATTAATATTGATAATCATTTAGTTTCCGATTAATTATTTTAGTTGTTAACATGATCAAAATTTAATGATTAACTAATTGTTAATCATCACCACAGATAAATGAAACAATCAAATCAACCAATTGATTTCTAACATTTTCTTAAATTTCTATTTCATTGCTAATCAATTATGTCAATGTTAATAATTGGTTTTAATTGCAATTACAATTAGTTTGAAAATCTAATCAATTTAATTTTAATTGTGAGCAATCAACACATGATTTCAATTGTAATTGCTAATTGTTACAATGGAAATTTTTTCTAGTTCTTAATAATTAATTAACTATTTAATTTTTTTTCCTTTTACTGATTAAGTTATTATTAGTTAATGATTTAAATGTTAATTGTTTGAGAGGGTTAATTGTTGACCAACACATTTACTTTGCTAAATGTTATGCTCACAAGATTAAGGTGATTAGTTAATTGTTAATGAATTTATTTCGTATAAATATATATTTAGTTTTCTTTTAAGATTTAAATGTCTAATTGATTGATTGTTTGGTTGACGTAATTAACTAATTGTATGAGTTTTAAAACAACAATTTAACAATTAGTTAACACGATTAAAGGTATTAACAAGATGATTAGTTAAAGGTTACAAGTTAATTGATGAATGATGATTATTAAAATTGTTTCAACAACTTCAAGGTTTTAACAATTAACCATTTGACAATTAAAACTAATTGTTGGACAAATAATTTAATTTTTTTCTTAACTTTCGTGTTACAATCAACTAAATCTTGATCATAATCAACTAATTGTAATGCAAATAATAAATTATTTTAGATTTAGGTCAAAATCTGATAATTTCATTATTATTATTTTCACCAAATTAAATTGTTATATTATTAATGATAACAATTTGATTAACAATATTATTTATATTAATATAAATACAATTAAGTTATTGATAGATAAATAAATTGTTATCAACTGACCAACTGATTGTTATCATAATCAGGTTAATTGTGATTCAACAAACAAAAATCATTGTTACATCCAAAACTTCAATATTTCATAACAATTGAAACTGAATTAAAAAGTTCAGCCAACAATTGACCTAATTGTTGAAAGTGAAAACTCATTTAATCAATACAATTAATTGATTGACCATTGACTGGCCTTTGCCACTTATTGATTAGCAACAATTTAAATTAATTTGAGACTTTATTGTAATAACAATTACAATGAATTTCCATTAATTATTAAAGGTAATCAAAATGAAACGTTTCCGTTTCCTTAATATAATTAATATTTAATTGTTACATCAGATTGGAAATTAAAGTTGATAAAAACTACATCAATCTACGTCTCTATCTCTGTGTTAATGATTACCGTCAATGATTAAGTCAACTAATTAAGTGAAAAGGCAAATTAGATTCCAAATTGTGTCAATTCAATGTCAAATAGTTAACTAATTATTTACTAATCATGTTTACTGTCAACTTGGTTGAGTTACTTTGAATTTTAATCAGTTATGTTTGTAACATAATCGTCATCATCATCATAGGACGAGGGTGGGACAGAGGTGATGATAAAAATAACAATAGACATTAAATATAACAATTAATTGATGACGATGATGATGTGAAAGTATCGGTTGACAAAAAAGCAAAAGGTACCATGAGTATGTACACTTGGTTGATGATGAAGATGAAGATGATGATCATGATGATGAAAAATCATTGAGGAGTGGAAAAGAAAGGGAACATTTTTTTCGGAAGAGAAAATAAAGAAGAAGATGACAAGGAATGGAAAGAAAATGAAGAGAGAGAGAGAGAGAGAGAGAGAGAGAGAGAGAGAGAGAGAGAGAGAGAGAGAGAGAGAGAGGTTAATATTTCCTCATTGATGATGAATTTTCATCTTTTCTTTCATTCAGATACAACAACATGAAGATAAAATTTTAACTCAGAATTTTCGCCAAAGCAACAGGTTTCTCATCTCACCTACCTGACTCTCTCTCTCTCTCTTTCTTTCTTTCTTTCTTCTCACTATTCTCACTCAGGTCAACAACCATCATCATCATGACTACCGTGATTCAGGGACCAGTCATGAAGATATGAGAGAGGGAGGGAAACACCAAGTTAAGGTCAAGTAGAAGAGAAGAAAAAAATTCTTAAAAGAGAGAGAGAGAGAGAAGATGGAGAAACCTTGATGATGTGGTATTTTATCAAGTCCGGTTTTTCATCTTTATCATTCTCACAAACAGAAAAAATGTTCATCTCTCCCTCATCCTCATCTTCATCTTCATCATCTCCAAACTGATGATCATCATCACCAACCTCATGGTTGATTAACCAGATAATTTGATTGGTATTTCAAGGTGGAGCTCATTCAAAAACATATTCACTTGATGATAATTTTGCAAGAATTTTTTCCCCTTCAATCTTTGCCCCTTTTCTTCATCATCTTACCTGTTGAAGATGAAGATGGAGATGATGAAGATCATGATGAAGAGGAAGAAATAAAGACTCACCATTGACTATAACTTATTACAACTTTTTTTCTTCTTCCATCATAATAATAACATTAAATTTTCTTGGGTTAAGGTACATTGATCTTCTCACTGGCAACGTAACAACAATAACCAACTAACTAAATCAACTAATGATTCTGATTGTTATTTAGTATTTTTTTTGTAATTCTAGTTAGTTGATTGTGTTTGATGAGCCCAGGTAAATGTTTACCGGTAAAGATAAATTTTAATCATATTCATGGTCACGTTCAGGTAACTACAATTAAACATACACACACCTAATGTATTTCAACGTGTACGTCACACTGATTGTTGTTGTTACCATTTTTTATTATATTGTTTCATATTGATTGTAAATTGTTATCCCAAATGATTAGCATTTCGTCAGACAATTAAAAAGTTTTCCAGAAAACATCAAGACACAAAAAAAGCTCACAACAACAACAACATCAACTTAATCATCAATTTTGTTTTGTTTTTCTCAGGTAAACTAACAACAATTAAACTCAACAAGAGGTAACAATTTATTGTCTTTGTTAATTGTATCACTACTTGGGATTTGCTTGGTTGCATTTAAAGTGCTTACGTGCTAACGATCAACGTTATTAGCGCTAATGGTAATAATAATAATCCTTAACGATTATCATTATGGATTCCAAATGATTAGAACTTTTTTTCGCAGTTCTTTTTTTTTCTTACCTTGATTTTAACTTTTTTTTCTCAATAATTTGTTAGCATTTCATGAGAATCTCATTTTTTTTTCTTCTTACCTGGATGATAATCATGATAGATGATGATCGTTGGGAGGAATAAGGATAAGGTGGGTTAGGGTTAAAGGGATCAACTGATTAGTTGTTAATTGTTGCTAATTTTTTTGCTTGTTTCTCTTGGTTAATAACCTTGAAATTGTTCACAATTAGCGACGTTTTTTGTTTCCATGATTAAGATAATTTTGTTTACCATGTTTACTTATCATCACTTTTGATTATCTTAATCAGTCATTGTCTTAGGATTTAATTGTTGTCGACATAATTAGGATTAGTTGATTAGATTTTTCATCGAGATTTGGTTTTTTTTTGTAAAAATCAAAGTTTACTTTTAATTGTTGTTAAAGTTTTCCCATGTTTGGGTAAAGTCAATGAAACAACAATTACAATTTTCCCTGAGCATCAATAATTTACATCTAATTAGACCACAATTAACTTTTCTTATGTTGTGAGACATTTAAAAATTATTATTATTACTATTCAGATATTGACTCATTGATTTCACATGTATCAACAATTAGTAAAGGTAATCAAGTGAATTAATAACAATTAGCAAACTAATTTCATTCAAACTAATACAATGTTTTCAATATTGGTCCAGGAAACAACAATTAAATTGTTTTCCCGTTTTGATTGAGACAATTAACTTTATCCGGATTAATTTTTTTTTCCCATGGTTGATTAACTAATTGTATTATTACATTTATTGTTTATACAATCAACTAATTAATGATTATAATTATTATTAATCACTTTCATCAATTAATATCATACATTGATTGATATCAATTGAGTTAATGATGAGTAATGTGTTAATTAAATGATGATGTTAACAAAATTAAAACTTAAATTGTCATTGATATACTTACCTGTTCATCAAAATTAACTTGATTGTCAATTCATTTGAAACAATTTAACCTCAAACCTAATATTATTACAATCAAATTGTATCCATTCAAATTAAAAAAATATACAAACGTAAACATTGATTGTTGGTTAATCATGACAACAATCAATAATCATAAATATTTGTTTTATCAACAATCAACAACGATAACATTGACATTTGTCTCGTGATAATAATAACTAGGTCAGCATCATTGATTTAACCTTGTTAACTGTTTACAATCATCAAGATGATTAACAGTCAAATTAAATTGTGATTTACGTTTCTCATTCTCATAATTTAAATGCGATTAACAATTAAAATCACAAGTAAAATATTATCATTGTTTTGGTTTCATAATTATCACATTATCATCATCAACTTAATGATGATTACAAACATTGTGATTGTAACAATTAGTGAGTAATTTATTAATATCAACAGAATACATGAAACAATGAGTTGACATTTGTTGACGACTAATAATAGACTCAGATTACATCAGAATTTATCTCCTGAATCCAGAACTTTCTGGTAAAGGGGAAAATAAATTATAATGCTAACTCATGGTGATTATTATCTTTCTTATCATCATCATGAAATTTGTCAACAATCAAGAGGAAAAGTCAACGAAATGTTTTCCCAACAAGAGAATTGAAATATTTGCATCAATTTGATTGAAATCTCGAGAGTTTAAAGTTAATTACGAAAATGATAATTGATGTTAATTGATGAATGAATTTTGTAGAGATGATAATTTGGAAATGAGGAAGAGGAAAGTTACGTCTGAACGTTTTTATTGATCGATTATCGTATTTACCTCATTTTCTGTATCCTAATTTGATTTTCTTTCTTTTTTCTATTTCTTCCTATGGGTTCTTGTTCGTTACGAAAAAAGAGATGAGAAAAGAAAGAGAAAACTGTCTTACTCGTAAGTTCGAACTCTCAGGTCAATGGCCTATGAGAGAAACCAGGAACTTGGTTGGAACCAAGTTCAAGGATCGCTCACAGAACTTACTCAGAATTCATGTTACTTACGATTCCGAGGCTGCGTCTTCATCTATGGAAGATAAAAAGATTATTGTAAATGAACACATACGATCCAAGGACAGAGAAGAAAAGTAAGTGACGTCGAAAGAGAAGACGAAAGTGAGAGAGAGAGAGAAAAAAAGTTGTGACGAAGAGGGTTAGTGAGACAGAGGAAGATGATAATCTCCATGGAGGAAGAAAAAGACAGAGAAGAAAAGACTTCCTCTAGTATCGAAAGTATTGTAATGACGAATCTCTCTCTCTCTCTCTCTCTCTCTCTCTCTCTTTCTCGTTCCCTTTGATTTTCGTTACATTTCAAGTCAAGTAACATGAGAATCAGAATTATGATCATGATGATCATCTACTTTTTTCTAAGTGGAAACAGAATCTCCTGAGAAAAGAGAAAAATAAACTATTATCTCTGGAGGTGGAAAACGAAGATGATAAAGACGGAAGACATTGAGATTCTCTCTCTCTCTCTCTTTATTCTTCTCTTCCTTACTCATTATCTTCTTCTTCTCCTACTTTTCCACCTACTTCCTCTATTCTCCCTCCCCAATCTTCCTTAGGTTTCTCTGTCTTCCTCTTTCTTTCTCGAATTGAAACTGTACCAAAATTAGAATTGATCGATGAACGAAAAGGTTATTGAACTTTTCGTTCGACTTTTCGTTTTCTTCGTTTCCGGAATTCATTCTCTCTTTCTTTTTCTGTTCATCTTTCGTCTCTTCTTTCTTCCTTTTATCGTCCTTATATCTTTTTCTCCTCCTTCCCAATAACTAATAACCCATCATGATGATAATCTTTCAAAAATCTCAATGAAACTAAGAGATAATCACTTATCCAATTATCTGTCCAACCCTTGAATCCTTTCAACAAATCAACAAACTTATCAAATAACAATTAAAACCCACAGATATCAACAAATCATTCAATCCAATCATAATTAATTAACAAATCAACCTAATCACTAATCAGATGACAAACAAATGAGAAGCAAATATCATCTCTGATAATCATAATATTATCACAATTAAGTCAAGAAAATAATTTGATTACTTAATCAACAATCATTGTTAACAAAATTATCACACTGAAATACATAATATTTACACAAATTATGTCTTAATTTTTTAAGATTAACTAATCAGATTAAGTTAATCCTGATTGACCTTTATAATGAAACAACCGAAAAGATGAAAAATGTTTACACATCATCATCATAATCATTTCCATGTTTATCTACATGATATTTAATGTGAAAATTATATCTACTTGATACACCATGAGATATATAATATACACATGTATATTTCAATTCCAGAATTCTGAGACCAGAATTTATTTCATGATGGAAAATGAAAAGAAAGAGAAAAAGAAAGACTTTCAGTCATGGAGCATTGACCTTTTTTCTCAAGCCTTTTATTCCCATAGACTTTGTATTATTATTCCTCAGTGAGAATTGTATCATTTATATAGTGATAAAGATCTGGAATTCAGTTCAGTAGATAAACATGAACATGAGAGAATACATAAAATCTAAAATGCTCATGTTTCCATGATTCTTTGATCCATAATTTTTCACTTCCATCGATTGGATTATCATTAAATTATAATTTTCCATTGTAATGACAAGAAAAACACAGAGAAACTCCAATGGTAACAATCAACAAATCGATAAATTAGTTCTGCCTGTTAACCATTAGTAGATTTCCAATTAGACAACAATTAACTTAATTGTTGACTCAAATTCAAATTCCAATGGTAAACAATTGAAAAGCTTTTCTTTTTAGGTTAATGTTGCTTTTTTTTTACAATTTTCATTATAACAATTAACTAATTGTAGAGTAACACCCATACCCAATATCACTGTCATTCATATGATTTAATGATTAATAAACACATTGATCGACAACAATTATGTCTACATCATCATCAACATGAAGTAATTTAATTAATTTAAAAAAAAATACAAAATCAACTGAATTAATTGATTAGTTACAAATGGGGAAAATTTTACAATTGAAATCAAACCTAATAAATTTAAAAAAAGACCCAATCATTAAATTGAGAATCTGGTTAACAATCAAATCTAATAAGCTCATTAACAGCTACTATTATTCAACTGAATGCTCAGAATTAGGATAATAATATGGTAACTATGGTAACCAGAATTTTCTGAAACACTTTTTTTTTGTTATTCTCATTATATTATAACATATAAGATGGAATTGAAATCAATAATAAGCCAATATAATAGTAGACAATTTAGTTGGGAACAATTAACTTTAGATGAAAATTTTAACTGTTCAGTAAAAAGAGTAAACCTGAATAATGAAAGCTAATTAATTAGTAATTAAAACAATATTCGTGGAAAGAGATGAAGAAGAAGAAAAAAAAATCCAATGTAACATTAAATTCCCATTGAAAGTTATTACCTTTTTATTGCATCTCTTTTGCCTTCTACTTCCTCTTCCTCCTCTTCTCGATAAAACCATCACCACCCACCCAACACCCACCCCGGTGTGTTTTCCATCCATTCTCCTTCCATATTGAGTTCCTACTCCCATGAACGAGAAAGAGACAGAGAGACAGAGAGAAGGAGAGAGGGAGAGAGTAAGGTAAACTTTCTCTCTATCTTTTTCTAAATGTTCTAGTCTCACAAATCGATTTCCCTGTTAACATACATATGAACTTTCCATGCGTCGATATCTATCATCTATCTTATCCACCCCAATGCCTCTTCCACCTTCAACCATCATCACCACCGCCACTTCATCATCATCATCATTTTCTTGTAGTTTCCATGGTGACAAAAGTTACATAACATAAATAATATCTTCATCTTCACCAATATTATAATAACATTAAATATCTTCCTGAATACTATTAGTATTTATAGCCTATCACCAGAAATGCAAGGCAATTTTCACTTAATTGCTGATCACTAATCTAGTTTGTGATAATTTCAACTGATTGTTTCATCTAATCAGTGATTAGTGTTGAGAGATTAGCTCATGAAATTTTCAGGGAAAATGAGAGATAAATAAAACAACAAATAGAAGCCAAAATTTTCTGGTTTCAAATATATAAAACCTGAAGAAAAAACCAGAATAATTGATTGATATTTTCTTTCAATATTAATACATACAAACAGTTTCATCTTTGATTGTTAACAATTAAAAGTTAATTCATTCGGTTCATTGATTGTTTTATAAGATCTGTAACTGGATTAACTTTTTTGATTTCTCGATCAGATCAAAGTTAAAAGGTTTCACTTTGTCAATCTTATGTTATTGTTTGGGTTGATTTATTAATGATAATCGAGTAATCAAATTGTCACAATTTACCGTTTATTATTATATTGTTGTTGATTATAACAATTAGCTATTTGTCACAATTGTGGTTAAGGTGATTTACTTGATTGTTCAACTATCAATGAAAACAAGGAAAAAATAAATTTTCATCTCTACAATTAAATAGTAAATCATTAGGAACCCTTGGCCTTATTTAATCACAATTTAATCATAATTAATGATATATATTTAATCATAATGATCATCATCAAGTCTCACCAGCCTTGATTTTGTTAACCTATCAAGGAAACATCAATTGCAATCAGTTAATTGTGATTTTGACCTACGATTGATCATTATTATTAAATTGAAATAAATTGACCAGCTATCTCATTATAACTGAATTAAATTTAATTGTATGACTCTTAGTAACTAAATACTTTTAAATTGTTGATGAAATTTTCCTGAACACGAAAATCAAATCTATTTAATGACAATTAGCAAACCGATTTAATCAAACAATCTGATCTGAACACAATTAGACACATTTCAACAGCAATTTATAAATTATCAATTTAATTTGATCACTAATTTACATGACAAACCAATTTATTGTCAACTATTAGCATATATCAATTATAAGTGAAAGTTAATCTTGAACAATCAAGTTGATTATCAACAATTAACTTTGAAAAAAAAAGTTACCCTTTGACTATTTAAATTGTTTTTGCTTAAAATCCATCTTTAATTTGATATCATCAAATTAGATTAAACAATTAACTGGGAACCCACCAAGGTTAATTTAAAGTCCAAAGTGATTAGCAGTTAATAATCAGCTGATAATCAAGATCAGTAATTTGAGTTGGAAAATTGAATTAATCATCTTGTTAAAACTTTCTAATCAATTGTAACTTTAGACAACTTTTCATTAGGACAATTTAATACAACGGTCATTGGCTCTGTCTATGTTTACAGCAATTTAAGTTGATTGTTATTTAACACAATCAGTTTATGATTAACATAGTTATCATCATGTTGTCATCATGAAAATTCAAGGTTATCATCATTAACTTGAGTCAATAAATAGTTAATATCAAATAATAGGAATCAAAATAAACAAAACCAAAATTCATGAATCCTAATTTTGATTAACACTAACCAACAATCAACAGCAATTTAATAAATTATCCAGTTGATTATTGTAATTTAATGTTTACCTTATTTTTTTTTACTACTTTATTAATATTAGATCATCATGAAGAAGCTCAAACAATTTAATTTAATTTTCAACAATCAACGAGGTAAAAAAATGTATTATTATTATTATTTAAGGTTCAAGGTTGAACAATTTAACTTTCAGATTAACAATAAATGAATTTCAATTGATTTAAAAGTTGATTGTTAGTTTGGTAATATTTGATCACGATTAACAATTTAACTACAATATATTCATGATAATTGGCAGAAAACAATATTATAATCTAACAAGAGGGGATTAAGATTAAAAGTTAATCCATAATCGTTAATCTGGTTAAAACTTTTTCTTATAACAATTTAAGTTTGATTTCTAATGTTACATATACTTTACATTGGAATAGATTTTTTAATTGTTGCAATTAGAATTGACTAACAGTTGATATAAGATAATTGTTGCCAAAATGTTACACTAGATTATCCTGGATGATTAAGCTTAATTATTACATAATAATCAATGTTTAAATTGTTGCCAAGTCTATGAATAGATTTTCGGGAAAAGGGAAAACTTTTTTTTTCTAAGTGATTAGTTGATTGTAGTTGATGATTAAATAACAACTCGAATCTAATTTCATCCGATTACAATTGTCTCTGATTAAACGAGGAAATCAGTTAATTCCTATGAACTCTACCACAGAGGTTAATTGTAATGGTAACAATTTAAAAGCCGAAACGAGTAAAAAAAAACTCTCACTGAATTTAATTGTTACCATTGAAAAAAAAGATTCACTTTTTTTACTCAACTGATTCAGTTTTCATTCAGAATATTATTTTTTTTCATTGATTTCCATTGAATCTCATTCACATGGAACCAGGAATGTAACTCAAAGGGTCTTCAGGGTGATGGAGATATATTTCATCATCCAGAATTATCGTCATTAGTTGAACAATCAGTTAATTATGATGATGATAAATAAACAAAGTTCTGGCTCTGAGTTTGTTGTTATTATCACAAAGGGATTGAACTGAAAAGTGAAAAATTGTTGAACCAAAGATTAACTTTTTCAATTGGAAAAAAAGTGAAATAAGTTTTGTTAGAAATTAGTTTTTATTATCAACCTTAATCCGGTTCGTTGATTATAATCAACAATTTTTTTTTTCTCTCTCTATTAACAATCGTACAACAATTACAATTGTTGGTTGACAAAAGTGTTGCGGTCAATCATCATCATCATTTGATAATCATGATAACATATTGATCACAATTAAATGATAATCACAACTTGAAATCTTAATCCATGTTGAACAATGTTGATAATCAATCAATTGTGTTAAGTTTTTGGTAAATAATCAAAATTTTGATGTAGTTGTAATATCAAGCAATCAATAAGTCAGATAATTCCTTAATTGTGATTTAAATTGTTGTTGTTGTTGTTGTTGGCATGATGACTTAGTAATGCTGAGAAAACTGTGTTAGTATATTAACTTGATTAACAATTAACACTAACCATATGTTGGTGTGTTTAATGTTAATCAATTGTAGGTTTGTACTCCTACAATTTAGTAGCTCTGGGTGGGTGTTACAATCGTTAATCAGTGATTAGGTTACCATAATTTAACATTTAATAGTAAACAATTAAGATGCCAGGTTATTGATATGCACAGAGTATGTTGATCTGATTGTTGAACTTTAATTGTTTACATTTCCCTATTAAAAGAGTTAAAATTTGCTACTAAATTTAGTTGATTAAATTGTCAGATTTTATCAATCTCGAAATTACCAACCAATTAAATGATTAGAAATGTTCACGTTCAAACAATTAAACAGTTTTATTGATTGTTTAACTTTCCAGACATCAGAAATTTAATTAAGCTAATTGGTTGATTGTTTGATTGTTACATTGATTAACTTTTCTTCATCAAGTATACTGATCACTTTTACTTTCATATCTTCATTTGAAACTGATCAAAGTCTAAATTGTTGATTAACATTGTAATCAATGAATTTTAGACTGAATGTTAATCATTTTATCTGTTAAATTGTAAATTAAATTAACAATCACCAACAATCAGTGAGTAACTGTTAATTGGCAAGTAACTGGACTTGTTAAACTAACATTTAAATTGTTAATTCTTAAATTGTTTAGCCTCAATTTATTTAATTCTAGATCATCATCATCTAAATCACTCTCATCATCAACTAACTAACAGCAACAATTTAATGTAAACAAAATTAATCAAAACAAGTTTTCACAATTAGTTAACCCAATTGCAAAATAAAAACCAGAAACTAAATTAACTTTTATATACTAAATCTGAAATAATCCTAATCCAACAACAACAACAATCAACTAATCATGTTTAACCATTTACAATTTATTATTGTGTATGTGTGACCAAACCTGATAATCAATTGATTGTGAAAACATGGATGATAACAATTAATTGATTAATGTCCAGTCTTGCAATTGAGAAATGAAATGATTGCAACTAATTAGTTGATCATCACAAAAATAAGTGAAAAAAACGTTTAATTGCTTGAAGCTAAATCATGATAATCATTTTCATTATTAATCTTCCTCATCATCTTAAACTTTTCCAGTTTGATTACAATTAACTAATTGTTATAATCTAACCCATTTTAATTTAGCTTTTGTTTTTTTTTCTTTACGAAACAAAAGTTACCTTCAATGTATTTACAATAAGTTGACCTGAATCTTAATGTTTCTTGATTAATCATGATTTAAGTTAAACAATTTAGCTAATGGTGATGGTTAATCAACAATTAAAACTAATCAAAAGACTCATAATCAAAAGGAAACAATTAGTTTAAATAAAAACAAAAATCCAAAGATGAAAAGTTTTCCCAAACTTTTTGTTTTCTGATCAACAAAAACAATGACGAAAGTTAAGCTTAACAACAATTAACTTTTACCATTTTCAAATCACAATTAATTAAATATATTCAAATTCAATTAACAAGGAATAAAGAAAAAGATTTGACAATTAAATAATTAATTAAATTATATGAGAAATACAACTAAGGTTAAATATCATTTGGATACGAAATTAAGAAAAGAAAAAAAAATTTTTTCGTTCTAATCTAAATCCAATCGAATTGGTTTCAAGAACCAAATCAACCGATGATTAAATAAATCACTGTCATCGTATTTAATTAATTAACTAATAACTTTTTGTAAATATATATTGAATTACATCAAGAGTGAAGAAAAATTTAAACTGGATTAAGTAAATCACTCAGTTAATTATCATTGCTTGTAGCTGATGAATATCAATGTGAATCAATGGTTAACTTGTAATAAGAATTTAATTTTTTTTCAGAAATTTAACTGAAAAAATTGAATTTAATTCTGTTTTCAGAGTGCTGGGGACCATTTAAACTACCCTGAGGTGGTAATCATCATCATTATAAACGTCATCATGACCATTAGCACCAATAGTAACCATTTAGAAACGGGAGTTGGCCTCAGGCGGTGAACTTTTTTACCTGATCAAGCGAAACGATTATGATTATGGTGATGATGATGATCCTGATGATGAAGACAGAAAATTATCATGAAACAAGAAATTATCCCAATAATAATAAAGAGGCAAGGACATTATTAAATTATCATGTTTCTCAAAAAGTTCTGAGTCTTTAAGGTGGAAATTACTCAAGGCTCCATGAAAGAAAAGGTAAATTCAAGGTGAACTTTTTTTCTCTCCCTCTTGTAAAACTTTTCTAAACTTCAATTCAACCTCATGATTAGAAATCCATGAATTTATCATCCATTTTCATGGAAAAGCAAACAGGTATATGCACTTATCATTATTATCTCATATTCACTTGTTGGACAATATCAGAGAACTCAGAATCATGAAAGAGAAATTCAATTTGATTGTAAGAGTAAAATTTTTCGAAAAAGTTTCTTTTTTGATCTCCGATTTTTCAATCAATCGATTGCCAATCATTTCTTTTTATATGATTATTCACATTTCAAGTTATCGATGAAAAGAAAAAGTTTTATTTCGAATTTTTTTTTCCAACTAATCATTCGTGTATCATGTGGATTCAGTTAATTAACAATTTAGGATTTTTCAATCTTCCGTAATTTGATATTTAACTTGATCCACAACAATCAACAGGTTGATTATCATTGAAATCAAAACTTTTGGGTGATTTGATTGATTATCAACTTTTTTTTCAATTTCTATCAAATTAAAAGCTTTAAATCATCGTTGTTGATTTAAATAAATTAGCAGCAATTTGATGGGAAAAATTTGATTTCACTCAAGGTAAATTGTAAACAATCAAGGTTAGAAATCAATTCAACTTTAATCAATTGTTTATTAATCATCTTAAATCTTGTTTGACTGATTGTAATAATTAAAAGCCCAAAAAAAACAGCAACAATTAAATTGTGATTTAAATCAATTACATGGTAAAGTTAAACACAATCAAAAAAAAATAAATAATTGATTAGACTAATCAAATCAAATTAAATGTAATCCAATATTTAAAAGGTGGTAATTAAAGCATTTAAAGGTCCCAAGGTTGATTGATTAGTTTAAATTGTTAACAATTAATCAACAATCTTGATAATAAGTAACAAAGAAACATGAATGAAAAAAACCAAACTAATTTAAAGGTTTGGTTTGTATCATAGATTATGATTAATATAGTTGATTTAGGATTTAATTACAGCAATCAGTTAATTGTTTCGTCCGTTGAGAGTCTAAGGTAAAAGTGATTAATTAGCTAATTATCAAATTAATTAACTTGAAAGTGATTATGACAAACTGATTACATAAGAAAATGATCAACAATATCCAAGGAGATTCAAGGGAAGAAAAGTTTGATTAAGTTTATTGTTAATAAATTGTTGATTTATAACCTTTGACAATAAGTGATAAAATCAATTGTTAACCTGACCCAGGTCAGGTGGATACCCCATGGGAACCAATGTACCCTGTAACTAAACTTAATCTACCTGTGATAATAAAGGTAAATCAATTGTTCGGGTTTGAGAAAAAAAGTTTTCTGGTTTTTTTCGGGTTTTTTTTGGGTTCGATGTTTTTTTCTGATTGTTATCAATCTAATTGTAGTCACTGATTGTTACAAAAAGCAACAATTTAAATCCATTGGTAACTTTTGAATACAACAATCATAATAAAAGGTTTGAACGTCTTAACAATTTCATTCAATTGTTGCTGATTTACCAAGTAAATTGTTATTCAAAGATACATGATAAACTAAATTATAATTCAATGGCTCTCATATTATTATTATGATTATCAACTTTATGTTAATTGTTGTGTTTGATTTAATACAATTTTAAGATTATCATTATAATGATGTTTCATTGAGATAGTTGATTGTTAATCGTTGATTACATGAATGACCATCTAAACAGTAATCAAATCTAAACAAAAAGAATAGACAATTTTTACCTAGATTATTAATTGTTAGGGATAATTAAAGTGATCTCAAGTTTCATCAACTAATTATTAACGATTTTTTCCTTCTATTATCATTAAAATGATTAAATCATTTTCAAATGATTGCATATTGTACACACATGATTCGAAGCTTATCAACTATGGAAAAGACTGGAATTAACATTGATATAAATTAAATTCTATTTGATAATTACAATTAACTGACCGTTTTCCTCTCATCATTTTTTACCCTCTTTCCAATAGTAACAATATAAACTCTCACTCTCTTACCAACCGTTTACAATCTCGATACGGATCAATGTTACTTTCTCCTTCGGTTTGTTTCCTTTTTCCTCCCCACCTCCTCCTTCACTTTTCCCTCTTTCCTCCTCTTCCATCATCGCTCGCAAGGCTTCAAAGCACATTCGCGCATTGACCTTAAATTATATGGAAGAAGAAGAAGAAGAAGTGAAAGAAAAAAACACGACAAAATACTTTTCCAAGCGAAGTGAACACATTGGTACAAAATGGAAGCCATTTGTTACCCTGAAGCCAAAAGATTTTCAATATCGTCACTGGGCCATAGGTTTCATTATTTGTTTCCACCTTCCAAGATTCCCCCTTGTGTACACACTAAATGTTCAATCTCAACGGAGATTGAGACAGAGAGAGAGAGTGGGTAACATGATCCACCATGAGGTTGCATAAGGTAATAAACTGAATACAAGGAGATTTAGACTTGTCGGTAAAGAAGAAGCCATTGTCATCATTTCTTTTCTCTTTCTTTTCTTTCATTTTGTTTTTCTTGCCTCTTTTTTGTCACTACATTTTCAAGGTAAAATCCTATGTGAGTCCTCGTAGTGTAAGTTTTACCTTTGGTCTTGTTTTTTTTTCAAGATGATGAAGGTGAAAAGAGAGTGAGACACAAAGAGCTGAAAGCTACAGATTAAGCTGCATAGACACACTCACATATGCTAACCAGGTTTAGATGTTGTTTTTGTTGTAGATGATGATGGCGATGATGTCCTTAAAATAGCATCTAAAGCATCAGAGAGAGAGAGAGAGAGAAAGAGAGAGGAAAAGGTCCATATGACTTTAGAGGGAAGAAAGAGAAAAAAAATATTGTATTAGCAATCAGTATTCTGGAATCTATTCCAAGCACATATTACCTTATATGTAGTGTTTTTTTTGGCTTCAACCCAATTCGATGTACACAAAAAAAGTACCAACATCACCTTTTACCAAAGCCTGAAAAGGAGTTGACTATCTGCCACCATCATCATCACCATCTTCATCCTCTGCCCTCTAACCTCAACCCTCGTCATAAACATTATCATAATAAAAGCTAATTGAACAAAAGCTCAATGAGTTTCTACCGACATCTAATCCTTTTCATAATCATATTGTTACTTTTTTTTGCTCTTCCTTGAGATTAGCCATCTAAATCTTTCTAGTTTATGGAATTAAAACAAAAACAACATTCTCATCATCATCTTTATCTTCATCCTCATTACCCTCATCCTTTTGCGATGACCGGAAAAAGGTTCTGGCCTTAAAATGGATCCGTGAATGGTTAGTGTTTGGACCCTCTTTCAGATCAACATTCAATTAGAATCCCTTGAGAAACTTTTAGCTTGACCTCTAAACGGACCTTTCACTTTCACTCAGCAACGTTGATACACCAATAAATTATCATCAATTGATTGCTCAGTTAATTAGATTAAAACTAATTGTTCCAATCGCCTTTCCAATCCGCATCCATATGGTTTAGTTAATTGTTAATTTGCACACAAACAAAATACTTTTGATTTATTATCACATTTTTATGAGCATCTTAATTTTTAATTGCAAATACATAATAATTAGTATCTATTAATTGTAATACTCTCAACAATTAACAAGAAAATCCCATAACTAAATTAGATATAAATTATAATTTTGAAACAAAGCAAATTGATTGATGAAAATTTTACTTTTTCTCAATATTTTTTTTTTTGGTGAACTGATTTGATTCATTTGAATTGTTAAATCAATCAAGTAAAACAATCAACTGATCAAGTAACCAAGTAATCAAGAGTAAGGAAAAAAAGTTAATCAGTGAATCAACAATTACAATTTGCTGGCAATCAAATAGGAAGAAAAAAAAATCTTAATTCTGAAGTTCATTGAATTTCATTCATTCAGTTAATTTACTCGACATGGTAAATGATTAATAAATCATTTTGGGTGTTGACCAAGTTATCATGTTGATCATCAACAATTTACCGTTCAAGTTAATTTAATGTAAATCATTTTGAAAGTTCACAATCAATTTAAATTGATTGTGAACATGAAACAAAAAACCATTACCATGAAAAGAAAAACATTCCCATAGGCAAAGACAATCAAATGTAAATCTAATAGTTTGATGTATTTCCATAGGATGTTGTTGTTTATGGAGATGATGATGAGGATGAGGATGATAACATCAGGGCCGGAAAAGGAAACGGAAACCTAAATATTGACTAAATTAAGAATTGAAGAAATTTGTAAACTGATTCACGTTTGAACATATTTATTACATGGAGTTGATAATATGTTAATCCTTTGTTTTCATTGGCATGATTATCGTTTAGGTGATAATCTGATTATATGAAATTATGGTGAGAGCGGGAAAAAAAGTATTCAACTTGAACTTATCAACACTTGATCCATGTGCTTGTGTCAGTGTGGGATTAATAAGAGTGGGAAATTTATTCCAAGGGCATCATGATTATGGTGGAAAATGTTATGAATTATAATTCAGGTTAATTCTGGTTGAATTTTTTTTTCCCTCGATGAAGAAAAATTTTTTGACTGAATAGTAAATGTAAGGTAACCTTGGGCTTTTCAAGTATCCTGAATGGTGTTTGAACTTTTCTGATTGTTAATGATTTTTGATGATGAATTATTGCCAACAATTAAACATCATCATGGTGAAGATCAGGATGAAGATGAGGAAAATTATGCTGACAGTTGATTGTTTCTTTTTTTTTTGGTTAGTTTGAGATGGATAGATGATGATGGAAGATGAGGAAAGAAATTGTTGTAATGGAAAAAGATGATTCTCTTGATGAAGATGATGATGAGTGGGAGGTAAGGGTGGGGTAGAGAGATACATGGATGAGTGTTATGGATAATTACGGAACTGAATTGTATCTTTCTTCAACTCTCAATTTCGAATATAAGTTGGAATCAAGTTGAGAGGAGGAAGAAGAAGAAGAAGAAGAAAAAAAATCTATGTTAATAGAAATAGAAAAATAAACAAACGAATAAAAGAAAAGTTCAATCTTTCGAATAAGTTGGAAATTCTATAATTCTAAAAGTAATTTACCAGGATGAAGATAAAGATGATCAACATTATCAATGATTCTCATTTGAGGTCAAAGGGGGAAGCGGAAGAAGAAAAGGACAAAGAGAGAAAGAAAGTAACAAAGAGATTGGAAACTTCGTTCAGTTCAAAAGGTAACGATTTCGAAAGTGATGATAAAACGAAGACAGAGAAATAATAAGAGAGAGAGAGAGACCATGATGATGATGATGATAACCAGGGGAAAGAATATCATCATTCAGTTGCCTAGGAAGTTGAATGAACTCTGACTGGGAAGGTTTCATCTGAGAGTAAGAACCTTTCTATGAAATAGAAGGCAAAAATAATCGATTCTCATATTCTGGTTATTCAGCATTTCATCATGTTGATCGTATAAAAATTTGCTCCATTTTTCGTGCAACATCATCCTACCATTACAATTTACCTTTGCAATCAAAATCTTGTATCTTCCTTATCATCATCATCATCCTTTTACTCCCTTCATCTTTGCTTCCTATTTTTATCCCTTTTTTTCATGTAACTTCATCTTCATGAACACCATGAACATCATCATCATCATTATTATTATTAAGATGATCAATAGATTATCATCTTTTTCCCCCTCTGATTACCTTGATCATCATAATTACTGTGATCAAAATGAATCAGATGATAATCAACTGATCATCATCATTATCTTATTAACAATCTGATTATTATTTTCATTTCCTTTACTCTTAACATACACTTGAACACCACACCTCATATATTACAATTAATTAATTTTAAATGATTCTGTTGATTATTATTATCATGATTATGTTTTAGGATGATGATGGAAACACTTATTACAATCAAATCTTAATGTTTGGCTCACCTACTTTTAATTATAATCAATTTTAATCATGTTTTGTATTGTATCATTTTTGAACAATCGGTTTTCATTTACTAACAATACACTTATATTCAAATTTCAATCAATTTAATCATTATCATCTTTAGCTTAATTGTTCAAAGGTAATTTTATATAGCTAGGATGGCAATTTAATTCAGTAATTAAAATGATTAATGATTACTATTAAAGATAAAAGTTTCTTTCATCATTTGGTTAACTTAATTGTTGAAATAGTTTCTCAATCTTTATTGAGTTTTGCTAATTTTTTTACCACTTTGATTGTTAAAATTAAATCGTAATGTGATCATCAGATTGATTGTGATCTTTTATCATAATTTAATTTGATCTAAAGTTAATTGTTGTACTTATCAAGTGTTAATCAAATGAGAGAAAAAAATATTTTTTTCTTATTTTATTTATAAAAGGAAATGAGTTTAAGAAAAAAAAACTGAGAAATTGATTGATTGATATGAAGAAAAAAAAGTTTGAACAATTTGATTGATGGATAAAATTTACTGTTCTCGATCAAACAATCAAATCAAAATCGAATCAAATTTAATTCAAACAATTGGATTAAAATTTTGTTCGAGCAACTAGTGACATCTATTGACGAGAAAAGAAACAACTTTGAGTTAACCTCGAAAATTGAAATTCTATTAATTAATGTTAATTGTTAATTAATACTTGAAATGGACAATTTAAAATTAGAATTAAAATGGAGAAGAAAAAACAATCATATTCGTTGATTAAATTCTGTACAATTAGAACTTTTGAACATTCATTTTACAAGATTTTCTTTTTCTTTGATCTTCTTTTGTTCTCAATTCTTATTGAGTAAATTGTTCCAATCGATGAGAAATTAAATCATCGAAAATTGTTTAATCATCGATGGTGATGATTGGAGTCATTTCGATATGAAATTAAAGTCCGATGTGAAATCGATCACATCGATAATGTTCATCGATGTAACGATACAGTTCGATAAGTGTTATCGATGAGTATCGGTTATTATCGATGGAATTGAATCGATCACAATTGACTTTTTCTAAATTGATGTTCCATCAAGAGAATGAAGAAAACGATAATTAAGTTAATTGTTGCTTCGTGTTCATTGAAAGTTTAACGAACTGAAAGTGACTGCGAATATGGAAATGATAACGATCGCTAATTTAGTAACAATTTGTTTCTGACATTGAAATTAATCAACAAATGATCATCATGTCTTCATGTTTTCAAGTCAATTTTTCACATTCGAAAGGTAATTAACTTAATTATCATGTTGATTAGTTAACATGATTGATTCGGTTCGATGAAAATAAAGATCATCAATCGCGATTTAATTTCACTCTCCCGCCTCTTTGTTTGAACGGGCTGATGATTACCAATTCTCATTATGATTATAACAATTAACTTTTCCACTAAATTGTTAATATATTGATGAGATTACAATTTATTCAAATAATAATTGATCAGTTGATGTAAAAACTTTTCCCAATCAAGATCACAATCTATTGATTTAGTTTCGATTTGTTTTTTTCTCTTGTTAATTGTGAACAAATTTCCTTTGGTTATCAGTTTTCCCCTCTAATTGCTTTATATAATTTACTATAAACAATTAAGCTGATTCTCTGATTGTAAAGTTATCTTTGAATAATTAGACAGATTAATCAGCTTAATTATTCAACTTATGTTACTACTAATACTTTCACTTTGATAATCATCAATTTGAGTTTTAGTTTGTCCAAATAATCAACTAATTGCAACAGTTATCACAGAGAATTAAAGTTTCCAGGATGAAACAATTAACTGTGATGAACTTTTTTGGTAAATCTTTGATCAAATTTATCGGATTATGGTTAACAATCAGTGGAATTGATTGTCTGAAGCTCATTGAAAGTGATCCAGAGCCTAATCCATCACTAGATTCATCAACTGGATTAAAATTAACTTTGAATGGATTAGTGAGACAATTAAGTGATCGAGAGATAATTAAATCGCTAATTAATGGTCGACAAACAGCTTCACCTCGACTAACACTCGATTTCCTTGCCGATCCAGCGTTATTCGTGTCCATATTACATACACTCGAAGTGGCCTATTGGTCGATGCCACTTGGTTTCCTTTTAATGCCAATAATTAATTTTTTCCGAATGCCAAACAAACGCCGACAATTAAAAACTCGTTGGTTATTATTGGCACGATCATTAAAACGCTCGGATTTAAATCGATATCAAGAGCGCTTATTGAAAGGATACGAAAAGTACAATTAACTTTGATTATAAACAATTAAATCATTCATCACATAGAGTAAATAAAATACATGAATTCATTTGTTAATTGTCCAAAAATTTCATCCCATTCATTGACAATCAAAAAATTAATTGATCGTTTTCGAGAAGATTAATTGATTTATATAAAAATCAGTTTCAGTTGCAACAATTAGACCCACAAGAGCTTCAGAACAATTAAAAAAAACAATTCAATCAAAAATTCATTCAGTTTGATTGATGCTATTTACTAATTGCTAAAATTTTTCTAATCAATTTCGGTCAACAAATTAAACTTACAAATTAATTTTTCCTACAAACAAAAAACAGGAAATTCGAATTCAAACATAATAAATTCTAAAAACATCAAATCAATTCAAATCAAATCGTTAATCACCTTAATTTTTTTCTCATCGATATCTCACTTGATTAACATGAAAATGAAAATTTCGACAATTTAACTTTTCGGTTCGAATTCAAATTTCCCTCCTTTCGCTGATCTGGTGGTACAATTTTCCTCCATCGGAGGCGCTACAGAGTCGCAATCATTTTCTATTAAATTTTCAATCAAACAATTTGACTCTTTCTCGCAGTTAATTATATAATTAATTCAATTCCAATTTGAATCCTTTTCCGATCAGTTTTTTTATTATTGTATTCCAAGTTGATATTTAGTTGGCAATTCTTGAATTTACCATGCGAATCTGTTGGCAAATTCCGTTGACCGGTAAACCAGATCTTTCCTATTTTTATTCTTTACTCAAGTTATCAGAATCAATCAACGCCGGTCACCATGTGACTATTGTATTTGCCGACATTTTGGCCTTTCTTGATAATTCTAAGTGTCCATTGGAATTGATTGACTCACGAGCCTCACTTTATAAACAAATATTCACTGGAGCCTTTGAATCTCTTGGTATTCCATTGGAAAATGTTACCTTTACCAAAGGAAGTGATTATCAGTTTGATAAAAATTATTCTCGAGATATTTTCCGTTTAGCGTCAATTGTTACCGAAACAGACGCAATTAAAGCAGGAATTAATGTCGTCAAACAAGTTGACCATCCATTATTAAGTGGTCTACTTTACCCTGTACTTCAGGTTGGTCGTTGTTCTGATTTTCGTTTCTTTCAGTTATTACCTTTTTCTTTATTCTACTTTTTTTCCTTCTCTTTTATTGTCCCTTTAATATCATTTCCATTCATATATTTATATGATGTTGAACTGATTTACTTTTCTATTCTCTCTCTCTTTCTTTCTCTTTCTCTCTTTCTAAACTATCATTATCTTTTCTTACCACGTCTACAGGCTCTTGATGAAGAATATTTAAAAGTTGATGCCCAATTTGGAGACGAAAATCAAAGAGAAATTTTCAACTTTGCTGAGAAATACTTACCTCAAATCGGTTATTTAAAAAGACTACATATTATTCACAAACCAAGTAATTATCATTCCAATTAATTGACGAGTCTTATTGCTAACACGTTGCTGATTTCCATTGGAATTTTATTGTTTTGTTTAGCTCACAATAGATTATATTCATTATGAAACCGAGATTTTTAATCCCGATTATCAATCTGTCTTTTTTAATAGTTTCATGGTTAACTAATGTACCAGCTAATCCAGTCGAAGATGATAACAGGATTACCTTATTAGATGCCGCTGATGCTGTTAAGAGAAAGTTAAAGAAAGCATTTTGTCAGCCTGGAAACGTTGAAGTTAACGGAGTTTTATCTTTCGTAGAGAACATTATTTTCCCAGTTTTCAAACAGTTTCATCTAATGAGAAAAGATGATCACGGTGGACCAATTGATTATACTAATTATGATCAAATTGTTGCTGATTTTAAGAGTGAGGTAAGTATTGAAAAACTCTCGAAAATCACAAAATGTTTGAATAGGTTAATAAACATTTCTCTTTTCTCATTGACTAATTTAGCAATTGCATCCCGATGATCTTAAAAAATCAGTCGATGTTTACATAAACAAATTGCTTGATCCAATTCGAAGTAAATTTAACGACGTCGAAGTGAAAAAACTGATCGATTTGGCCTATCCAGCTCCTGTTAAGTTTAAGAAAGTTAAAAGTTAGTTTGTGCCACGAATTAATTACTTATCGTCAATGTTAAACATTTCCCTTAATCTGAAATAATCTATTCCTTGATTTGTCTCTAATTTTTTTACTAATCTGTCTTATCTTTTTCTCGTTTCTTTTTCTTTTTTTATATCTCTTGATATCTATATCTTTCTACATTTATCGTCGTCGTCATGATTATTATTACAGAAGAAAAATCAAAGAATAAGCAAGAAGTTACAACTGAAGAACCAAATGCTGATGAACTGAAAAAACGAGAAGAAAAGTATAAAATGATCACTAGGAATCTCGAGGAAATCCTTGGTGATGAAAGATTAAAAGAAATACTTACTCAAAGAGATTTAACTGTTTACTGGGGAACCGCAACCACTGGTAAACCTCACGTGGCCTATTATGTTCCCATGGCTAAAATTGCCGATCTATTGAAAGCGGGTTGTCATGTGACCATTTTATTTGCCGATTTACATGCCTACCTGGACAATATGAAGGCTCCATTTGAATTATTGGCTTTACGAACTCAATATTATGAGAAAGTACTCAAAGCAGCCCTTGAATCTCTTGGTGTTCCCATTGATAAACTTGTTTTCCAAAAAGGCAGTGATTATCAGTTTGACTCGAAATTTACTCGTGAAATTTTAAGATTAGCTGCAGTCGAAACTGTTCACGATGCTAAAAAGGCGGGAGCTGAAGTAGTTAAGCAAGTTGAACATCCACTTTTAAGCAGTTTACTTTACCCTGGACTTCAGGTAATAATTAATTTTCTTACTCTTAATCAACAATCAGGATAAGTAACAATGTAACAGAATTACTCGTTTTTCTAGTTACTCTTTATCTCTACTTTTGTATTGAATAATGATTTTGATTTCTATCATTTTTTTTTCACAGGCTCTTGATGAAGAATTTCTCAATGTTGATGCTCAATTCGGTGGTGTGGACCAAAGAAAAATCTTTACTCTGGCAGAAAAATACTTACCCTCTTTGGGTTATTCCAAACGAATTCATCTCATGAATCCTATGAGTACGTTTCAGTTTTCGATAATCATCATAATGATTCAATGTTAATAACAATTTATCTTCGATTTATTAACTTTCTTTTTGCTTCTAATTAACAGTTCCAGGTTTAGCTGGTGGTAAGATGAGTTCCTCTGAAGCTGATTCTAAACTGGACTTATTAGATCCACCGGAGATTGTTGTTCGTAAATTGTCAAGCGCCAATTGTGAGGCGGGAAAAATTGAGGATAACGGATTAATAGCATTCATTAAACACGCAATTTTCCCCATTTTTCATGAAGTTAAATTATCTAACGAAGAATCCAATGGGAAAACAATTAATTATGATAATTATACATCATTGGAAACTGATTTTAAAGATTTGGTAATATTATTAATATTGTTAATCGATTTGCTTTCAGTGTGAGATTGTGTTTGCACTCACACACACACCCAGAAACTAATCAAACCTGTTTTTTTTATTAATTACAATGTTTCTTTTTCTAATCTTAATAGAAATTAACACCCGATGATCTTAAATTGTTGGTCGGTGTTTATGTTAATCGTTTATTGGCACCAGTTCGTGAAAAGTTTGAAGATCCTGAATTGAAAAAGTTGGTTGAATCAGCTTATCCTACGAAACAATTAAACCAAGATGATGTTAGCAATGAAGTAACCAAATTATCAAGTCAATTAGAATCAACTCTATCTACTGCTGTATAACAATTAAAAAAATAATATGCTGTTAAGATTAATGAGATGATTGAACACAAATTGAAATATTTAAAGGATCTATTTAATATTCGCGTTTGGATACAACTATTAAAACATTTAAGCAAATCAGTCAATCACCATTAAAATTGATAACCAAGGAATTATTTCCTTTTAATTATTATCCTCTACACTGTTAATTACATTTAATTGTAATATTTTTCGCACTTTATATTTACGGTAATTGTTGTATGAGATGGTTAATGGTTTATTTTATTCGGGTTATCAACAAGTTCTGGCGTCAATTCTTTGAAATCCAACATTGTTAATGATTTAATTTTTCGACGAAATAAAATTCAGTTTTTTTAAGTTAAACAATTAACTAATTATAAAATCTAAAACTTAGTCCGAATAAAAAAATCACAAAACCTTGAAAATTTACACGAATATTTTTCGAAGTGTTTTTTCAACTGGACCTAAATCGATCTTCGAAATTAAAAATACAAATTAAAACACAAATTGATCTTTAATTTTTGCGAAGATGAACAATTAACTAACTATGGTTATCGAGAATTCATATTTTTCAGAAGAACAATTTTATCGATTCTTCAAAAATTCGGCTGAACAGTTTTCATGGAATCGTTGGGTGAAAACTCAATACGACAGAACTTATCGATGCCCCTGATATTTTGTTAACAATTGAACTCAGCAATCAAATCAAATTTAATTTGATTCTTCGATTAAAACCTTCATTTCATATCGCAAGTAGTCAAGGTTAACAATCAATTTAAATGTCACAATTGAATAACTAACAACAAAAATTATCAAATTCACGAGAATGAAAGTAATCAAATGGTTTAAACTAAACAATCTCTGAGTTTTATCGCTTAATTGTTACGATTGTTAACCAGAAAATCAGTCAATTGCGATTAAATTGAAAACAACTAAGTAATCAAATTGTTAATATCAATATTTTTGCTGAATAAAATATAATCTAAACTTTAAATGTTATTTTGTTTCCATTGAAATCAAAAGTTACTCATCAATTTGTAATAACATCTGATTGTTTATCAATCATCTACATTAACAATTAAACATTAATCAATAATGTAAATAATATAATAATTGATATGGCTGTAAATCAGTTAATTATTAAGATACGATAAAGAAATGTTAATACAGTATAAAAGGACAAAGTAATTAACCGATTAATTTTAGTGTATCTCATTAAGTGTAATCATCAGAGTGTTAAACTGTTTGCTTAATTGTTTATTGTGACAGAAAAATTAATGAAAATGTACAGACAACAATTAACAACACTGATTTTCATCACAATCTTTACTGTGTCAGTTAATTGTTTCGCTATTCAATACGCCAATAAAGCAGCAAATGAATTCACTCCTATTCCCGTTACTGATCCATTGGTTATTGATGATGTTCAGTTCGTAATCAATCAAATTAACTCATTATCATCGTCTAAATATTTGGTTAAATCAATAAGAATTAAAAAAGCGTTTATATTGTTGAAGGAATATGTTAGATTAACATTTGATTTAGCAGCTACGAAATGTGCCAAGGATTCACAAAGCCCTTTGGACAAATGTCCGATTGATAAAACAAAGGTAATTACAATTATATTCCTAATTGAATAATCTACTAAGATAATTAACTAATTGTTGTTTCACTTTACAGCCAATAACAACTTGTGCTGAAGTAATTGTTGACAATACACCTTGGAGAGAGGTCAAGAAAAAGATCACCAATTTCGGCAATTGTAAACCCTAAATTGTCAATGACAATCAATTTGATGATAATTGTGGAAACAAATCCAACCAATCTAAGCTTTAATTGTTGTTAATTGTTATCGTTTTCCAGTTCATCTCCACCGACACAATCACAATAACTTTCGTACCAAATGCTTATAACTAGCTGATTGAATCTTGACAATTAAACATGAAAATGAAGATATAATAACTTATCAACTCGTATTCCAAGTTAATTATCATTAACTATTATCTTACACTTGGATTAATGATCAAATCTCTTTAAGCTCTAAATCGTTGGTTACCTTGAGAGTTGAAAGGTTAATCATTTACTTTGTACCAGGCGAAGCTTTTAAATTAAGACTAACACCCTCGATTGATGCTCCAAGTGAATTTAAACCCGCATCTTTATCCTCAAGGGGCGAGTTTGGAGTTAACAACAAATATCACCATTCCAATGGGTGAATTTTGATCATCACTTTCATGACAATCAATTGATTATTTAAGCTCAACTGATTATCATCACTTTTTATTTGCTCCACTGATTTACTAATCTTGTTTACGTATTAAGATTATCATTCAGATACCAGTGAGAGATTGATTAAAGGTGCAAGTGAATTGTAAGTGCCTATCAAATGCTAATTGTAAAGTGAAAATGTAAATATGATTAACTAAATTGGGGGAAAGGGAGTAGACAATATTAATCACATGTAAACAGATTGTAAACATTGAGAGTAACAGTTAACTGGATTAAGATTTTTTATTATTAATGTTTCTGTTTGATGATGATGATTAGTTGATTGTTGTTAACAAGATGTTGTATTTATTAGTTGTCATCTCGTGTATTTTAATAGCTAAGCCAATTAGAGTATCAACTTTGAAATTTAATTAGCTAATCAGATGTAAAATAATATTAATACTTTGCGATTCACTTTCATTGAAAACATTATCATTCATTTGATTTGGTTATTAGGAGCAATTTGTTTCCATCTCCTTACAACTGGTCAATGAATCTCCATCAATGGTTGTGGTCATCGGAGTGAAAATTATATCATGATAATTATCATGTTATCTGAATTATCTACCTGGTGATTTACTGTTAGTTTAATAACTTCGAGTGAGTGTTAACCTGAATCTCTGTGTTTTTTTTTCATCCTCATCTTTCAAACCCTATACATATTGGGTGGGTGGTAGAGTTGTACAGTGTGGGTATAAAAAAATAGATATTCCAACCCTATAAACCAGAATTTATCTGTTAGAACTTTTCGATTGGTGAAAATTTTGATATTTCTCTTTGAGAACTTATCTGCTCTCTTTGGATTCCAATTGAATCTTTCCGAATATCTTTTAAGAAGATAATTAATCGTAAAGAGTAAACCGAGATTCGAGTTCATAAATTGCGATTCTAATGTCCAGGTAACCTCAAAGTTCATGTTGACCTTGTGAAGGTTAGAAAAGTTGAAAGAACGAAAAAAATGAATACTCAGTCTTGTTATTTGGAAACAGAGAATCATTGAAGCAAATTAAATACAATTAAGGTCAGAGCATAAGACATGGTCATCATGATGGTCATTCTCACCCTGAAAGAAAACATGTTTCCTCCTGATCACAACAATTTCCTAATCAAATAAAATTATCATTTACTTAACACTGGACACAAACAGTAACAATAAAACTCCCAGACAGATTCAACCTTCAACTTTGTCAATGTCCAGGTAATATTATCACAAGTGGACATTACCTTTAAGTGACAACAAAGTGGACATACAGCTAAATAAAAAGTGTGATAACCAAATTATACCAAAAATGTATGGTCCATTTAAATGATCAACAACATAATGTACATGCTGATTAGTAAAGGTATATAATAATTTAGAGATAAACTTCCGGTCAGTTAGCGGAAGTTGATATGATAATTGAATCCAATAGAATCTGAAAACCCATTTGAACATTGATCATCATATTTACTAATTGTTATTATCAAATACATAAAGTGATAAAGGAAAGATACAAACAACATGGACACACACACGCATACACTGATAGACAAACACTCACTGACCATTGAGTGACCATTAAGTGTTTTTATTAGCAAAAAATTATCAACAATAAAGGTAGATTAAGATTAATAAACTCTTGAGATTATAACATTTGATTATCTGTGTTTAGTTTATTATTTTGTTGATGACATTTGATTATTATTGTTATTTTTGTAATACTTTGACTCCCCTTACCCTTGACCATTACAATAAACACAAATACGTGCCTCTGTTAGTTGTTAATAGTGACCAGTTTATGTGTAACTATGTTTTCCAGTGTCCACTAGTACCTTTGGGTATTTTCTTGTCAATGGTCAAGAAGTGACAACTATTGTCCAAAGAAACAGGAAGTACGGTGTAAGATTTGTTGTCCACTATTGTCCATAGGTGTTAATACAATTTAGAATCTTTTATTTTCTCTCTCTCTCTTCTTATGGTCACTTCAATGTTTGACCTCACAATCTACAAAAGATGATGATCAAAAGTGAAGACGACAAAAGGTCAGTTTATCTTCATTGATAATTTTCTCTCTCTCTTATTTTTTTGCTATTCAAAGGTTGTTTAGGTTTATATCTTTGGTCATCTTGTCACCACTGACCACTGACATAAAGTTAATAATCATTTGGTACCATAATCAATATGTTGGACATTCACAATTTGAACATACTAAATTCAATTATATTAATATAACAATTTTTTACCTTAAGTGTCATTATTGATTGTTGAGATTTAATAATAATAATATTATACAATTTGCTTGGACAATTATTATCTCAATAAAAAAAATACAATTGAATTAACCACATACACAATTTAAAAGTAATCGTGATAATTTAACAACAATCAACAACAATGTTGATAATCATAATAATGATCATCTAAAGATATCAAGTGTCACCCAGTTTTTTTTAATATAAATTCCGATTTAATATCATCATCAAATTGTGATAACAATCAAATAAGGTTTATCACCTTGATTAATTACAAGAAAAAAATGAAACTTGATCAACTTAATCTCAACGCTTTCTAAATGTATTGTAAGTTGATTAGTGAATTTGCAGAGATGAAGGGTAACCATTGAAATTACTTGAAGATGAAACCGAAGATGAAGATGAGAGAGAGAGAGAGAGAGAGAGACGAGATGATAAAGTGAAAGAAAGAGGAAGAGGCGTAAATTGGTGACCTCTCCCATTCTCTCCCCGCTCTTCTCAAGGGAAGTGACTATTTTATCCTCCAGTGGGTATGCGAGTGGGAAAATACCTCGAGAAAAGTGTCTATGGTAAATGTTACCTTTTAAAAGTAACTTATTAGCAGAGAGAACTGAAGATGAACAAATGATAATTTATTATCGAATTTGTATTTAATTTCGATTAGTTTTAGAACATAAATTAGAACTTTTTTTTATTATTCTTTTCTATTTTTGATATATTTTAAATCCCATTTCCATATATATATAGATCTAGAGTATTCATCACTTTCGAGATATTGTATCTGAAACCAATTAGAATTTCATCTTCATGATAACTATTTAGTATCATGAGTTATCACCCTGAGGATATTTACTATTGAACAAGTGTTGAGTTTACTTGGGATGATAAAAAGGAAGATAAATGATGATAAAGATGAAGCGATGTATTCAAAGTTCTGTATATATAGATAAATTAAGGAATTTGGAATCACAACTTTCTCAGAAGAACCAGAACTTTTTTTTTCTCCTTCTAATCTAATATATTTTATAGATGGAAATGATTTTCACCTTTTATGACAGAATTCTCATGGAGGTGTATCATGGAGAGAAAGTTTCATCAACTGATTCATTATTCCGAACATGATATGTATCAGTAAGCAAAAGAGAAGCGAAATCTTTTCATGGGGAAAAAGAAGAAGAAAAAAATTGGATTTGTTTTTTTTTCTCTCTGAGATTAAAAGTTTTTTTCTTCGCTCTCTTCTGGTGATATTTTCATTCTTAAAGGTGAATCGTATCCAATTGATTTTCCCTTTACAGGGGAACACCAAATATATACAACAGAATTGTAATAATCACCATGAAACTACTTCCTGATTTTTTTCTTCTCAAATAAATTAATGAGTGAATGGGAAACGGAAACAAAGGAAGTGAGTGAACCTTTTTTACGATTCTGGTATCATTAGAATCTTTTTTTTCTCCTATTCGAATTACCTGAGTTCTAATCATCAAACTTATCTATCTAATGAGAGAATCAAATTATTCATCATCAAGATTATTTACATGAAAATATTCAATTGATTATCATTAACATTTCAAGTTATCTTTTTGTACATTTGTCTTTCTCATTCATTATTTTTCACCATGAGAGGATTTCATGATAAATATGGATGAGAGAGAGAGAGAGAGACTCATATTGAGTGAGATACAAAAAAAAACAAGAATGATAATAAGCCAGAGGTATTCAGTATTCAGTTGGAATAATATTATTGTGAGAATTTTTTTTCTTTTCTCTCTCCCACTTCGACTATGAAACTTTTACCTTATTCATCTTCTTGCTTATCATCATCATGTTTCTCATCATCGAAGAGAAAAAAAGAGAGAGATAAGATGAATGATGAAAGGAGGGTATTCGGGGGAGGGGAAGGAATGAATGTTATATAGGCTGGAAAAGACATTCTCATTGGTTGAATTTCGAGTTGGAACATTTTTACACGCCCTTTTTTTCATCTTCATCATACTTGTGTATTAACATTTAGTTCAGCAAATATTTTCATAACTAGATCAATATTATCATCCACGTGACTCTCAGGTCCTTTTTTATTACCTTATAGACTTGAAGATGTTATTATTATATTATCAATATGTATGTATAAGTTTATTTGATCATAATAATACAACAGGTAAACAAATTAATTTAATTACAAGACGAGTTTTTCTGTCTTTTTGTTATTCCTTAATTCAGTTCAGTTTCATCGTCATCATCATCATGATAGACAAGCAGACAAATAATAGTACATGTTATGTATGATGAAAACTCAGCGAGTGAAGATAACTTTTTTTTTCTTTGCTAATTGCTGGATAGAAATACGAGTTAATTATATAATTAGTTAATTGATGATAATAGTGATGATTAATAATCGCAAAGTTTATGAATTGAATTACTCATTTGCTTTTTCTCCCCATGAACTTACCTGTTCAGTTTAGGATTTTTTTACCTTTCAGAATTTTGAATTTCGCCTGAACTTTGCTCGACGATTTTGAAACCAGATCTGAATCTTATTCACTGGGAGATTTAATTTCAATGAAAGTTCAGTTAAACACTTTGAATCAGGATAATGGGTTAGATTGTAAAAAACATTTTCCATTGAATTGATTTGCCTGAGGGTGAAATTTATCCGAGTTCGTCTATAGTTTGATGATGAGGATGAAGATGAAGATGAAGGTGAACTGAGTTGTAATTGATTATATCTTTTAGATTGAAACAATGAACCAGAAACTGAATCTAAATTATTATCCGTTGATTGATTTTCATTAATCAATTTAACCATTTCATTAGTTTCACAGTTGAAATTATCATTTTCATGGTAATAATCTGATTGATTAAATTGATGTCCAAAGTTATTTGAAAGTTGATCACAAACTTGATGATTAGAAACCAAATTGATTTGATCACTAATCACATTGAAAAGTGATGATGATGAGGAAAGGTGATTAACTTGATTATCCATGAATATTAGTTAATCTTTTCCGATGGATTAAAAGTTCACTGATTTGATTGTTGAGACTAAAACTTGATCAATATTCATTGAATATTCATTTGAAACTGAAACATTGGTGATTTATTTTTAACCAATAAACAAACAAAACAACATCATCACTCTGAAGGATGAAGATAAAGATTAGGATGATAAAAATGAGGATAAACTGAAAGATAATAATCAGAGGGATTAAGATTGACAGAATTATCTTAATTATCTTGATTAACACTTCCTCCATCGTGGTAACAGAAATACAGTTTATCAATCAACCAGAAATTCAAGACTCAGCAAATTCAATCAATGATTTATTTTTAATCATTACAATTTAATGTGTAACCTCATTGATATTGAACAATTAATTAATTGCTCACTTAAATATCTAATCAGTGAAAGTATCAATTGATTTTCATAGTTACTTTTTTGTTAGTCTATCTAATTGTTATTAACTTTGTTTTTTTTTCACTGTTCATTCAAAATCATTTAATGATTCAAATTTTTAATTGTTATCATCAATTTATGTTAATCTGTTGATTAGAATTACAATTTAGTTGTTTTGTTTTCAATAGTAATTAAGGGTAATGATTAACAGAATAAAACTTAATCTTATTTTTTGAGTGTTTTGGAAAAAGTTAAATATAAATTAATTGTTTTGAGATGAAAATTATAACCAAATTACAACGAATTGGAGTTTTTTTTTGTTCTTAAATATAATATTTGTACATTTTGCGTCGAATCTTGAGAAAAAGAAGTGGAACTGGGGGAAAAAGAGGAAATTCGACAAGGGGAAAAAGTTCTAGATTCGAGGATTAAGATCTTTTCATGTTATGTGTTCGTTGCCCATTCCAGACTCATGATGATGATAAAGTGGCAGATGATTTAATTTACACATGAAGGTGGGATTGCATTTAAATAATAGTCTTACTTGATGAGCATCATGATGATCAATTATTGATGATGATGAACACAACCTTTGTCATGATGATGATGATGATGAAATTGTACGTATCAGTTAGATGAGAATTGGTATGATGATGATGATGAGAATGAATTAATTTGAATTGCCATCAGAACAGTGAGCATTTGAAAGAGACCAGGATTGATTTGAATTGGAATGAATTTCACCCACAGTATTACCACCCCAAGAGGAACCGGAAGTATTCCCAGAACTTGTACCAATACCAGAAATACTATTATGAACATTGCCACCATTAATATTTCCACCACCACCACCAATACCTCCACCATTACCACCGATAGAACCTCTTGTCCCACCTTGTCCAATACTCGCTATGCTAGAACCATTACCAAGTAATCTAGAGTTAATTACAGATTCACCGACAATTGGAACGCGATTTTTGTTCAAATGTTTCTTTTGACGAGCTCGTGAATTTTGAAACCAAACTTGTGTCACCCGTTTAGAAAGTCCAGTTGTATTGGCTATCCTTTCGAGATCTTGACCATCCGGATTAGAATCAGTCTGTAAACAATTAGTAGAAAATCATTTTAAATTGTGAAAATAATTTAACGAAAATTCAAAGTCAAAAACCATAACAATAATTTTGCTTTCTCTTTGATAACCACACAGCACAAATACCCATGAATACCCTTAAATATATTGCATTAAATTTGACAATTGATTGTAGGTCAAAATGTGATAATAATAAAGTAACTGTTAGTTAACTGATACTCTTCACGAGAATACTTATCAGAACAATCAAATTGTAAATTGTTACAATCAAAAGGGAAATAACAAAAAGTGTGACATAGAAAATACAACTAAACCATTTTACTCGATAGACTATTATGGGTAATATAATAGCACTCAAGGTACAATAAGGAAATAAAGATGAGAGGAGGAGGAGGAAGATGAGGAAGACGATGGAGGGAATAGAGATTGAGGTTGGTATTGGTGGTAAAAAATAATAATAATGTGATATAAGAAACAACAACAATAATAATATTTGATAGATAACAATGAGAATAGTGAAAATATTGTTACACTAAAAGAGGAAAGGGGAAGGTGGGGAAAAGTTTCTCGATTCTTTTGTGTTCGAACATTTTCCTCTTCCTTTTCAACATGTATACGACTTTTGTATTGCCCCTTTTATTTGACCCTGGCCCGTGTGTGCCCAAGAGAGAGAGAGAGAGAGAGAGAGAGAGAGACGACATTGAAGCGACAATTACAAATTCGAGACTTGAAACCTTGCGAATCTTTTTCCATTTGTACTTTTTTTTGTTATGTTTTTCTGTCTTCGAGTGGGGAAGTTACTGTTAAAAAAGCATTTGAACTGTTCGATTCCCTCCTCTTCTTTTTCATCTAACACCTCAACCCACACTGAGCACGATAAAGAGAGACAAGGACTCGACGAGGTGTCAATACAAAGGCGAAAATGTCAACGGCTTCAAGAGTAAATTAAAAAAGGACTAAAACTATTCGGATGACAATCAAAAGTTAACGAAACTTTTTTTTCAGTACAATGTCACTTGCATAGACACACACACACACACACAATAAGCATTTATAATCATCAAATAATGATAATAAAAATGCTGAGTGTTATCTGTGTGTGTGTGTCAATGTTTAACTTGATTATCATCATCTTATTGTGTCGATACTGTTTATATTGCAACGATAATAAAGTTTATCATTATATGCATACAAATTAATATTGAATGATGATCAACATCAAAAGGACATCTCTCTCAATGGTGATAATGAAAGTAAGAAAAAAAAATGATAAAATAAAAGTGATTTTACTTTGAAAGATTCATTTTCACATCGATTAACAATCAAGTTGAACAATATATAAATCATTTTGTATCTGATTTAGTGTGTGACTTGGTGATCTAAGTGTCTTATAGATTCCTGGGCAAAAGGTTCACCATGTAGGAGACAAAAATTAGCATCAATGAGTTTCTGCTTGCGGCAAGAACATTATATTATATTAGATATCGTGGTTACTTTTTTTCTGTCAAATAAACTGATTGTTATACATCTCATGGTTTTATCATCTCTGTTTCTTTCCTTTTTCATCCTCATCCTCATCTTCTTTCATCCTACCTCACCTCTCTCTCTCTCTCTCTTCACTAGGTTGTAACATAATAAAATCTCACACTAAATGAAGCAAATGATTGGGTGGTGGGTTGTAGTGTAGGTACCATTTTGAAGTCAATGAAAAAGCAGCGAGAGGAAAAGGAGAAGAGGGAAAAATTTCATTCAGTTTGTTTTCACTTTTGTTGCTGTGTTTGCAAGAGGATGAAAAAGGAAGATGATGAGGAAGATGATGATTCCCTTGGATTTTTCCTCTCAACATGTATACATGTGTATGTGTGTCTGATGATGATGATGATGAAGATGGAAGATAATTTGATTAAATAATGTACTTGATTCACTTTTCATTCCTGTTATAATCCCATTTTGTATCTTTGGGTTATATTGATAATAGTACCAGTATATTCATATAATACATTCAATTTTAAGGTTCAAAGAAGCAAAAGTTTATCAAGTTATATAATATTAGTATGATAGTGGTTAGAAAAGTGGGATGATGAATATCAAGATAAAAGATGAGGAAGATGAAAAGATGATGAACACTTTTTTATGTCGAACTATTTGATTTCTCTCTCAATCTCTCTCATCCCAATATCTTCATCCAATTGATGATTAACAACAATCTTCATGTAAACTTTGAATGAAAGATTATTTTGTAAAGAAAATGTTGTTAATAATCTTACGGATTAATTGTAACAATTAAGATTATATTGTGATAATTTACCTGGAAATTGTCTTGGAGTATCTTCAGTTGATCTTCGGTAAATGTTGTCCGGACTCTTTTTGTTTTACTTGATTTTGGAGTTGAACTGGACATTGAATCATTGCTACTACTGTCATGAGAATCACCTAAGAGTAAAAGTTAAAGGTCAATGATTAGTAATTTGATTGATTGAAAATCATGGTGATCGCTGTTGGTGCTAATCATGAATTTCAAGACTTACCTTCACTTGTTACGCCGAAATGAAGCTTACAAAGTAATCTCATATCGTCCGTTTGATTATCGATAGTAAATTGTTCACCAGTACTTAATTGTCGTTGACATAAATCACAGGCAAAACATGCTAAATGATATACATGGGATCCGGCGCGTCGAACCTGTAAACATGAAAGATAATCAGATTTAATTGCGAGAAACAATAACAATCAATGGAGGAGAAAATTTGTAAACTACACATGATAGTTAATTATGATATTCTATCGGTTATAGGATCAACACTATTACATCATTATCATGTTCGAGAGTGGGTATTGAGTAGAAAGGATGAAAAAAATGTTAATCCAATCAGAAATAAGATGTTGATGAATATGAGAAGAAGAAAAAAATATGAAGGAAAAGTCAATGGAATACAATTGAATAATAACTGAATCAATTTACAGAAAAGGAGACAGAAAGAGAAACAGAATTGAAATGATAAAGTGGGTATTCAACATTCACCTCAAGGGTATTTCAGAATTTTTGACAATCCATACTCAAGCCAATAAGCAAACATCAAGATGGAAAAGTTGTAAATGCTTTCTGAATTATTCAACAATATTCAGCAAACATGATTATCATTGATTAACATGCTCATCATCAGAATCAAATAGAAGAAAAAAAAAACAATAATTTAATTCAATTTATCATGAATAACAATCTTGTTAAAATAGTAACTGAATAATGAATGAAGATTCTTGAATTTCCAATGGAAATGTTGTACTGATCAAGTTTCTGGAAACATGGTGATCAGTAATCTCACAAGGGTGTGACACAATATCAATGGGAATGATTAACAATTAAAACTAATCACTTACCCAATCACTTGGTGATATAATCCGGTAACACTTTGAACACTTAACACTAACTCGAGATAATTTAAGATAATCAGATTTACAATAAATACGACCATTTCTTAGGAAACATGATGAACTTAATGATTTTTCACATTCGCAACATCTGAAAAACAAACACGATGAAACAATTAGTTGATTGTTACAGTTACAATTAACAAAAAGGTGAACAAATTTGTAAGAAACTTTTTTTGTATTAATATTAATCAATTGGTGGTGATGATGGTTTAGTGTTTTTTGTTAATGTTGATCGGGAAAAAAAAAGTTTGTATATCAATTTGATTTTTATTACTAATGCTCATTGATCCTTATCCACGATGTAATCTTAATCCAATAATAGTTGATAATACTGTTGAGCTAATCTGATATCTATTGTGATTTGTGAAGCTAATATATACTTCAATTGTTATTAGTTGATCTGACAAGATTATAATCTGAAAAAAACCTTGACAGCAATATGAATATATTGTGTGTTGTAAAAAGGTAAATCAAAAATGCAAGGTAAATGTGATAATATTGATTAAGATTAATTGTGTCAGCACGTTGACTTTTCAATAATCAGCTGATGGATCGAGAGAGAGGAGAGAGAGAGAGAGAGAGAGAGGGTTGGGTGGGGGAGATGGAAAATGAATTGGAAGGTAATTACCTGAGACAATCGGTGTGCCATTGGTGTTGATGTCCAGCAACTAAGGCTATAAATGGTGCGGTCAAGAGTGAAAGTCCACAGCCGAAACATGAGTGTATTGAGTGGACAGTGGGGTTTGTTGGTGGTGGTGTTAAGGGTTCGTTAAGAAGAGACATAATTTGAAGGTTAAATATTTATATGAGAGAGAGAGAGAGAAAAAGAGAGATGGAGATGACAATCAATGTAACAATCAAGTTAATCACTGTAAATTGAAGTAAGTGGAGACACAGAGAGAGACACACAATCAATTGATTGCAAATGATTTACTTTTTTTTGCAAATCCCAGGTGAAAAGATGATAACAACAATTAACCATCATCTTGTAATAACTGTAATCATTTATTAATCAGTAGGTAAATCAATTGGGTGGCAAATTAAAACACAAGAAAAGAAAACAACAAAAAGTTAATCAATTGATTTTAACAAAATGATTTTTCCAAAAACGAAACAAAAAAAAAACCAATAACTTGAATTAGCAAAAAATAAAAACTTATCAACACAAATCAAGAAATTGTATCAATCAATCAATGAAAAAGTAAATTAGAATAATGAAAAACGATTGATAATCAACACAAGACACTTAATACTGTTGTTGTTTTATTGATGATTAAGATGATGAGGATGAAGATGATGATCACTTTTAAGATGATGTTGATTCATCAAGTTAATTGTTTACAAGGCGACATGTAAATTGTAAACTTGAGTGAGTAAATGAGTGGAAATAAACAATTGATTTCTCTTGGTTAACTTGATTACTAAACTACGAGTTAATTGTTGATCTGTTGATCTGTTGTTGTTTATGTCGTCGCGAACTCGAGTTGAATGGTTTTTTGTACATTTGAACATAAAAACTTACATAGATTACAGAGAGACCTTAAAGTGCGCAAACGTGCTTGATGTTTTATCCACTCGACTTTTTTTCTTCCATTTTTATCTCTCTCTCTCTCTCTCTCTCTTTCTTTGTGGTGGATATATTTTTTTCCTCCTTCCTCCACCTCCATAAGATAATCCTCCTTTCACTTGACTCAGAACAGGGATTAAGATTAGCCCGAGAGTTTATCCCTTTCCTTTGGATCGATCCGACTTGATGATGCAACCTTTAGTACTTTTCCCATCTCGATATTGAGAATTGTTGTTTTTCTTGTGATAGTTGTGATTTGTTAATTGTTGATTAGTTTGTCACAATTACAAGTGCATGTATTTAAGCCATAAAGTTTATCGTCAATTTATCAGCGGGGGTATTTATTTTACTCTTTGCGGATTAAATGATAGGATCAACTTCCAGCTGATTGGATTTATCAACTGTTTCCTTTTCCGAATCATTATTCTGAAAGTTTCTGTCTACTTATTTAGTTTTAATGTTCACTGGTGATTATCGGTCTCTGTTGTGATCTTTTTTTTTCATGGGAAAATCTTCAAACCTTTTCCAAGCTGAACTTGGCTCATCTGTTGACCATAAACACTAATCCATTGTCCAGTTGACTTTTTGGTTCACTTGAATTTACTTAAAGGCTCACAAATAGGGATATTTACATGTGTTCAATGAGAACGATAAGTGGACTTTATTGACCTCTATTCGTTTTTCAGAGCCATCGGTTAAAGGGCAACAAATGACTCTAATAATGACCACTGTCCATCGTATCATTTGTATATATGATATGCTGATAGTTCATTGGGGAAATAATTTATTATGGTTAATAAATTGTGTTGATCAATCAGCTGATGAACTTGAGTGAATTAGGTATTGAATAAAGTGGCTAATTGTTGATGATTAGGTTGTTTTAATTGTTTTGTCATTTTTTTTGTTATATTAACTTGAATGAAATGATTACCACTTGATTGTTGACTGTTTTTAATTGATATCATCAAAATCTTTAGGTAATTTCTTATATTGATTGATTGTAATGTTACCGACGTTGATAAGATATACCATATGAGATGAGCTATTAATTAATCACAATCATCAGCTATTAACAATCAAATTGAAGGTGAAAAATCAAATTAAGTTTCGTTTCAATCAAGTGTAAGTAACAACAATCTAACTAGTATTGTTATTATATTCATAGTGTATTAATTGTGAGTTAATTGTTAAACTGATCAGTTTTGTTTCAATGTTGGAATACTGAAAACAACAATCAATTACTATTAAATCAATGGTAAGTTTTTTAATTTAATTGATTTCTTTTTGACTTTTCATTCCGATAACAATTAAATTCATAATACATGTTATGAGTAATTGTGATTAACTTTTGATTGTTGTTTTGCTTCATCATGATGAGAGGTGAGAGTGAATCAACATTCAATTGTAATTATCATCTCATCGGCTGTTTAGAAATTGAATTTCACTCTTAATTACAATCAAGATTTGTATCATCAACATCAAATCTTTTACCTTTTAAACTTAACAATTAACTTTACAATTGATTATCTTTACAATATGCTCATCTTTACCTTTCTAATTGTTTCCATGTTCCTACCTGGTAAGTTTACTATTTAGCTGTTAACTCAATTCAATTGTTGTTCTTGATTGTTGGACTAATTGTGTTTTTGGAATAGGAATTTATTCAATTAGATGTTATCAATGTGAATATCATCGATGTCCAACATTATCTAATTGTCGAGAAGTTCGTGATATTTGTACAGTTAACAATTTCCAACGTTGGGATGTCCGACAAGTTGAATGTCCAGGTCCATGTGAGACACATTTAGTTAGTGATCCGAATGGTAAGTCAACAATTAACGTTTAATTGGTCATTTTCACCATTTTAATTGTGAACAATTTAGGTAAAGTGATTAAATGGCATCGAGGTTGTTCAACTCAAGCAATGCCGACCAGAGGTTCGTCCGTTAACATTTGTGAGACCATTTATCGAGTCGGAATTAAGGAAGACATTTGTACCTGTTCAGGTCATTTATGTAACTCCTCATCTAACCTACGATTACAATTAACTGTAATTTCACTAATTACAATCACTCGATATTTATTACTGACGTGATCAACTAATTTCTAACCAAGAAACTCAATCAAGTGTCTCCATGTTTCCTCCTGGATCTCAACCAATTCCATAAGAATTAATCTATAAATTTTTTTATCCGAACAATTTGTTAATTGTTCATACCAATTGTAATTCATCTCAACAAAATGCTTGCCCAAGTCACTTTAATTAACAAGGAAGTTAACCAACAATGATAAAGCATTTAACTATATTCACAATTTGTTTTGTCATTTCTCAATCAGTGAACAACTTGAATTACTCTGATCATCAACAGTGAGTATTAATTTGATTGTAATTGTCAGGATGGTTTAATCATCAAAAGTTTTATGCTTTTAACATAACAATATAAAAAACGTGTTACATTATCATAGTTGCAACTAAATGGCAGGTAAAATATTGATTTGATTGATTAAATTGTTGTTCATTTAATCCAGTTAAGTGTAAATTTAGAGATCAGGTGAATCAAATCAAACACTGGATTTTATATCCAGTATATTAGTGTAATACCAGAGATTTTATAATAAAAAATGTTTAAATTAAAAATCATTTCTTCATATTATCCGTTATTGATTGGAAACTAAACTTTTTTTTTCGCCAATCAAAGTGATCAATTAATTGTTGATTACACTACAATTCAATCCATCGCTTCCATATGACTGATATGATAATAGTTACTTTCTGGAGGGCAATAAGTTTGTAGTTAACAATTAAACTTGAGATTCACTTTGTAGAAACATTTTGTTGTCAATTGTTGTTGCATTAATATTATCATCATTATCATCTGAAGATTGTTTAATTTCATTATCATCCATTGGACAAACAAGATCATCAAGATGTAGATCAGTTTTCAATCGCCTTTTGATGATGGAAAATTTAACATTCTTAACCTAATAGAAAGTAAATAGAAACAATTAATGTATATTAATAATTAGCTTTCTAATTGTTGGAAGAAAAGAGAGAAACATTAATAATACTTACAGAGATTTTGGATGAAGGTGTTAAAATAGGATTGTTTGAACGGTATTCTCGTTTCATTTGAACTAAATCAAAGCCGATTAGTTGATTAAAATGGGTTGCAATGTGTCTTCGTAATAGGGTTCGAGAGCTTGGAATGCTGAGTAAACTGGCCAATAGATCACAATCAAATGCTGGTTCGTAAATGATTAGAGCACCATGAATACCGCTTCCTCTTAGATTAGGTGTGTATTCAGATAATTCAATTGATCTTAACCATTCCATTACTCTGTGACTTGTCCATTGGGCGATTTCCTCGGGTTTCCAATCATTAGATTTAATTTCTGATGAAGGTGCTCGTCGCTTCAATGTGTCTGTGTTAAAATGTGTTGATCGTAATAGTTGAATACCTCGTCGAATTGAATAATAATGAACCTTTGAATTGATATTTAGGTGAACCAAATCTTGGACAGTTAATCTATGAAGTACAGCACCGTCGATTCGACCATTGATAAAGTTTTCCTTATACTGTGGTAAACCGATATCGTCGAGCCAACGAGCTACCCAAAGGTAATCCAATTGATGAGCTTGACGGGTTAAAGGGTCAACATCGTTATTTACGAAGGTCAATGCGAGGCGTAACTTTTTCCGATGAAGTTTATTCTTGATTCCAAGATCTTTTTCAAGCTCTGAATCTGATAAACTCAATAGGTGATCTCCGCTTTTAATTGATCGTCGACAAGAATCACTGTACATTCCAAGGCCAATCATGCTTAACCATTGAGCCAGCAGAATATTATCCAACCTTGAGAAAGGTAAATTAACTCTGGAATATAAAGAAAAAGAAATTATATCAAATCAAATTAGATTAATTTTCCAAATGAAGAGATTATCGTTCTCTCTCTCTCTCTCTCTTACTCGATTCTACGTCTTTCACCAGCGACCAGTCTTGGACCTGTGGTAGCTCGGATTCCACCTCGATTGAAACCATTGTCGTTGAAATTGGAATCAGATCGCTTGATACTATTAAACAAAGAGAGACGATAATTTAAATATTAGCAAAAATAGAAATACAATATTAGAAAATCAATGTTATTACATTGAGAAAAATTTCTTTATCCCTTTGGCTTTATTATCCTTGTTTCCATTGGTGTTTGGACCAGTCGATTGATATATATCTGGATTAGATGATTGTGATCTTCTAGTGGTTTGATCATCTTGAGCTGTTAATCAAAAACAAGAGATACAATTAAAAAAAATGAGAATAAAATATTAACAGAAATGGACGAGGAAAAATAAAATTAACATCAATGGAAAGAGTTAGTCACAGTAAATGATTTGTAAGAAAAAAAAACTGTATCATGCACCCAAGCTTGAATAGTAATGGAGAATGAAAAATTGATTAAAATTAAGCTAAGGCTTAATTGTTGAGATTAGGTAACAATCAATGAGGAAAAACAATTGATGAGATACAGAAAAAAACACAACAACTTATGACAACAAAAAAACGGTGAGCATGAGACACAATCGGTCGGGTGAACAAATGACAAACCTTTAAGTTAAAAGATGGTGGATAAAGGATGAGAATCAATGATAACAATTAGAACAAATAAAAGAAAGAAACAATTAAAATTAATTGTGGAAATAAATCATACAAATAACCAAAAGAAACAATGAAAATAATCAGATGATTGAAATTAAATCAATGATAAAGTAAAAGGTGAAAAGAGTAAACAGAAAGAAAACCAATCAGGTTTCAAACAAATTCTATTCTCTTCAACAGGTGAAAGTAAACAGAGAATCATTAAATTAACAGAAAAAGAAAAGATATTAATTAATTAATTGTTAACAATTGATTCTAATTGTTTGTAATCACAAATGACAAGAAGAAACAATTTATCAAAAGTGAGAATAAATTTTCGAAACAGTGGCTCCATCTGTTGTTCTCGCGAGAAACAATCAACAGGTGATTTTCTGTTTAGATTATTGATCAAAAATCTAAGAACTGAATTTAGTTTTCTGGTTAACAATTAATGGATTGATGGTGATTTTTTCTTTTACCAATTAATTGATTGGGGGATAGTGATTAATCTGCTGTGTGTTATAAGCAAACTGTCTAAGGTAAAGGGACTAGATCAACTCGCCGGTCTAGAAGGGTAAGTTTTGTGTTTTTTTTTGTTTACTTAATTAACTAATTTACTGATTATTTATATTGATTGTTTCTCTTTAGATGGTGATTTGTATTGATGGGAAGTGGAATTAAAAATTATATGTAATAACCATCACCTAACTCGGGTGCAGATTGACATCTTTTAGTTTTTTTGAGAGACAAAAAATTCCTACCAAAAGTAACTATGTTAAACTTGGTTCCAAATCCACTACCTGATGATTGATGATAATTGTGTTGATTGTTTGATGAAGAAGATGATAAATAAGATGACAATGGTCGAGGTCGATTGGTTTCACTTGTATAATCTTCACAAGAAGTTAATTGTTGCTGTTGTAATCTCTGGTAAATTTGAGATCCATAGGAACGCGGCATAGTACCATAGAGATTACAACTTCTTTGAGGTGAATATGGTGTTTGCTGATTAATTTGATTACTTTGCTGTTCAACTAATGTATTAGTTGGTGAATTAGATGTTGATGATTTCCTGATTAAACAATGAGGAGAAGCTGATCTACCTCTGTGTCCATTATGAAGACCATTGGCTTGATATCCATTTGATGATGAAGATGAAGACGATGACGTTACCTCTTCCATATGATTATTAACCAATCGACCTGTTGTTGATTGTCCATCATCGTTAATTGTACCAGACCGAGGAACCAATGGAGGTTTATTAGCACATCTTGTTTCATCATCACCATTCTAATTAACGATCAAAAGGAAAATTAGTTTTGATGACAACAAACAAGAGAGAGAGATTGAAAGTCGCCAAGTTGATCACTTTCAAATTGGTTAACTTACTTGTAATGGAGAAACCAAATCATGTCCAACTTTTAACAATAATTGAGCGGAAATTGATCCTCGGATTAACTGTAATTCGGAATCGGATAAAGTGTAACCCGTATTCTTAGCAATCTTGGCCAATGCTAATCTCAATAATCCAGTTTCAGCTTCTCTCTCCAAAAGAGTTGCTTTTAATGAAGCACATTCATTTTCCAATGAACTTAATCGACTAGTTTTCTCTTGATGATTATTGAATTGCATTGATTTAGTTGATGACGATGATGACATTTTACTGGCGGTTGTTGTGGATAATAATGATTCCCTCTTTAAACGAGCAATTTCATTAATCAATGATCGTCGAGTCTCTTCAAGAATCACCTTGGCACAAAGATTACGTTCATGGTCTGAACCAGTGGTAGAAATTGATTCATTTCCATTGGATGTTGGTGTTAATCGGCTGTTTAAATTGTTCAGTGAACATTCAAGTTCCTTGATTCTTTCATTTTGTGATTCAATTTGATCGTTCATCATGTTAACCTTGAAACACCAAAACAAAAACAAACAATAAGTTAATCAAACAAAAAGCTGAAAGTGTAACACAATTAACACACAAGATACTAAAAAAAAACTAAGAATTGAACCAAACAATTAAAAGTAAATATCAGAAACAAGTTAATGTAAGAGATTCATGAAAGGGTGTGTTAGTAACCATGATGATGAATGTTTTTCACAATTTGAACTTGAATTCAAGACTCATGGTAATCTTGTTACATCATAATGAATATTAATTCAATGAAGATGATGAAGATGAAGATAATGATGGCTATGATGATGAAAAGGAGCGAGAGAGCTTAAGGGAGAGAGAGAGAGAGAGTGGGGGAATGTCAATTGTAAATTGATGATGGGTTAGGATGATGATGATGAAGTTTGGAAAACAGGATAGATGATGATGATAGAGCAGAAAAAACTAAGTCCATTGACTTTCTATTAAGTTTACACATCATCCTCATCGCCATCATCTTTATCATCTCTCCATCTTCATTATGTCCTCTTCTTTCAACGATGTAAACTTGAGATGAGGATGATAAACGGAAAGGGAAGATGAGAGGTGATGAAGATAAAGAGAGAGAGAGTCTGGTCAGGATAAAGGAAAGAGGATGAAGATGAAGATGAAGATGAGAAAATGTAAAAATAAATTAAAGTTTTCAAAGTGAAACTTGAAAATAAACTTTACTGTTTTTCTTTCATTTTTTGTCTTTATTTTTGGTTTTCTGATAAATTAAGTTACTTCAATTTGGTAATTAAGTTTAACAAACAATCAAGTTGAAAGTTGCAATTTCAAGGTTGATTTAGTTGATTAGATTATTTTAATTATCTGATTGATTTAATTGTTAACCTAAAACCAAATCAATTTTCACCATCAAAAAACAGTTTGGTAATTTGGTCAGGGTGAGAAAAGCAAATTGTAACCTAAGCTATGAAAGACTTACAACCAATTACTAAATTGTTTACAGATTGATGATTTAATTGAGATTTAATTTGATTATTAACTAAATTAATTGATCAAGATTCAATTTACCTGGTAAACAAGTGTCTCCTTTTCAATGTTCAATGTTTTCAATACATCTTCAAGTAAACCTTTGTCAGTTGATGAATCAATTGATTCCTAAATTATTGTAATGAGAAAATTAAATTTACTTAATGATCACCATTGCTTTGAGAACTGCTTAATTAGCGATTTGAATAATTACCTTTCGTGGATTAATCAGCGCAATTTGAGGTTGATTTGTTGATTGTTGTTGTTGTTTTTGGTCAATTGATGTTGGATAGAAAGTCGTTGTTATATGAACATCACAAGCTGATTGTTGTTGATGATTTATCGGAATTGTTGTTGATGGTGATGATGATGATGATGGTGGAGTTGGGATAAGGAATAAAGTTGAAGGTCTAACTGGATGATTATGATGATGATGAGGATGATAATTAGCTGAATCAATATTACACCGAGAGCATTGATTTGAATTTGAAATTCTGGGCCAAAAATCGGGTTTGATTTGATTCAATTTACCATTTGACCCTTGATTCCAGGCTTTTCAAATATACAATTAAACAATTAAATCAAAGTGAAAACACAATAACAAAAAGACAAAAAGTAATTAACAATCAAAAAATTGACATTTAAACACAAAAATCAACTGATTGTTGACTAAAAGTCTCATCAATTGACGTTGTTGTTATTACGCTGTTGAAAGAGGCAGAAAATTTAAATTGTAAACATTAGATTTTTAATGTACTTGAAACAATTTAAATTCAAACAATTTAATTCATTTCATCCCAACCATTTCATCACGTAAATTTAATCGTGAAACTTGAATTACGACGAAACGTTGGAACGTTTCGTTGGAAAAGTCGAACTTGTTTCTGACGAAAAAAAGAAAATTTTTTTTTCTCTTTTCAGCCTTGAGCAAATTTCACCTAACGAATAGTAATCATTAAGATTATTACTATGATTAAGTAATAATAATCACGGAAGTTAATCAACTAATCAGTTGTAAAAAATGTACGTCTTATGTAATATATTTAATTTTAATTGAATTTGTATGGGAAAGTAAATTGTTAGAATTAAACTTAAACCATTAGCATATCAACCTATTTATGATTAAAGGCTTAATTATAATCACAATCAGTTAATCTTTTTCTGAGGAAAAAAAAAGTTGCAAACAATTATAACTAATTGCATCGTCTTTCATTGTAAAGTTAATTGTCACTCCAATGATAGTTAATCATTTTGATAATATTAATTATTTCGCAACGATCTTAATCAAGATTTGTGAAAATCTATTTTCTGTCTTAAATTGAATTCAATGATTGATTCATTATTGATTGTTAACAATTAAACTAACCCAATAATAAATAAGGTACAACAACAATTCATTAAAAACATTGTATTTAGTTAATAATCTCAATAGGAATGATTAACCTTAAATCACTTAAGTAACAACAATTAAGTACAATTTAATGTTAACCAGTTGATTGGTAAACAATTAAGCAAATTGATTTGGGTTGAAAATGTTTCTCACTTGTTAGCTCAATGGGGATTTTAAATTGTTGCCTTTTCCATCGTGATTATGATTATCATGATTAACTAACCAAAGACCTTAATCATTTACAGTTATTGGATTACATTTGAACTGGAAGTTTGCCTACACGGAAGAGGAAATAAGATTAATACTATTACATAGGAAAGTTAAGATTAGAATGAAACTTTTTTTTTCTCATCTCATTTGATATTATCTTCATGAAGATAATCTCAGTTTTCTGTCATCCTTATCATCTTAATCGTAATCATCATAATCAGTTTGATTTATATAAGATTACAGAGTTAACTTGGCTTTAATTCAATGATTAGGTCTCTTAATTGTTGTTGTTGTTGGTTAGGTTTTTGTTATTCTTGTTGTTCAATCAATGCTTTTAATTACAATGTTTGAATATCAGCTGATTTGATTATCAATCTAACTAATATTATCATGGTTTTGATTGTAATCCTTATAACTGTCAATCATTTAGATGATCAATTAGTTGATTGGTTTTGGTTGTCATTATAATTGTTGAATTTGTGTAATTAAGTTACTATTTTTTTTGAGTTATACATTAAATTGCCTTGACCTCTTACCTGTGATTGATTTAGTTGATTGTGTATGTTGACAATTAGCTGATGTTAAATGACGATAATTATTTTCACCTTGATTGTTATCTTCATCATCTGAATCGTAATCATTTACTTTTCTTGCAACGTTACATTTGCTTAGTACATTTGAGGCCGAACCAAAATCACGACGTAATTGTGAGTAACGACGACGACGTTCAGAACTTTTACTTCGACTTCGACCTCGAACACGACTTGATACTTTGACCTGTTGATGGTCACCAGAAGTAGTTGTAAAAGTATCGCCATCATTTGGAGGATCATCTAATTGCATTCTATTTACACTTGGACCCATTGATTGGGGTCGACGTTGACGATACCGATATTGTCCAGAATTATGATGACCATTGGCATCAATGAGGCCACTGTTGTAATCACTTACTCCATTGAAATGGTCACTTTTATCATTTTCATCTTCATCATCAGCACCATTTAAAAGATTATCATTTAAACTGTTGTAACCATTGTGACCATTATTATTATTACCAATTTCATCATCATCATGTTGATCTGAACTTTCACTCGAATCTGAATCACGAATTAAATATTGTAATGTTAAAGGTTTCGCTCGGGTATAAGCCCGATCAACAGATACCCCACGACGATTCATCTTGAACAATCACCAAACTAAATTAACTATCAAGAGAAACAATTAACTATAAACAAAGAAACAAAATAAACTATTATTCTAACGTTAAGACACCAGAATTGAAAATTAAATTACTCTTGATAACAGTATTTTATCATTTCCTGAGCCACATGAGATTGCTAACATGGTGATGATGATGAAAAGGATGAGGGTTATAATGAAGATGAGGATGAAAGATGAAAAAGCGCATAAACCTTGAGCTTTTTCTGGAACAAAAAATTTTCGATTATAAATAGATCTTAGTCTCTCTCTCTCTCTCTCTCTCTCCATCCTTATCTTCATCATGATCTTTCTTTAGTAACAGTACTTTATCTTCATCATCAGATTCTTTTTCCATTGAACTTGGAAAAAAAATTTCGAAAATTTTTTCCCATGTTACCTAAACTCGAGTTTCTGAATATTTAATATAATTGACCAATGACTTCTTGTCACGATTAATACGATTATACAAGTGATTCGTTAGAGATCATTTCTTTTCAATTCAGAGTTCGTATGAATTTTTTTTTCATTAGAAATTATTCCCACTTTATTATTTGGAAGTTCGAAGGTTTCTTTTTACTTCCAAAAGAGAGCGACACTTGTCATATTTTGTAGAATTCTGTTGGTTTCGCCATCTAGTGAGTTTCGAACGATTTAAATTAGAATGATTTTTTTTCCAAAACAAATTAAATCAAATTAATCTGATTAGTTAATAGTGTGTCAAGGTTAATCAACTATTGTTTCAAAAGTTAATGAGTATACGAGATAGAAAAGTCTACCAGCAATTAAAGTTTAATTTAAAAGGAAAACAAAAGTTTTGGTTTAATTGTTATTGTTTTGAGAATTGTAGACAATAAACTTTTTAATTGTGATTCTAATCAATTAACAATTAATCTCACACCTTTAAGATGTAAGCTACTTTTAATTAAGTTGATAATCTCTGATAATCAAAATGTAACAATAGTAACTTTTAATTTCTAATTGAATTGATTGTTCTTATTTTTATACAAATGGTTTGATTAATTGTTTGGAAAATAAATAAATTGTTACAATGAAAATGTAATGATATTTATATATAAAAATTGATTAAGGTTAGAAAACAATTAACAGTTGATATGAAATTAGTTTTTTATATATATATTATTAGTAGGAAAATGATTTAATCACCAATCATCATCGGCATAGTAATCAAGTAGAGTTAATTGTTGTTGATATTAATTGTTAGATAATATAAATTATAAGGAAATTATTTGTTCATTGATAATGATGATGATGATGATGGTGATTAGTTGATCGTTAAAAGTGATTTTCTATTGTTTTCTAATGATTAGTTTGATTTAATGTTGCTTCTGATTAATATAATTGTTACCATGATTAACCTTTTGTCTGTGATAATCTTGATTGTTGTGATTAAATGTTGATTGAAACCAGATTGATGGTTGATTTTGATTACGATGATGATGATGATTAGAAGGGAATATGAAATTATCTGAACCATAAGGAAAACCCTGAATCGAATTGATTTGTTGACCTAATTGTTGCTGTTGGTTAATATTAGGTTGATGATAATTGTTAATCCATGAAGGTGGAGACCCAGATGACCTTTGTCCATCTCCATATGAACCTTGTTCCTCGTGTTTTTTACCATCAACATCATCAACTCGATAATAAAATCCTTGATTTGAATTAAAATTCCAAGAGGAACTTTTTGATATTCCACCAGCTACTTCCGGTCCCGGAAGTGGATGATTTTGTTTATGTGACCTTTGGAAACGTTTCAATGTTGAAGATGGTTTGACCTCATGGGAGGAAGTAAATGAGATTGGTGGAGATGGAAGGTGAAAATTTCTTCCATGAAACAGATTATCAGGAATATTGGGTTGACCATAGTGGTCAAGAATATTATCCCTTTGATTATAATCACGTTGTTGTCGTTCTTGGTGTTGGTGGTGGTGATAATCAGGTGGACGATGATCGTGATGACCATTGAAATGTTCAGGTAAAGTTTCCTTGAAACTGGACATTATTTCATTCCTGTTATTATTTTACACAACGAAAAGGGGAAAATATTATTAAATTTTGAGTTCTCTCCTCTCTATCAATTGTTACAATTAAAATGCTATCAAATGCGATTAAAGTTAATTGTTGCTTAATCCTTTCAAATTATATATACACAATGATGAACGTGATTACTTTAATTGTCACACTTTTACTCGTTACCTTCAATTGGATTAAGAAGACAATTATTAAATCAAGTCTGACCTTTTTGTCTGACTAATCATAATTGTTGTCAACAATTAAACATCTAAAAATTATCATTACAATTTATTAAGTTGATTAAATCATTTTGATTGTAAAAAATTTAAATTGATTAGTTGACATTTTTATCCTGATAATTTATCAACTTAACTGTTAAATTGTTTCAAACTCAAATTGTAATAAGGTAAATTGTTTGATCACAATTAGTTGACCGATCGTAAGGAAATTAATTCAATTTAATTGTAATTAATGTTATTGGTTAGTTGAAGTTGAATTTTTGAAATTTGGAAATACCTTAATTGTTATGATTAAATTTTGTAACTTTAGATGATTTCTTGTTGTAATTGAAACAATTAACTGTAAATTTTTGATTGTTTAGTTAAATTGTCAGGTAAATGAAACAATGAGACAATTTAACAACAATCAACTTGATTATAAAAAACTGTAATTATCAAAATGAAAATCAATGTCTGGGAAATTGAAAGTTAATTATTTCAATTTCATGGAAGATTATAATTGAAAATGATAATTTAAATTGTTGATAGAAAGAAAAACTTTTCCCAACAATCAAAATTTGATTACAATTCACACAAAATTTATCTTAATCAACGAAAGTTAATTGTTTCCAAATGAATGATAAATCTAATCATGTATTTAAATGAAACTGATTAACAAAAACAATCCAACCAGAAGTGAAAGTTAAAAGTTAAAACAAGATTAAAGATCAACAATCAACCCTAATTGTTATCAGTTAATCACTGATTGTTACCTTATATTTTCAATGAACGCATTTGAATCACCAGGTCCAGGGTGATGATAATTAACTTGATCATGATGGTTAACATGATGATTTGTCTTAATCCGATGATTCTGATCAGCATGACGATAAGTCCGACTGTTAATCCCAAGGTGATGACGAGGTGTGGGCAGTGGTGGGGCTAAAGGTGGGTGAACATATTGCTTTGAATCAGAAGTCTCTGCAAACCTGGACACACCTTTACCTGGATTATTATGGTCAGTTGATTGCCAATTAAAGTGATAAGCATAATTCCAGGATGATGATGAACCCTGATAACCACTAGATGAACTTAATCCCTGATCATTAGGATGAAAATTAAGACGATCAGCTGATAATGGATAAACTCTAGAGACACAATAAAACAAAACGATCACAAAATTGTATCCACAATTAAGGTTGTATTCAATTCCTCTGAGCTTCATGATGTTAATTAACCTGAGATTAACCTAAAATTAACCAACACAGATACACAGGGAATTGAATTAAACTGTCGACACAATTAACAGCAACTTATTGAGGTTAATTAGTTCAATCAAAAGTTTCCAATGACTTTTTTTCTTGTGACAAATTCATAAGGCACAATCAATGAATTTAAAAAATCAATAACTTTTTTAAAATAATCACAATTCACCACAAAACTATCATATAATTTATTTATTTTTAATTGAATTGTTGCGGGTTAAATGATGATGATTAGGGTGGTTGTTGATTGCGAACATAGTTAAATGTTAATTAAATTTGATTCGCAAAAAGTGAAATCCTTTCTTAACTTTTCCTCCTCTCAGGTAACTCGAAGCAGAATTAGGTTACATAAGAAACTCAATGAAACAACAACAACAACTAAATGATATTAAATAATGTTGTGGATGACAATGGTTCTGATGATGATGATGATGATGATGTTGATAATGATGATAAAAAAAATGATGACCTTTAGTTATGGTTGAAAACTTGTTGGTAACTTTGTCGACTCCGCCACGAATTGGTGTATCTCTTGTTGAGCTTGTTGTTGATTTTGTATCAATCTGAACATGGCGATGATGAAAAATGACGATAAGGAAGATGAGAGAGAGAGAGAGAGAGAGATTTATGTACTATCTTGTCTGATTAACGATTTTTTGATTTGAGTTCTAAAAAGTTCTAATAACAATGAAAAGTTTTTCTTGAGTGGGATGAAGTTTCAACTGAGCTTTTGGTGTTACGATTTAAGATATGATCAAATCGATGGTAAATTAGCTAATCATCGTGATTTGACCAATTTGATTGTGTTAATTAAAGACTGATTTAGATGTGATGATTGTCAATCATTAATTCAAATTTCGAATCCCAACTAAAACGAATCCATTGGCTTTCTTGTTAACAGATTTACATATGTACTTTTAAATAATTGAATGTTAATTGTTTAGGGTGCGAGAAAGTTTCCATATAACAATTTAAACGATTTTGATTAATTGTAATTGGTATTTATCTTAATTCACCTTGTATCCAATTCAAATTATTAACCATCTTGATGTCACATAAAATAAATTAGAAGGCACAATTTGTCAAACATAATCTTAATCATGAAATAACGACGACAATTAGGTTAACTATTTACAACATTAAAATGTTAGTCGTTAATTGTATTCACTAATTGTTAAAAATTTATTCTCCAAATATTTAAACTTATAGTATAATCACTGGATTAGATTTTAATTGTTTGTGTTGATTGTCATTAAAGACTTTACTTAATCATTAATAAGTCTCATGGGTGTGAATTACATAGCTAACAACAATTAAGGACAATCAAAAAACATAAAATCCATTTGATTAGTGGTAACTAACTTAATCAACTATCATTAAAAATATCAATTAACTGGACAATTAACTGGAGGTTATTTATAAAAGATTAGATTCTCAATCAACTTGATTGTGTAAATTTAGTTTTTTTTTACAATTAACCATCAAGGTAAATTGTGATAATTGAATTTAATATAAAAAAATGCAACATCTTCAACAATCAACTTAATTGTTCACTCGATCACCATTAACAATTCAAGGGTAAATTTTCAATCTCAACTTGATTGTTAATTTCATTTTGATTGCTGATATTAATTGTTTGTCAACAGAATGACAATATCATTGGTTAATATTTAATCTGATTTAATTTAAACTGTGGACAATTAATAAACTTGGCGATAATGAATTAATTGGCTTTGGTAAACCAATCAATCAACAATTAAAAATTCAATTGTAATCACATTTATTTTGTTTACTTGAAAATTTGATTGTATTAATTTAATTGTAATCAAAGATAATGATTGGAAAAACTCACAATCAAATGATCACAATTTAGGACATCAACAGTTAATTGTTGATCAATAATCTTATTACCTTGATAATGATAAATCAGATTATTGACCTAATTATGATTGTTAACAATTTAACAAATTCTGTGCTGGTCAATCAATGGTCAATCATTAATTGACCTTTAATTATTAATCAAAAGTTAAATTAGTTAATGGTTGATTAGTTAACTGAACCGATTAGGGAACTTAATTGTTGCCAGTTTGTTAAAAAATCAGTAATATCATTTTTATTTATCATCATCGTTGTAACTAATTACAATTTGTTTTAATTGTTAGCAAATACAAAATGACAAATTAATTTGTTGGATTTGATTACAATTAATTTTTCCTTCAAACAATTAACAAATTTTCAAATATCAATAATATATTTATAAAAAAAGGGAAAATTAATCCGATCAAAATGAATTTTGATTAATCAGCAACAATCAATTTCATATTTAATTGTAAACTATTAATGAGCAGTCAAAGTTAATTGTTGTAACAAGTTTGCAAATTAAAAATTATTACATTAGGAAGACATTGGATAATTTTGATAATACAAATTGTCACCATAATCAACACCATCAGGATAAACAATTAGTTAATTACATTAGGAACTGTATCACCAGGTTGAGTTAATTAAGATTCGGATATGGATTAACTTTTGGTTGATTAATTTGGATTTAAGCTCGAAAGTTTTAATTTAACAACAAATTAAAAGTTGAATTTGTTGATTTATCGATTGTGTGTCTCTTAATTGTCCAAGTTAATTGTTACAATAAAGTTCGAGCAACTTGGTAAATGTTTTTTCGGCCTTTGAAAGAACTGGTTCTCTGGAAGAAGAAGAAGAAGAAAAGAAAAATAAAGATAACAATTAGTTAATTGTTGTGGAGATTTTTCTCTCTTTTTCCATTCTAACAGTTAATTGTTTAGCTTTTAAACCCATTTGGGTGGTAAGGGTAGATTATAATTAGAATAAGGATAATTTTTGGTTAATTGATTAACTGTTAGTGGGTGAAAGGTCACCTCATTTGAATCAAGTTGATGATGGTGATGATGTTGATGTTGATGATGAGGGTGAAGTTGATGTTGATGTTGATGGTGAATTGAGTGGATAACAGCTGATGAAGATGAGGATGAGGATGAAGTTGATGATGGATGAAGATGAACATTAAGATGAGGATGTTGTTGTTGAGATGCTGCTGATTTTAAGGTTCCGGTTGATTGTAAGCCCTGAGTGTTGAGTTGAGGTGGAGGAGGAGGAGGTGGTGGTGGGGGTGTTGGAGTGTCAGTCGCCAACATTGTTGAATAGTCAACATGATTGGTTGCATAAGGGGATGGATAATATAATTTACTTGGTGTTTCACAAAACTCTGAGCCCATTAATGAACCACCCAGATCTTTTCCACCTCCATGGTCAGTTAATAAAATACCATTTGAATTACCATTTGTACCACCACCTCCAGTACCAACTCCTCCACCATTAACAACGATATTCCCACATGATAATAACCTTTCATCTCGACCCGATGTAACCTGTTCACCAAGACCCTCACCACAAGTGACCCCACACGTTTCATCATAACTGACCATCATTGGTCTTCGAGAATGACCTTTAAATATCAACAACAAGGAGATAACTATTATCACAATGAGCACTATCACAGCACAACTTGTTGGCACCATAAAACTTAAGGTTGGATATAAGGGTCGGCTCGAATCGAGTGGCGATATTGTCGCTATGAAAAGAAAGAGTAAAAAAAAAGTTCAATCATCAGAAAAGTGATTCATCAAAAGGTAAATAATCAAAGATCATTGAATCGAACTTGAAATAATCATTATCGGTCATCAAGATAATGGTCAGTTTATTATCAGACATCATTTATCTGGACACAATAATGAAAAAACCCCAATAGGAAATGTTAACAGTTTTTCACCCAAAGTGTTTCAATTCATCTTCGTAGCTACTTTTTTTTACCATGTCCTTTACAGGAAGATAACAAAGGATAATAATGATTATGATGATGATGATGAGAGGTGGAAGATGGGAGTGGATGCTGGAGAGTGAAATTAATGAAGGTTTCAGCTTTTGTCGACTGGGATGAGAAACTGAGAGAGAATAAAGGAAAAGGAAGTGAACATGATGATAGGAAAAAAAGATGAAGATAAATTTCTATGAATAGTTTCATATTCTAGATAGAACTTTGTTTTTTTCTTTCTTTCACCTTAAGAGAAAACGAAAGTAAAACTTTCTCTCAATAGACAAATAAAGAGAAAGATAAAATAAGAGAGAGAGAGAGAGAGAGAGAGAGAGACAATGAACATCGATAGTTAAGAAAAGTTCTGAGATTATGAATCGAAGGAAATTCAAAAGGAAATTCAGTAAAACCTCATAAATAGAAAATTTCTTTTTCCTCTTTTCTTTTATCTTTCTTTTCCTCATGAAAAGGAAACTTGATATTATGTCCACCACTTTCTAATGTCCACCTTGTCTTGTTATCGTCTCATGAACATGGTTGATGGTCACAGGATTACATTATCCTCCGAGTGAGAGATTACCTTGATTTTTATTGTTATCATGTTATCTTATCATTGGCACTTTCAATGTCTTTGCATTTCCTATTGAATTTTACTCCAATGTTTTTACTTGAATGGAGGCAATAATTTCACCCACCGACCATTAGATGATTCATTCATCTTTACCTCCCACCCAATGAATTGGGTCAAGAATATAATCTATTTTTTATTACTTAACTGCGTTAATGATATAAGTTTGAAATTGTATCTCAACGATTTAGCAAAGTATTTAATCAATTGTATCGTTGGAACGTGTAATTTAATTTTAAACTAATCTATGGTTTGGAAAGATGAAGATAAGAATGATGATAAAGGATGAGGATAAATGAGATACTCTTCAAGGTTCATTTAAAGAAATTGATGGAAGAGATGGAAGATACAAAATTATAAGTTCAAAATTCGAGATTAGAACTTTTTTCTTTCCTTGATTTCATCAATTCGATAATCAATTATTTTGATAAGATAAAACTTACCCCCGTTATCGGTGAGAGTTGCGAAACTATATTCCCGGTCAGTCGGTCCAGCATCTGAATGAGCAGTGACCAGTAATGAATACCAGGTAGCCGGTTTAAGGTCAGTTAGTAATGAATATTTGTCATCGCCGTCGATCTGATTTGAGACCAAAATCCAATCGGAATATAAATGCTTAACCTTATATTGAATTTCGAAGTGACTTATCGGACATCCCCACGATTTCCACGAGGCCAAATTTAGATTTGCCGTCGTTGAATTGGTGGAAATGAACAATTCCGTACTTGGTGGAGCGGGAACTAGGAAGAGGAAGTCAAAAACAACAAAAATAAGTCGACATTAAATTCAGAACTGAACTTATGGTGATAACTCAGACATCATGTAACAACTCATCAGAAATTTTCTCATCACGATAATAATTCATGATTAGTGATAATTCAGTGTGAAAACTATGCTAATTTTGAGATAATAACAAGATAACTTTCATTTCATGTTCAGACTCATAACTTGGTTCCATGAAGAGTATCATTCAAAATTCTGAGCATTAATTACATGGTAATCATTAGATTGTCTGAATGATACTGATAAAGAAACAAGCTCATCAACTGTAAGAAAAACTTGCCAATTCACTTAACTTGTTTTCGAGTTGAAACTTTTTATTTCGATTTTCATTCGTCTGAGTTATCGAAGGTGTTATTGAATGTTATTCATTCAGAACAATTCTAAATCTCTTTATGTATTGACTACAATCAGTTAATCAAGATTCACAAGATTGATTCATTTATACCCTTGGATAATGTTCCCGATTTCAGGGAAAATTCATGATAATTTCCTGAAGAAGGTAAAGGTAAATGAGATAGATTTCAATTCTCTTTTTGTTTGTTCCAAAAAAAGAAGGAAAATTCATCGAAATCCATTTGAATGTCTTGTATTCTTAATTCAGATCAACCTCAGAACTTACATGGAACTTTTTTTGCGTCATTCTTTTCGTGAGAAGTTAATTCTGTTCAACAATAGACTCGAATTAATCATGATTAAAGTTAATTGAATTAGATTCAAATCGAACTACAATTTCATTTTGATCAATCCTTTGTTTCTTAAAGATATTAAGTTAATCGTCACATTGATCATCCTTATTATTATTTGATTAGTTTCATGTGTCGTGATTGATTTAAATTGTTTAACTTTGGCCATAAGTTAATAATTAATTCAATCACAATTAAATCTGAATAATCAATTAGGACTCAATGGTTATCCTGAAATTAGATTAAATTGTTATCGACCTTTTCTGTTTTGACAATTACAATGAATAAGATTGAAATGAATTTCAGGATTAACTGGAAATCCTTGATTACAATTAATTCAAACCAACAATTTATCTTGATTAACTAAGATTAAAATGATCTACAAGTAAGTTTAAATTGTGATCATAATATAAAAACTTTTCTGTATACAATTAACTTTGATTATCAATAGATTGATACATGTAAATGATGATAATTAAAATGTTTCATCTTTAATTGCCTGAAGCTATTTTTCATTGAATGAGATAAATTTAACACAGCCAATTAAATACTGATCATGATTGTCCACATTGATTGTAGCAATTAATCAATGGAAAACAAGCCTCAAGGTAATTAACAATTGAAACAATAACAATCAATGTTAATAATCATTAACATAGTTTATCATCAAATTGTATGAATATTTTATCAACAACAATTATCTTACCTGAGCCTTTAGTTTTACCTGCAATCACTTGGCTTGGATCGCCTTTGCCTAAATTGTTGTAAGCGTTGATATAAAACTGATAGGAAGTACCACAATCTAAATTGTCCATAACAATTGACCTAATTAGACCTGAGACTTGTTTCTCTGACCAGTCGGATCGGTGGCTTTTATAATGAATGTAATAACCGTTGACCAGAATATCTGAAGATTGAGATGATAAAGTTGATGAATCTTTAGTTGAGCTTAATGAATCTTCATTGAAACTCCAATGTAATTCAATTGATGAATAAGTGAAAGTACCAATGGTCAGTATTGGAGCGGGAGGTGGATCGTTGATCAATGTTTCAGCAATTATCTCCTCCGATTGGGGTCCAGGTCCTTTTGAATTAAATGCTTGGACAATGACCGCATATTTGGTTGACCTTCGTAGGTTATCAATTTTAACACTATGAAATAGTAAAGAGGACGAAGACGAAGGGGAAGAACCGGAAGATGATTGTCTTTCATCTAGATCATTTTCTGAGTTTTCAATCATCAGATCACCGTCGTCATCAATGTCCAAGGTCACAAATCCCTTTCGATGGTCACCGTTTGTCTTATCTTTTCCACCCCGTCCACCAACAATGGTGTTTATTGAACCATCTGAAGCGATTGTCTTAAAGATGTATGGGTCACCTGAGCCATGGACTCGATAACCAAGATAATAGCCTTTGATTGGTCCATTTTGACCATGGTAAGGGACTGGTTTCCATGTTACTTGGAGGATTTTTGATGTAACCGGAAAGACTTTAACATCTTCCGGTGGTAAACTTGGAGCTAGAGAAAGAGGAGATATTTGAATTTATCATGAAATCTGAATGAACAAAATTTTCTCTCGATTAGTTATCATCAATTCTCAATCACTGTTATCTAGAAATTTAAGATAACTTGCGAAATTGTCTTGATAGAATTTAAAGAATTCTTGGAATGCTCATAAAAAGAACTACAAGATTCCGAAATTCAAGTTCGATCATGATAAAGATAAGATATTGAAAGAGAAACTCTTATCATCAGAGTGAGAGTTTAATAGGAAGAGATAAGATTGATTAAGTTGAATGGATGAAACTGAATCAATCTGATTAATCATTTTCTCCATGATAGTTAACTAATCAACCATGAATGGACTAGATGATAAAGTTCAGTATCATCATTATCATTATTTGATATTGAAGCGAAAGAGAACTGATATCTTAGAACTTTTTTTTCGAAACTTCGAAAACAAAAGTTTTCCAACTTACTTTCTTCGTCTGTTTTAAACTCAATAATATCACTAAATTCACTTGACCCGAGGGCATTTGTACTTTTCATACGAAGCTGGTAGATGGTAGTTGGCTCGAGATTTCGAAGGTTCATCGAATTGATCGAACCTAAAATGGTCTCAGTAAGAATTTCCTTCGATTCCCAAGAAACGGGTTTCTTTTTATACTCCAAGGTGAATGAGAGAATGATACTGTTACCAGAATACGGAATTGACCAGCGAACGATTGAAGATCTACTTTCGATATCAGTAACTCGCACATTGTCCGGTCGATCAGGAGGTTCTACAGGAAGTAAACAGTCAAATCGAGAAAAATGTTCATCATTAGTAATCATACTTTTCGAAATTCTAAGAACTTTTTCTCAATAAATGTACTTCAATTTACCTTGTAAAATGACCTGAATATTGAGCTCATCTTTTCCATAATTATTGGTTGCAGTGCAAGTGAATAAGGCTGAATCTCGTCTATCCGCTGATTCAATTTTAAGAATTTGAATAAACCTCGTTTCCTTTTCCGGCGAGTCAATTATCTTATATCTATTCGATTCTTTTGCTGGATCGAATGGCATTCGATCTTTGGACCAACTTAAGGTGATCGGTTTTTCACCATGAGGCTCACAGGGTAATTCAAGGGAATCTCCTTTCTTGATGGGTTGAGCTGTAAAGGAAGATTCAAAATAGGGCGGAACTGAGGGTGATGAGGAAGAGGAAGAAGAAAGAAGAAAAGAAAATCATCACCAAGTACATCAATTAAGATCGAAAATACAAAAGAAAGAGAAAAAGACAGAGACAGTGAAAGAGAGTTGATGATGATGATGATATGATGAGAATGATGGACGACAGTGAAGATTAGTTGTAAGAAAGAAGGAGATGATGATAAAGAAGTGGATGATATCCTCTGATGACCATTGATATATATGAAAAAAAAGTTACTTCTCAAAGTGGATGAGAGAAGATGATGATCATCATCCTGAAGATACACTCCTGACGGTCAGTGAAAATAAGAGTTGAGATGAAGAAGAAAAAAAAATGATTGACCGATAGAAACAGAAATTACTATTGAAACAAATTCTTGGCAATTCTTTCTTATCATCATCACCATTGATAACCATTAAGCGTACAATTGATGTAAGATGATGATGAGAAGGAGGAGAAAGATGAAGAGGATGATAAGTTAAAGGAACGTGTGTTTTTCTGTATCAGAAAATAATATAACCAATGGAAGAGGAAAAAATATATTCTACTCTTTTTCTTCTGTGTTTTTTTTCACTTGGAACTCACCAAATATAATAGATATTAGTTGGAATACTCCCACTTCCACCTTCGTATCCATCGCCTACTCTTCATCATCTCTCATTCATTTAGTTTTGTCTCTTTTTTATTATTATCCTTCATCTTCTCAAGTCTCTCTCTCTTTCCATCATCTTCTCTTCCGCTTTCTCCCCTGTCAATATTTTTCCACCTCCATGATAACAAATGTCCTTCAATATCAAATGAAACTAATCATTTGACTGGGAATTCAATTGGATGAAGGTGAAGAAAATATATAATAACAGCATTGAACTGAACTCAATTGAATTTCATCATGTGTTCAGTCAGAAAATCTGTTCCAATGAGTTGATGATGATAAACACTCCAGCAACCCACCAGATACTTTTTGCTACATGGAAACTTTTTGATAACACTAATCATGATCGAAGTGAGAGAGAAAAAAATTCCAAGACTTTTTCAAGGAAGAAAAAAAAAGTTCTGACTGATAATATTTTCAGAATATATTATATACATGAGAAAGAGAGAGAGAGAGAGAAGAAAAAAACTCAAAATTGGAGAAAAAAGTTACACCAACAAAACTATCAAGTGTAAAAAAGAGATTAAGTAACCCACCATGAGAGAATGATTCAGAAAATTCAGTGTCGAATTTGAGAAAAGAAAAATAGATCACATGTAAGAATTATTTTCCAAATCAGTTACAAACTCGAATTTGAATAATCAGTTTACAAGAAAAAATTGTTTATCAAAAAGATGAAAAATTCTGACACCTTAGAATATAAATAGACCCATAGAAGATGTGATTATGGAATCACATCAAAATTCTGAGCATTCTGATGAATTATCATCATGAATCAACAACTCACTCGATATTATCAACTATTAATAGTAATATGTTTTTCTGTTCAATTATTATCATCATTATTTGCAACAGATGATGAAATTTAAAGTTATATTAACGTTTGATGTGATTGTTTTTTCATCATGAATCCTGAACTTATGGTGATAAAACTCAATATAAAGAGAGAGACACACAAGTGATGAGGATAAAATAATAATAACAATGAAAGGGAAATAATTTTAATAAACACTAAGCAAGGAAGTAAACAGTTTTGTGTCAACCTATTTTTTTCATCTTCATCTTCATCATCATCATGATGCTCATGGTTCAATTCAGTTTGCAAGCTGCTTCACAGAAAAGTTCTGATCATCATCATCATCATCATTTCATCCACCACCAAACACTCATCTGAACCTTTCTCTCTCTCTCTCACTCTCACTCTCATTTCCTCATCATCATTTTCATCATGTTTATATTGTTTCATGATGATAAATAAAATAATAATCTGTTATTCTGACAAAATGTTTCCTCTGAATTCATTTCCAATTCAATGAAATCTAAAATTTTTCACAACTTTTCCACCTCTTTCATGTGATATTGTTTCATTTTCAGTTAATGAACATGAGAAGAGTAAAAACTATTTTCTGATTAAAACTGATTAGCATAACAATTAGTGGATTAAACAATTAAATCAAATAATAATCCACTTTGATACATTGAATCATAATTTAAGGTTTTTAGTTTGGTGTAAAGTTTCAAAAATGAAACTGATCAAATCTCCTAAATGTTTCATGAAAATTTTCATCCACAAAATGTTTTCTATTGATTTTATATTGATACAAGATATTGATTGTTATCTTTTACTCATCATCATGTTTTTGTTTCATGTTATTTGGAAAAAAAGTTCAAGAGAATCAGATTGATTCGGAAGGTCATGATGATTGTTGACTGGACACATTAACACATTAGAGTGAAATATTATATTGAATCTGTTACTCTCTCTCTCTCTCTCTCTCTCTCTTCTCTCTCCCTATGGTCAGTCTATGTTCAATCAATGTTAAATTTACCATGGAAATCGATTGGAACTTTTTTTCTTCCTTCCCTGTTTACTGAACTTTCCATCATCATCATCATTATCATCATGATACTCAGTTACAAAAGAGAGACAAAAATATTTTCTTTTCCATCTCAAAGATGATGATGGAAAAACATATGTTGTTGACAATTGTTAATATGTAACAATTAACTAATTAACTCAACTGTTTCTAATTAAAACTTTTACACATCTAATGATATTTGATTATCGCCATGAAATTAATGAGATTGTGAAACGGAATCTCAAATGTTCAATGAAATTATTTCCTCTATTTGAAGGCTGAATGAAAGTTGATTGAGTTTCATCAACTGTTCAGATACAAAGTTATTCATCAGGAATTAAGATGAAGGAGGAGGAGTGGGGATGAAGAGTGGGTAGTTGTAGTAGTAGAGGTGGAAAGTAGATATATATCGTAGTGTGTAAAAAAAAAGCTCAATGGGATGAAGTTAATTTGAAAACCACAGAGAAGGAGGAAAAATCCTCCTCTGGAAAAGTTTTCACTTCCTTATACCTTTTGTCTACTTGTAGCTATTACATATTAGCTTATTGAGTAACAGTAAATAAAGTTCATGATTCAATTTGATTTGCTGTTTGTTTCCTGAATTCATTGTTACAAGATTGGACTCAGAACTTTTTTATTCTGAGAACAGAAAAATCCAGTGAACATTTTGCTTTGGGTAATGTTTTTTCATGATAAAATCCATGGAAATCAAAAGTTCAGACATCATGTCATGAAATGTAATTGCATCAAACATGCTGAGTATCAAATGAAGATGGATGATAATCTGAAATGTATTTTTTTTCTGCAAGTTAAGAAAGAGATGTGATTTAAAATTCTGTTGCTGATAATAATAATCTGATAGCCTGATGGAGATGATGTTGATAATCATGATGACATGATCATCATCAAGGTTAGATTTTAAATTAGTCAACAATTTGTGAAATTTCAGCAATGACAACATGATGATTATTCATGGGAAGATTAGAGATTAAGAAGAAGGAGTGAAAAAAAGTTCTCAAAATTTAGATTCAAGATTGAGGAGGAAATTTACATTACAGGGAGGGAAGTGGGTGGTTAAGTGGCTGTTGATCAACAAGACAATTTACTTGATGATCAGGGTATGAATTCTGGGTGTTGTTAATCAATCACAAGATTATCTGCTCAAAGGAGCATTAAATAACTTTCGTAGTTGGTGTTAAAAGGTAAATCAACCTTTAGATTATCAAGTTTGATTGTTGTTACAAAGTTTCATTGATTAATCATCATCATCATTATCATGATCAATTATTCACTATCAATGAATAATAATATTGTAAAGGGTTCGATGATAATTACCATGAACTGAGATTTTGATCACTTTGCTAATGTCTGAACCAATTCCGTTGGTTGCCTGGCAAAGATAATAACCTTCATCGGATTTGATAATTTCCTTGATAATTAGACTTCCGTTTTCAAGGGCATGGATATGAGAATTGGATATAACTGGTTGATAATGTAAGGGCGATGAAGATGATGATGAAAGGCTATTTGAGTGCTCCCACCAGATTCTTGGCTGTGGATACCCTGAGGCTTGACAATCCAAGATAACATCATCACCGACAATAGCGTCAGCATCGCTTGGTGCTAGAGTCCATTTTGGGGGAACTGAAAAGAAAAAGAGAACGAGAAAAAGTTAGAGATGAAGAAAAGAAAATGAATTTCTACCAAATCATGAGAGTTCATTAAGAACTTTTCTCTTGTTCAATTCGACTGAATTTCTCTGGTGTAAGTTTCATGTAATTTGAACTTTAGGGTTTCATGTTCATCGCTATTATCATGATAATCCGATAAATATTTGCATGACAAAGATGAGTGATCAATATGTAACTCAAACTTGTGGTGAGAAAATCAATTCAAATGAACAACTTTATCCAGGAGTTAATTTCAATTGTTGGAGTTGTGAAGCTCATGATGATCGTTTTGTCATCTGATTTGATTTTTTAATTGACATTTAATCGTAATCATAATTATTTTCATGTTGAGATAAACAATTAGATGATTTTACATGGAAAACTATTGAGCTTTATCATGGACAAACATGAACAATTAATTGGATGATAATCTATTGTTAACCGACTAATTGTATGTGTTAAGTAAACACTTTGATTGCTGGTTAATCAGATTGATAATAAGGTTGAATGTTAATGGTTATCATGATAAATTGATTGGTGACAATCAAAGGATAAGATAAACAAATTGTGTGAACCTCGAGAGTGAGATGGTTAATCAATCGTGTTCAATTGTTAATCAAACATTTGATCACTGATTGTTTACTCGTGATACTTATTATTATCATGGAAAAAAAGTTCAATCATGAATTGAGATTCCTGAATAATTGGGAAACCTTTTGATTAACAAATGATTAACCATCATTAATTTATTTGCCATGTTGAAGCTAATCATTTAAAATCAATTTATCTCTGTCATTGATTGTTATTATATATCAGATTGATTGTAATATGTTATTAACTAATTGCTGATGATTATCACCATCATTTTCATCACTATCAAGATGATCATCATCATGAATTGGAACAGATTTTTTTTCTCATTATTTTTACCTCTTGATGATTCTTAGGATTGATTTCACTCCCAGCTGAGAAACTGAATCTTCATCATGGTGAAAACATTTTCATGATATTGATTGTTCATTGATAGCATATTTAATCTGATGATTAAGGTGGTTACCATGATTGCTGTTGGTTAAAGTGTAAGTGAGTGAGAGAGTAAGTGATTATCATTGGTGAGCATAAGAAAAAAAAATAATAATCGTTATAAAGTTAACCAGCAATTGGTGATAATCAGGATAACTCTGATCAGATACATGATAATGATGATGAAAAAAAGTTCAGTTCCAAGACTTAAACCTCTGAATGAAACTTTTTTTTTCCTCTTCTTTCTCGGGGTTATATTAGATAATATCGAAGATGAAGAAACTGAAAGGGTGAAAAAAAATGACTTTCGATTTTTTCACTTCATGATGGAGAAAACTTTTTTCCTTTCCCATGAAAATTCATCATGAATAATATCACATTAGCAACTATTTTAATAAGCAAAGTTTTCCAAATTAAAACAAACTTTCCATGAGATTTTTTTTTCAATATCTTTAAGTGTTTCAATTATTAGATAATAACAATCCCTTGAATTCAGAGTCAATCATGAAGATGAATATCAGATATTCATCTTTATGATACTTGGCTTTGAAGAGACTCTGAACTTTACCAACACTTGAAAACTCATCAAATTTGATTGACAGAACTTTTCAAATTTATCTCAACACATCCTCGAACCATAAATATAAAAGTTCATCTTCTCAATTTCAACTTCAGGGTGGTAATATCTGCAATCCATGGTTCCAATGAAATCATTTGGAATCTTAATCCATCGTTAATGGTGATATATTAACATTGATTATCATCATTAGCTTACCTTTAGGGTGAGTCAAGCAAATCATAACCATCATAATCATGATAATCAACATTGTTATTATTACTCTGAACCCATAATAATCATGATCATGATTACAATCAATGAACCAGATTAAAAGGAGATTATATCTAATCCATTAAATGACAAAATGGTGAAAACAAAAAAGTAAAGTTATTATTAAGTGTTAGTATATTAATCTGTTAGTTACATGTAACCATGAATATGAACAATCTAAGTTAATGGATTAGAAACAAATAATATTAGTTAACTAATGATAATCAGGATAAATTATCATCAAAGAATATCAAGTTATATATAATATATATAATACGAAAAACGAAAAAGAATCATCTGAACATAGAAAAGTTCTACAAGAGAAAAGGTTTTCGATTGAAACTTTGATAGAATGAAAAAAGAAAAATAAAAAAACTATTCTACCAATAACTTTCTCTCATCATCATTTATCTTAATCATCATTATCATCATCATGAAATTATAACATTAAATTAAATTGAATGTCAACATCGTAGCTTATCATCATCATCATCTAAGTTTTTCAACTCCTGTTCAATTATTGTTATTATTTCATGATGATCATCATGATGCTGATAATAACAATCTATCAATATAATATTTTTTAATGAAAAAGATGATGATAAAAACGAGAGATAATACCAAATAGATGAAAGTTGTGAGTTCAGAATTTAGTAAAAATTGAATTCGGAATTTTTTTCATTTCTCTCTCTCTCTCTCTCTCTCTCTCTCTCTCTGTTCATTTCCTTTTTCTCATATCTTGAAAGTTTCAAGTTTCATTCCCAGAATCTTATATATATTTTGATACATATTGTGATGTAATGTCATTTGTTCAAATGATTCATTTCAATTGTTATTATCATTATTATGTTCAACACCCACCATGAGAATGATAAAGTTTCTCAAGTTAAGGTTAAGACCTTAAGATTTGAAAGTGTTCAGAATGAGGGTGAATTTGGGTGGATTGGGAGTGAAACTTTTCTAACTTCCTATTCCGATGTCAAGATGAACAGTTAACATTGACATGGAACCAATTTATTGTTTATCATGTGAACATATTACTACGATTACAGGGGAGAATATTTCAAAGTCGATTGAAGGAGTGGGAGGAAGATTTACTGATGAAAATGATGAAAAAGTTCTGTATCTTTGTCATCATTATCATCTTCATCCAAGTTCATCAAGGAAAAGAATGAAAAGAAAAATAAGTTCAATTCAATTTCGAAACTTTTTTTTTGTTGTTGTTCGATCTTCTTCTTAAATGTTTTCTATCCTTTTGTGTTGGTTAAACTTTGATGATCATTATAAGAGATAATATTGTTCATCAAATGAACATCGAATGTTTTTTTACTTCTGTTACCTGTTATGTTGCTCAGAATGTTTCAAAATTGTTTCTCAATTGATAATGATGACTAATATTTTTCGAACTTTTTTTTCGAGTCCAAAATTGTCCACTTTAAGTTGTTTACTGTTCTCATGATGACATATCATATTTTTCTTGTCACTTTGTCTTTTTCTATTATATCAGAATCTTTGGATGGAATCTTTAATCACATGAACCTTGTTCATTTATCGATTTCGATTCAACCTGAAGTTCTATGCTCTCTCTCTCCCTCTCTCTCTCTTTCAATGAACTTGTTCAATAGTTTTCGTTTTCTTATATCATCGAAAAAATGTCGGCACGAACATAAACAATTTACATGATCTCGACACAGAATCTGAATGTTTAGAACAAAGTTTCTGAACTTTTTTGCCACTAATCGTTAGTATCGATTAGCTGGAAACATGTTAACATGACAAATATACAGATAATTTTACATGTCAAAGATTAGAAAATATTTCAATCAATTCATCTGCTCATCATTTTCATCATGTAAATTCAAGTGATAACTCAAGGAAACATTGAATTTACACCATCAATCATCATGATAAAAAAGTGAAAGTTGAAAGAGTAGGTTAACTTTGTTTCCAGAACTTTGTGAGATGAGATTGACCATAATTAGAGGGATTTTTGTTATCATTTTCATCTGAAAACACCAATGTCAGGGTGGAATTGATATCAAACTCCCAACACCTTTGATACACCTTGATATGGGTAAGTTTGGTGTTGGAAATTTGAAGTAACTGAACATTAAAGATGAAAAAAGTCCCGGAAGCAAACAAACAACAAATTCTGGTCCATTGGTAACGATAAATGATTCATTATCATAATGAATGGTTTACTCAATGGTCAGTGAATACCTGGTCAGTATCAATACACACACTCACTGGTCATAAATGTAATAATATTTTTCCACCTCCTTTGTCTGTTTACACCATTAACTTGAATGTTCATTAAATTAAAACTGAAAAGGTGTTACCTGAATCTGTTGCATGATGAAAATCATCATGCTTTCTGAATCAGAACTGAGTGATGGTCAGTTTTATATTTTATTATTGTAAAAAATTCACTGGCTCATTAAATTTCAATCTAATCTCAACCTAGAGATTTATAATCGCTTATATCGATGACCATCATCACCCACTGAGTAACATGATAAGTTCATTGGTCAATTATCATGAAAAAAAGTTCCAAATGAAAATAAATAAAAACACTATTAATAATATTAATTATCGGCTTCCCTTTTCAAGGAAATCATATTAATACAAATTTTAATTGTTCATTAAGTTTCAGATTTGATCAGATTAATTTAATTTCCTATGAAAACTGACTGTTCATTACAAAGGAAAGTTACTAATTGTTACTAATTAATTGTATTGGTAATTTCAATTTTCTTGATTAATGGTAAACAATTTAAAACTTTTCCTCTCAGAACAATCAAAAACTGATTAGTTGTATTGAGAAAATTAATTTGTTTATATTAATAATACTCACAAATAGATTCAACTGGACATAAATCATTTGAATAAAAGTTTCATGATAATATTGAATTTGTAGACATTTACATGGTAACATTATCATGAAAATTTATCATGAATGTTGAAACAAAATGAATATCATCTGGAATCCTTTTTTTTTGAAAATTTATCAGTATTATCATGATAATGATTCAGATAAAGATGATAATGATTATCATGTAAAAACCATGAATCGATTTCAATGGTTGACTGAGTTGAAAATGATTTCTTTTTCTTTCTCATGGAATTCATTCAGAAAGTGTTCATACATTTATCTTAGCTGAGAGATAGAGGAAGAGCAAGTGAGAGAGGATAAACTTTTTGCTTCCATGATGATGATAAAGATGCAGATAATCTAGATAGAGGGAGATGATGATGATGATGATAATAATAATCATTGTGAAAGATGCTATGAAATGATGATGATAATGTGATCATTTTGCTACCAAGGGTTATTGAAACTCGAGTAACTTGAATTGTTTACCATTGAATCAACCTAATGGTTTGAAAATAACCCAAAGCTTCATCTTTTTACCATTTCAGTCCATCTTTCGACAACAGGGTGGATCAAACTGCCTCCCATTCAGTTGAGTATTTTCATCATCATCATCATCATCATCAGAATGAACAGAATCCTCTGTCTTTGCTCCTCTTTCTTTACCTTCTTTCACAATCATCTCTCTTTCGGTTATAAGGTCAGACCCTCGGTGTCAGTTTCACATCTTCATCCATCTGAATTTGAACATGGAGAGAGAAAAAAAAAAGTTCTGCCTTGAATTTTTCATCTTTTTCTCTCATGATGATAAGTCAAAAATTTATCCATATTTTTTTCTCTTTATCTTCCATTCAAATTTCAGTCTATTTCCTTCATGATAATATAAAATTCAGACAGAAAATAATGTCAATTTCAATTCACAATTCACAAGTATTTTCTATTCCAAGAATTTTTCTTTTTTCTTCTCTAGTGTAACCCTGAAGCTTAACGATTTTTACGTTCACTTGAGTTCAGAATTTTACTACATAAGTTCGGTTGAAAATCTTTTCTACTTCTTTTCTCTTGCGAAAATTTTCTCTCATCACTTGAAAGACCAAATTCGAACTGCTATATATTCACAGGCTCAAAAATTTCGAATTTGTTATTCTCTCCTTTCTCTCTTATTCCCTTTTCACCCTGATCTTTGATAATATGATGATGATGAAAGATGAGAAAATAGAAAGATATAAAATATAAGAATAGTCATCTGAAGTTGACATGATACAAGGAATTCATGAAAAGCGAAAGCAATGAAAATGAAAGAAAATAAAAGCAAAAGAGCGAAAAAATTTGAAAGATAAGAATGAAGATGCGAATGAAAGAGAAGATAAAATTGAAAATTGATGAATGGCAAAGAACGAGAATGAGAGAGGCGTTTGAAAAGAGAGTTGCGGGAGTGGGTGGTGGATGAAAAGAGTTACTATGTTACGTTAAGAATCATTGATGAGAAAATTTTGTCATCTCAAGAAAAGTATTGAGATGAAGAGAAATTTTCTCATGATATTCAATTCCATTGTTTCTCATCGTCTTTTCATCACCTTTTCATCATCTTCTCCTTGCTCTCTCTCTCCCTCTTCTTTTATTTCTCTTCATCTTTTTGTCCCTCTCCCTTTCATCTTGTAACTACAACTGATAATAGTTTTCCTATTGGAAGAAGTTTTTTTTTCTGTTGCTTTGATTTCATCTTTCACCTTATCATCAGCATCCTTTGCCTTTAGCCTCATCATCATCTTCCTCCTTGTGATATTATTTGCTGCTGTTTTGCTTGAACCCAAGAAATAAAATCGGAAATGAAAGATTTGGAATCATTTCCCTGGAATGATTCATGATGATTGAGGTGAGCTCAAGTGAGACAAGAGGAGGAGAAAGGGAGACAGAGAGAAAGTTAGAGATGAAATAACTTCCACAACTTCAACAGAACTTTCAGTCAGAATAAAAGAGAAAAATAGAGTAAGAGTGAGAGAGAATTGGGTGAGCCTGTCAGGAGATGCAACCACTTATATTAATTTCTTTTTCTTCCATTCTCATCATCATTATCTTCCTCCCTGTCTCTTTCCTCTCTGTCATCTGCAACATTCTTCGTCATCTTTCCCTCATCTTCATCTTCATCTTTCTCATATTAACTCAATATTCTATTTCATTGCTTTTTTATCTTCTCTTCATCATCATTTTTATCCATTTTTTTCCTAATGGCTTCAAATGCTCTATCATCATCATCATCATCATCTCTCTCGCTCTCTCGCTCTCTCATTCTCTTCCTTTTGTCATTCAAAAATATGATTACCAATCAACATTTAGCTCTAAATCCATGTGACATCAACATGTTTACCGTCAATCAATTGCTGTTGTTGTTTCTTTCCTCTTATCAATGAATCTCAACTTTCAAGCTTAAAAATTGTTCAACTATAACTGAAGACCTTTTGGATTCTGTCATCATCATGATCGTCATGATCTTCTTGAGATGATCGTCATTATTACAGCTCATTTCATTAATCATTAATCACAATCATAACTTGAAACTATCAACCTCAGATGAGTTGAACAAACAATTAAGAATAAATGAAAGCAATCAAGTTTTAATTGCATTTGATTCATTTGGTTGTATTCAACGAAAATTGGACATTCAATTGCAATTGGATACTTCGCCTCGAGAACATGATATATACTGGACATTTTCCTTACAGGATGACCAAAAAAAGACAACCAATCAATGGATTATTAAAGATAACAAAAAAACTCCTAATGATGGATTGATTTTACTCCAGTGAACATTTTGAATTCTCATGATTTCAAAAGAAATTTTTATCATTTAAAAGTTTGACCATTGGTCATTAATCTTACCTTTTACCAGCATGTTAATTGTTGCATTAGCTGAAGCAGCTAAATTTGATATGATACAAGTGTAGTTACCGTTATCCTTGAATGTAACTTTTGAAATGAAAAGGGTTGATGAGTATTCATTGATTGATGATATATTTAGATTCTGATTTTGACTGTGATGGTCAATTGGTTGTCCATCTTTGGTCCACATAAAGGTGAAAGGTGGATCACCATCAAGTACATTACAGGTTAACATGTTCCTCATTCCCTCCCTAATGTTGGGCGCTGAGTCGATTGATATTAATGGAGCTACAATGACCTGAATAAACACTGATGATGCACCAGATTCACCCTCTTTGTTGGTCACTAAACACCGATAAAGTCCCTGGTCGTGTGACCTTTCAACTCCACGGATAATAAGAGTACCATTTGGTAGGACGATATGACGATGATTTTCTGGTAACCTTGAATCTCGTCGATACCATGAGATGGTCTCAATTGGATGACCTGAATAGGGACACGGGATTGTGAACGTTGATCCAGCGACAATGGTCACATTTCCCATCGGTTTTACAGAAGGACGACCAAGAACATTGACCCGACCCGAATGGGTGGCAGTTGAACCAATACCATTGGTCGCAAGGCACGTATACAGACCACCCTCGTCAATCGTAATTGAGGTTATATTTACAAAACTATTAACTGTCCCCTCGGTGGTCACATAATCACCCACTCGGACTCTTAACTGTTCACCAATCGGATAACCATCCAGTGTCCAAGTTATTTGAGGTAAAGGTGAACCGGAAGCTGAGCATTTTAATGAAAGACGTGAACCAGGTTCGATTAGAATTGATTCTTGGAAAAGCTCAATAAGCTTGGGCGGATCATCGGCAAGAGTTAAACTTGACCAGTCACAGATTGAATTATGATCATTAGCAACACAACAAGAGTACATGCCACGATCTTCCCGTTTGATATGGACAATGGTCAATCCATGTTCACTTGAATGGTATCGAGCCATCAAAGGTAAAGGTCCACCATCTTTACGCCAGAAAATTTTACGAATTGGTGAGCCAGAAATACTACAATTAAAAGAAACCATTTCCTGCCCTTCGATGGCCACAACAACTTTAGGAGATAAACTGACCTTCAATGGTTCTAATAATAATAAAAATGAAAATCGTAACGAAAAGAAAAGAAAAACAAAAATTTTTTAAAAAACTTTTTCTTTCGTCCACTTAACCTTCTTGACCAACAACTTGACCAACTTGTTTACTTTTCTGTTACTCAATTGATTGAGTTAATATCAAAAACCTTGTTATCTGTGAAAAAAAGTTCAATCTGATTTCATGGTAACTCAATTCATATGATTATCATGGATCATTAGAGACTGAATCAACTTTACTGATAAGTTAAGTGTCCAGTATGATTGAGAGAGGAGGAAGAGGGTATTCAAGATATTATCATATGTGTGTATTATCAATGAAATTGGTCAAGTGGATAAATGATTTTATGATTCAATTGTGAAGGTGTTTGGTCACATTGTAAATTGTATTGGTCACTAAAATTGCTCTTTCTACTAATCCAGTGGTCAGTGGTCAATGAATTGTCGTTTGAAAGGACAAAGATGGAAAAGGAAAACAATTACCTGTCACATCTAATTCAGTTTCGATTTGATCTCGTCCGATTGAATTGTTAACTGTACAAATATATTTACCCGAATCAGATAATCGTACTGGTCTGAAGGTTAGAATACCGTTGACCTCAATTACCCGGTTAGTTACAGAATTGTCTGATTCTAATGATGATGATAATCTTGTATTTACATTAGTAAGTGAAGGCGATTGTGGTGAATGTTGTTGTACCAAATGATATGGGTCAGTGGGTCCACGTTTAAACCATGTGATACTTGGTACAGGTGACCCTTGACCAGAACAAGGTAAAGTTACTGTGTCTCCTATTTGAGCAGCTAAACGTATCCGGCGATCGGTGATTTTTGGTGCTACGTTACTGTGAGGTTCTGAGAGATGAAAATAAAAAGTTCATTAGAAATGAGAGGTTTTGTCTCTCTCTCTCTCTCTCTCTCTCTCTCTTTTTTATCATTAATCCAAAGAAATACTGGTGATAAATGTTGAAAGAGGAGGAACATGATGATTATGATGGTGAAGATGCTTGAGAATGATAAAGATGATAAATTTCATTCTCATTCTTTTTCTCTCTTTCTTTCCTTCGGGCTTAACATTTTCTTCGAACTGTTATCATCATGGAATCAACAATGAATTCTGAACCATATCTCCGGTTCTCTTACTGGTCTTCATCCACTTTCCACCCTGTTTCTTATCATCTGTTTCCTCATTTACCTTTTTATTCTCATAGTGAACGTTCATCTTTTTTCAGAATCCACCCTGTGAGCTACTATTCACACCCCATTTACTTGACATGCTATTCCACTGGATTCTCATTCCATGGCTTTAACTATTATCCTCCCCATCGACTATCACCCAACCTCTCCTCTTCCCCTCTCTTCTTCTTCATCTTCCATAGAATCATATTATTCATTCCAGTCTCTTAACTTTTCTAGTTGTTTTCCTCTTCTACAATTCTTCTTGTATTCCTGTTCATGATAATTCACAGATTTAGATAGATAACCAAAGGAGAATTCATAGAATCTACTAAACCAAAACATAAGCACCAACACCGAGAGAAACAACAATGTAACCATAAGATAGCAAATTCAGAGAGAAAAATATATGAAAAAAAGTTCTAACAAAAACAATTCCAAGTCCATTGCGAAAGATAATAATATTATCATCATGTTGCACATGAAAATTGGCAAGATGAATGTTGGATAGAATGATATAAAAAAGCTCCCAAGGTGGGTAATAAATAACAAGCTCATGTAACACATTCAAGATGAATTACACTGAACATTTACAGGGGAAAAGTTCCGAGAGAGAAAGAGAGAGTTGAAAGAATAATAAAGTTTCTTGAATGGACATTAAATTCTTACCTGTGATTATCAATCTTCCAGAATTTGAGCTTAACTTAATCTCCCCGCTGATCCGATGTTTGGTTTGGCATCGATATTGATAATTGTTATCGGTCAATGGGTCAACCTTTTGAATATACAATTCACCGGAGGGGAAAATAAAATATCGACCTCCTGATGACCAGTGGACAGAAATTAATTACCAAAGGAGGAAAATAGTTAAATCAATTTCGTCATTTATATAATAATTAAACATGATGATGGAAAATGATTCATACTCAAAATTCATTATTCATTAGGAACAGATTTATCTACATGATTGTATTCATATTTTCAGAACTTTTTTTTTCACTTCTTCCTTATTATCATCATCATCATTATCAACCATGAGTTGTAATTTATCATTGGGTGTTAAATATTCAATGGGAGACATTTTTGAAATATGGTTAACAAACTGAATCAATTAATCATCAAGTAATCAGAATCATTCAATTACATTCATATCAACTGATTTCTGATTAATCGAAATATGAATCAACAATTGATGAAACTAATGATTATCATTTCAATTGATTTCATGATTGAGGAAATTAATTTGAGTTGCTCATGAAAATTAATCAATTAATCAGACAGATCAAAATGTCAATCGGAATAATAATCAAATAATAATATTTAGTTCAAATCTACTAACTTAATATTAGTTAATAAAAAATTCAAATAATTATGATGAAACTTCAGAATCAGAATCCAATGAAACTCATGAACTAACTGAATTGTAAGAGATTAACGATGAATACCCTACATCATGTATCTCATAATGAAATATATATAGACAATTCTGTCAAAGTTTAATGGTCACAATTCAACTGATTCCAATTGAAATTGTCATAAGGTATTAACATCATATTAATGTTTATCGAACTCGATATTAGAACAATTTTTTTTTCTCTCTCAACTTCTAAGTTATATAAATATAGTATTTATTGTTTATTATGATTAACTTGATTGTTTAACCTGTCAACTCAATCTTAATAACAATATGATATTGAGTGTGTATTAGTTTTAATCATTTGTGATATTTACTTGATAAGTGAAAATATGATTTAGATTGAAACTGAAAAAAAAACGAATGAGTAAAGTAAAAAAGTAAAAATAATATCAAAGCAAATCTAATATCATGAAATGTTGATCATCACCATGAAGATGAAGAGAGCAAGAATATTTTTCTCTTCAGCATTCTGGTCAATATTTGTTCAATCACCACCCACTCTCTCCTCTCTCTCTCTCTCTCTCATAAAACCCACCCCACCACCTCCTTTTCCAGCTTGTTGATTCAATCTCATCGGTTCTCATATTGTTACACCATATTGTCAATATCAATTTCAATCAATAACTGATATCATTTAATATTGAGTATCATGATGATGATGATGATGATTATTGTTATCATCATGATATTTAATCATATTTCATGTTGATATACAATCAGAGGGAAATGTTAATACCTTTCAAACATTTCCCATCAACAACTGAATCTTTTGTAATTTTTTTTACTTTTCAATATCATATTATTATTATTATATCAAGTGAACAGAATAATAATGAAAAAAAAAGTTATTTTCCAAGCTGAATGTTGATTAAATTGAGATTTTCCTTTTCTCTTTCCATGTATTAATATCAAAAAGATATTTGTTTCAATTCAATTATTAAATGAATACCTCTCTCTCACTCTTCATATTGTAACAATTATCAGATTATATTGTTAATCCGATTAATTATTTCTGATAATTTAATTGTTTATTAACATAATTTATTAATTATCATTTGGATTAGTTGAAAAGTTTCATCTCAAACTTTTACCATTCTCAGTTCTGTAACATTGTCCATGGTAAAAGTTTTAATCATCAATTTATATTATTAATTTGCAAGAAATTATAATTATTTAAACTGATTAACATGAACGATATTACAAATTAATAAATTGACATGAATACTCATTGGAAATCTACATAATTAATTGTGATATTATTTCCACGAGGGAAATGATAACGATAATGATAATAATAATTTAAACCAGAATTTAATTTGGAATCAATTTGATTTTTTTTTCTCTTCAATTTCCTATTCAAGAATATGATCTAAATTAGAACTGAAACTTTTCTTCCCTCTTTATAAACATCATCATCTAATATCCATGAATGATGATGATGATTAATGATAATCATTTCCCTCGCAATTGTGAATTTCTTATCAATTACTATTATATAATGTTACTATTGTTGTTATCGATTCCAATATATCGTTGACAGGTCAAATGCTGTGTTATCGTTATCATAATCATCTCTCTTTAACTTTATGAATAGAATGGTAGATTTGTTGAGAATATTTCATAATCATAATCATCTTTTTGATGGATTCTCATGATATGTTCATGATTGATGATGATAATTTTAATGATGAAAAGATGAGGGATGATAATGATGATGGAAACAAGATGAAGAAAAATAATTCATTCAATCCAAATGATTATGAATAATATTATTAGATATGAAACAATGAACTTACAACTAAGTATAATGATCATAATGATGATGATGATGATGATACTATAATAATATGAATACTCTGAGTAGCTGAATCATTTTCTTAGTTAAAATTTCATGATAACTTACCTTTGAATAGATCCGATGAAATAATATTTCCGTCACTTCGTAACCATGAAATAACTGTAACATAATCTTTCACGAATGTCGGTACATTACAACGTAAGATGCCAGTGTTGCCCCTGATAACGAAATCGTCGTAAACTTGAATTTCGTAATGCTGATTGATTACTATTAAGAATGAAATAGAGAAATCATTAATAGATTAAGTCAACAATTAACAGAAGAATAGATTTTTTTTCCATTTAAATCAAACAAATTGCTTCTAATTCATCAATTTTCACAGAATATTCCTTATAAAATGTTACAGAATTTAGAGTGAGAATTTTTTTATTCTCATTTTATTCATATTTTCGAGCTGTTAATACTCACATAATGTAAATGTGATTTGAGAGAGTCTCATTTATCATCATCATCATACTCTCTTGTTCACCATTTTCCTGAGGTAGTGATGACGATGAAGGTATTATAAAGTTATCTTCATTGTCACCACCAGATAACAGCCAAAGAGTGATGATAATGATAATAATAATGCATGAGATTCATGTTGTCTTGGTGTTGGTTTGACTCTTTTGGATGAAAAGCATTCTCATCATCAGAACTTTTCTCTCTCTCTCTCTCTCTCTTTCCTATTTCCATCCTCTCATCTTTATCATCTTCTTCATCCCTACTATTATAATCATCTTATCAAATCAGTAGGACAGAATAAAATTGTCAACATGATAGAGAATCGTAAATAAAACTCAATCTATTATCATGGTTATATTTTCATTCATATTCAGATATAAATCTGATTCTGGTTCATGAATTTTTGTTTCATTCATTTTTTTAGCTCGCAAACAAATTTTTTTAATCTTTAAAGCAAATTGTTTAATAATTGGATTAGTTAATTGTTTCTGTCATTTATGTGACAGATTGTAAATCAATCAGCTGATAAACTTTTGATACAATTTAATTAAACTAATTTGTTTATCATTAGTCTCTTTTTTTGTAATTGTCATTCATTGTCTCGTTAATGATTTAACATCATGTTAATTGGTTGGGAATTGGCTAATTGTGATTATTATTATCAATTGTTAATAAAACTATTCACCTCTAATTGAAAGTGATTAAGGTTAATTTGTAACTAACCGTCTTGTTTGGTCAATCTTAATTTGATTAGATTGATATTGTAACTATAAATTGATTAGAATTGAGATTTGATTACATTTTCCACTAATGATAACAATTAACTAATTCACAGTTAATTGAGATAAATGATAATCTTAATTACCGATCATTATCATTCATTTAGGTTATCAATTAACCTTTGATTATCATTGATGTTAATAAAATGAAAAAAATGAAAATGAAAATGTACAAAAGGAAACGGAAATGATGAACTTGACTGTTAAGATAAAGGATTAGAGAGAAAGGTAAACAACTGATGAAATGCAATTAAGGCTTAATTGAATTTTTGAATATTCGATCATCAGAATAAGGTAAATGTAATTGAAGAGAAAAAAATTGCAAATTGACAAATGTTGACAGAGAAGATACAAGATGATGTTGTTTTATTGAGCGATTGAGTGATCAAGATGAGGATGAGGATGATAATGTTAAAAGGAAAGTGATGAAAACATTGTTATCAGAATGTTGATTGTTAACTGTTAATGGTTAAAGACAATTTGATTAACAGTTAACCAAGGCGAATGTTGTAGTTGTGGATGTTTACTAAAGTTTCATCATCATCATCACATGATGAGCAGGATGATAAGTGGGTTGGGGATGAAATGAAGGTGAATTAATGTGAAGGTAAGATGAAAGGTAATGTTAGCCTGAGAGAGAAATAATCAAATATCGTGAAATGGGAGGAGGCGGAAAAGGAATTGATGTAAAAAGAAGTACGGAAAAAAAGTTCAGAAGCTACAAAGATGGAGATGATGAAAAGGAAGATGGCGATTAAGAACTTACAGAATTGATACTTGGAACCACAAAAGTCTAATGATAAACATTTAACATGTTCACCACAATGTCCACCAGTGAATCCAATTCATCTATTAAATTAGCATCCAAATAACTTCTGAGTCTTTGATTTTTTCCTCTCACCAAACACATGATAATATACAAGATCCCTGACCATCAGAATGACCACCACCCACCATGGTGGATGCCAAGAAAAACCACCAACACAAATGAGAAAAAAAAAGATTGTCTCTTTTCACTTGCCACTTTCACTTTCACTTCTTACATTTACTTCATCTTCATCTATCCTCTCTCTCTCTCTCTCTTCTAATCCTTATATCTTTCCATTCATTTACTTTATCATCATTATCTTCATCCTTTTCCTCTCTCTCATCTTAACCCATTTTAAGTGAACAATCATAATGGAAAAACTTAGAAATGGCAAAGATTAAAGACTCTTATCTAATCTTTCTGATCATCTTTATCCTCCTTGTTGGCTTTAGTTCAATTCTGATTCGCCATCATGAGATTTAAGTTATCAACTAATAACGTAGTTTGATTTATCAAGAAGATAATTATTAGATTAGCAAATTGTTGTAATCAAGAAAATTTAATGTTGCCTTGATTATATTACTACGCTATCATCAGAGTTAATGTGGTGTATTCATGGTTAATATTAACAACAACCGTTAGAGATGATGTCACAAAAGTCCTTTAAAAATATTCTCATCTTCATGATGATGACAATTGATGATGTGTGCGCTTACGGGTTGATGATAATGATGATGAATCTCATGAGATGAGGAGAGAGAAAAAAATTCTTAACCGAAACTTAATCGTAATCAAAGGTAATCAACAGATAAAAAGAGATGAAATTTTTTTTCCTCTTCTTGATTTACTATTGATAAACAAATGGATTAATTTGATTACCTTTCTCACAGTGATTTAGTTTATTAATTTCCTGGAGAGATTAGCATTTTGTTATTTATTTTTTCTTTGATTTTCTATGTTTCAAATTGTTTCAAGCAAATTGCTAATCTTAAATTTGAGACCAGAATTGCAACCATTTCCGGAAAAGGGATGAGGAACATTGTGAGGAAGTAAATTGTCACTTCCGTTTCCAGTTGTAGCTTTTTGTTACTATTACATTGGAGATACTAATTGTTTCCAATGTGAAGAGATGAAGAAAATTAATAAAATACAAATTAAATCGTAAAGTTATTGATATAATCATGCAACACAAGATGATCGTTTGTAATTAGATGACATGATTCTCAGAGAGAGGTTAATCAATAGTCTAAAAACCAGGAAGTGAAAGAAAAAAGTTGATTTCTTAACTACTCAGAGATTCATGATGGAATCTGAATTTAACAATTTCGGTTTTTTCTTCTTCTCCTCTTTCCTTCAAGATAATAAATCTAATCTCTTATTGTATTAAAAGTTTAGGTTTTTAATAATAACATTAATCCATCCTCATGATGATGATAAATATTATTACCAACAACAGTTCAGTGTATAAGATATTATCATGATAATGATGATTAGGATGATAAAGATAATGATGTAACAAGATAAAATGTATTACTGGAGTGGGAGGTGGGAAATTATATTAATGTGAGAAAGTTATAGTTAAGATAATGAGGAAAAGATGAAAAAAAATGCTATCAAAAGGATGAATGAAGTTAATTGTATTCAGAATATAATCCATGAAAAATGTATTCATCAGCGAGTTCGAGTCGTTCCAACGAACACCGCTTATTGGAATAATGTTTAGCACGAGAAATCAGATTTTATAGTCTTCAGATTTTTCACTCTTAAACTTTATGAAGCTTCGAATTCAAATAAAGAGTTCGAGGTGTAAACTATTCGATCTATTTCGTGGTCAGTATTCACACCGAGGGGTAAAAGATATTCTTAATGAAAGGTTATTACTGATTCCATTATATGATAATCATAAAGCTAATATTATATTAACTCATGGTGAGAACATTAATTTACTGTTTGAAGTTTTATCGTTTGAGTCAAAATCGAACTGAAACTTTTTGTTCCTCGAGCAGTTTTAGTTTCTCCCTCAGGGTAAATAGTTTCTTCCTTCTTTGCTTCCTGATTGTTTATCAGAATTCAATCTACGATTTTTTGGGAAAAACTCCGACATTTCTTTTTCTCTATGATTATGACTTTAAAACGATTCCAAGCTCAATTTCAACGCAAAACTTTTTTACACTTTCGACTTGACATTCAATTATCGTAATAATATCATCTCAGCTTTCTCAATGTTTCAATATTCAAGTTAATCCTAACTTCCTTTTATTCAATACATTAATTAGTTAGGGAAAAAAATCAAGTAAAACTCAAAATTATTCCTGGTGAGTTTCAATTCTGTCAGAATCTCAACCTGGAAGTTATCATGCAGAATTAACTTGTGTATATTCACCTAACGTATCAGTTTAATCATAACAATCATACGAAGATTATAGTTGGTTAATCATTTGAATTGATTATTTAGTTAATAAAAGAAGAGAGGAAAACACTTTGAGATAAATGTGGCAGAAAATTTGAAATTATCCATTTGAAATGTTAATCTTTCATTTCATATATTTTTCTTTCAGAATCCAATCGGATTAAATATTTAAAGTTAATCCATTCAATCTTGTGTCTCTATTAAAAGTACAAAACAAATCATAAAGTGTCACATTTACCTCGATTATTAAAAAGAAATCCAATTCAATTATCTATCAACATTAACCTTAGAATCTCAAAGAATTTATATTTATATTATAATATTATTTTATTCCAATGAAGATTCCATAGGTAGAGACAGTTTATCTTCCAGAAAAAATTATGCTCGTATTTTTTTTCTTGGCGAATGAGGAAAAAAAATTCCAAGCAAAATGTTACAAAGGTAAACAACTCAAGGCTAAATCCTATCAGAACTCTAGCATTCTGAATGTGCATATACCTATGGTATTATTATTAGTTTAATAAAAATGATTAAAATAACAAAGAACCAGAACTCAGAGTATACATGATAATAGGCTTAGCAGAATGTTCAACATAAGGTTATCAGTGGTAGCATTTGAATCATTATCATACTTCATCTTTTAACAAAATATTTGAATACCCTCCATTTACCTAAGGAAAATGTTAACAGAGAGAAAATCATACAAAATGAATGTCAAAAACTTTTTTCAAACAAGAAAAAAAATTTTCCTTCTTATCTTCAAACT